CCTAAATGATATAGATTGTTGTAATTTAAAAAAAAAAATAGATTTCATGAAAATAAATATTTAGAAATGTCAAAAATATTAATTTGTAAACTTTCTAAGTGTATATATATTTTTAATCAATATTTAAAAATACTATGATTAATATTAATATGAGAAAGTTATTAAATCAATACATGGGTAGTTTAGTCATTTTTAAAATCAAATCTATCTGGATGGATATGCAAAATGGAGAAACAAACACATCTCCATCCAGATAAATCATCCAGATGAATCATTTAATATCTTGTTCGTTTCATCATTTGGAGAAGAGATGAATCATCCACATAGATTATTTGAATGGATCATCTGGATGAATATGCAAAATGGAGAAACGAACAGGGCCTAAGAAATAATCATGAATGATTTCGATTAGTATCAAAATGTAATACTAACAAGAATTCGTCATTCAATTCTAGAGATCACTTTCGTCGCTCAAAAAGAAGAAAGTATCAGTACGAAACCAGAGTGAACTTTTTTTGTATCTGTTTGGAACAAAGTGTATGTATTGTCAATTAATCAGATTTATTAAGGGACATATTAAATAAAACAATATAAAAAGAGGGAATAATTAGGGTCATGTTAGGAATATTTAGCAGAAGAGAATTTTTATATCATCATCGAAACTGAACTGATACAAATATAATAATGAACAGATGAATGCAAAACGAGTTTAATCAAGAGGAGAAAAAATAAATATAATTTTCAATGCTTGAAATAAGGCGAAGTCTAAGGGGTTAAGATTAGAATTAATCAAGTCACTATATAAGTTTTGAAGGTTTCGTAAATGAGACAAAACTGAATATACACGTAAATAAAGATTACTCCCGGGGAAACTGAATTTGCTGTAAACTAAGAGAGAATTAAAAAGACATTTTGAAGAATGAAGAATGAAGAAGAAGGAAGAAGACCGGTTAAAGAGAGAGTAAACCGGGGGAGAAAGGACAAGAGATCAGGTGGTGGGAAAGACCAATGATGAGGAGGAACTGACAACAAATTACAGAAGACAGAGTTAAGTGTCTCTGTCTTAAACACTCATCGGGAAACTCTCTCTTCTATCTTTCTTTTCTATCTTAGCTGTACTTTTTACATTTTTCTCCGTACCTTTTATTCTCCCTTATTGGCTTCCTTTTCAGAAAAACAAAAATAAAAAATAAAAATTTCAGAGATTATTTATATGTTTACTATATTTATTTACTTCTTCTTCTATGTTTTCTCATTCCTTAAAATGACGACCTTTCTCTAATTTTTGGAAGTGATTGATTAAAAAATATATATTGGTGGATTTTTAAGGTATATAAGTCAATTCAAAATATCAATTTTCCTATTTTTATAAATTACTTCTCCAAAAATATGAACTACAATATTAGCTGTTTGCACTTGCACCATATTATTATCGAATATTAGCTGTTGTGTTTCTTCCTTTTTTTTTTCTTTGCATTTCTTCGCTCTTTGGAAACCTGTATATTCCAATAAGTACTATTTAATATTATTTTCCTTTAAAGGAGATTACGATTCGATTTTATACTATTTTTCTCTCCAAAGTATATCTTAGATAATTATCCTACAAGAAATTTAAATTACACCACAGTTTCCTAAAAAATTATAGTAATACACAACCAATTTTAATGAAACAAAAACCCTCAATATTTCATAAATTAACAATTAAGCCGGGTAGTAATTTTTTATTACTCTCTTCTTCGATAATAATTTTCTCCTCCACCAAAACAAAATAAAGCTAATTAACAAAGGACTACTTAATAATAAGAATCAACTAAGAACTGGTCTGATCTCTTGAATTCTCAGACCAACAAAACATGACTTCAAACACTTTCCTCTCGGCGATCCTCCGCCTCCTCCTCCAATCAACACTCCACTCTCCGCCACCGTCTCCTCCACTGCTAATATAGCCTTCCTATATCCATCTTCAATCTCACCACCATGCACATTGCCCTTATCCTCATCTTTAGGGTCAGTAACAGTAACACCCTTATTTAAACTATCCGCCAGGTCATCCAAATCATCTACCACCTCTTCTTCTTCTTGATGATCATCATCATTATCACCACACTCATGCTCATCATCCTCGTCCTCATCATCACCATCATCATCTTCATCATCATCAGTTTGGTAATGAGAGGGTTCTTGAGGAAGTTCGAAAACGTCATCGTCCAAAGGAACAAGGTGGAGAGTGAGGCGACCATTGGATCTGTTCGCACGAAAATACTCATGATGACGAACCTTCTCTTCTCTCAGGATAAGTCTCCCGTCGCTCGTCACCACACGCTTCAGAACCCACGGCATGTGCGGGAGAAGATTCCCAGTCTGAGCAAGCAAAGGTATCGGAGGAGGAAACTCACGCGCCGCCGCAGCTCTAGCTTCTCTCTCTTCCCTCCTCCTTCCTCCGTAACGAAACCTGCTTTTTACAGGCTCCGAAGCAGCGGAGACGACGTCGCTTCCTTCGTCCGCTGAGAGCACGTCGAAGCAGCTCTCTGTCCCGATGTAGTCTCCGACGGCGGAGGACGAAGAGGATGACGTGCGGGAAAGCATGGAAGACGCCATGAGAGGTGAGGTTTGATCGGAGTTGATGGAAAGAGACTGATCAGAAGAAGAAGCCATGGATGATGATGATGACGAGTCAGAGGAAGAAGAGGCTCTCTCCATGTCTGGATTTTACAATGAATAAAAAAACAAAACCCAATTCTTTTTTCTTTTTTGGGTTTTGTTCGTTTTATTTTTTTATAATTTATAATGGTGGAATTAGAGTTGCATGAAGAGATCTTAAATAGAGAGACAGCTAAGCCAAAGAGGTGAGGTCATTGAAGGGATGGTCTCTGAGATATTATTGAGAATCTGTGACATTTAATGTTTTTTTCCTGTGAATGGAAAAAAAAATATACATAAAGGAAATCAAATATTAGACCCAAAATAAAGTTGGCTAAGAATATGTCATCATTACCAAATTAGTATAAACTAAAGTACATGATTGGTAGAACATCTAGAAGTTTCTTAGAATTTCTATACACCCCCTCACACCTTTCTTTTATCCAATGAATGTAATATTTTCTTTTCAAGATTGTGTAAATAAATGCAAACAAAAAACAATGCATATGCCGATCTATATATGGTTTGAAATTGGGAATGAAAATAAGATGAATGAAAAAATGGGAAAGCATCATGTATATGTAGAAGATAATGGTTAAGTCAATCAACTTACTAACAAATAGATGTCATAGCTCGCATTGCTCTTTCTAGTCATTAAAGACATAATTCTAGACTTCTGATATTTTCTTTCGAAAAAACCTATGTTCATATGATGTTCACCATTTATAAATCTACAATGGTAAATCCATAAGTAAAAAGTTCCAACCATTTCCTCAAGAATCAAGATAAAGCATAGATTAACAACATTGCCAGCCACACACAGAATCAAACAAGTACAACTAAAAAAGAAAGAAACAGCCTAGAAATAATCAACTTAAGTTGGATGTGCATAAACTTACACAAAGTGGTAATAAATCTACATTGAATATTCTCTTTGATATACTTTGTAACAGTTTCATTTTCTTAAAGGAATAGAAAGAAAACAAAAAAACTAATGGATTTATAGCTAAATAAAGGTTAAGCTAGCAATGAGGATGGTCATAGAAACGTCTATAGATTATTATTAATCTCTTTAATTTAAAACAAAACAGCCAAAACCTGTTGGCAAAGGTTTTATTAACGTTATGATAAAAACAAAAACCAACTTCGATTACATGAAAGCTACACGTTTTTTATCTTCAAAAGACAAGAATCTGTCTATTCTTGAAGTTGAACGCAAAAAGCATCTTTACCTATTCTTGAACGCCAAAAAGCAAACTACAATTCACGAAATAAACAAGTTGTTGACTGACTAAATTCAAGAATTGTTTATTAAATTCAAGAATTATTTATCAAATTAAACAAAAACAATTCATGAACGCAATGGTCAAATCGAACAAGCTACGCCTACGCGTACCTTTAATTTAAAAGCCAAAAAAAAAAAAAATAACGAAGCCGACTTCCACGAACATCTTTCTAAAGTTCCTAGGATTCAAAAAGCGATTATAACAAAGATTCTAAAAAAATAATTAAAATAATCACGAAGATTCTTATGTGTTTAGAAGAAAAAAAACGAATGATTGAGATTAATATCATAATCAAAAACCCTAATCAGATTTTCATATTTTAATCCTACATGATGATCGAATTGTCGTGAATCATCAATCAAATAATATAATCATATACGATTGCAAAAATAAAAGATGAAAAAGAGATGTATGATAATAAAAAAATTAATTTACCTGTAAACATGGGATTAAGCAAACGAGATTTTTCTTCAATGAGGGTTGATCAAGGATGAACGTTACGCCAACTCTTGTGTTTGTTCTCTTATACGTACGCACTCACAACGAAGCACAAAGAGATTTTAATTCGTCGAAACGGAATCAATACAATAAGATCAATTAATTCGATTTCTAAAAGGAAAATATTTTGGGATTAAGGAAAGATATAATCAATAAAATATTTGTTTTTTTTAAATTTTAAAGAAAATGCTTAAAATTAGGCAAAGTGGGAGGGATTAAGATTAGGATGTTTAACCAAGTCGGCCGTTCCTCTCTCGCTTGCTGTAAATCCTTAACCTATCCTAATTTTTAGCTTTATGGATAAACAAATAAACACCTTTTAACTATTTTACAGCTTCTCGATGGTAACAAAATTTTCAGTAATTTATTATTCACTTCCTTTTTTCCTTATCCAAAGGATATGACTCTAATTACTAATAGCCACAATTTTACGAAAAAAGGATAATTCCATAGTGGAATAAGATAATTCTTAATTTATTTGTGGGGAGAAAACGCAACCTAATTAAAATTTCAATTTCCCTGGGATTATGAGATTTGGATGGGATATGTTGATCTATTTAGAGCTAAAACCCTATATTCATGAAGATATACATTTCATCACATTATCCTAAAGTTTGGTGTAGAGTATATTTTATGATTTATGCATAAAATCTAGAATCAACTTCTAAATCACTATGGATTACGTTTGTATGTACCAATGTAACATCAGTTTTATTTGCATTTGTTACTTTAGTTTTCAGATGTGAATCGGAGAAGTCGGCAAGAAACAATTTTTTAAAAAAAAAACTGGTGAAACTGATAATGTATTCAATAGTTTACTTAACCAGGATCGACAACACAGAAAGACTTGCCGCAAGCTGTATGTACCTAGACCAACGTTATCTGAAAGTGAAACATTTAAAAGATTTTTGAGGATAAAGTCAAATGTGATGAGATGAGCTCTCAAAATAGATAGAAGATAATAGAAGTTTTCTGTAGAGTATAATAAGTTTTTTTTTATTTGTTTTCAACTAGTTCTTTTGATCATTCCCAAAGCAGCTTACTTGTCATCAAAAGCTATAAAAATCTAGAACATAAAAACAAAGCACATTAGATAATCATCAAACTCTGGCCCTTTGAGTATATCATTTGGAAGAGTGAAAAGTTCGTCAAGTTTTTGAGAATACAAAAAGGCACAAAACCTACATAAAACCAAGGGAAACAACCGCACAGAGTAATATATTAAGGTTTCATAAAATTCATAAATACACAAGAAGATAATGGTGATCAGAATGATATTAATTAATGATATAATCTCTTCCTCCAAAATAAAATTTAGAGGTGATCAATGTCATATACATTAATTAAAAAAAGAAAAAAAAAAAAAAGAAAATTGGATTACATGTAAGAAGGTGGCTCAACATAATCACTACTAGTACTACAGACCAATGGATTCTGATTTAGTCTATAGGTCTCAGATACGTTTCCCTTCTAATAGACTTGGACCACACTGGTTCTTCACACTTGCAAGATTATGCTAGCGAATCCTGCAAAAATATATTTAAGAAGATTATAATGTAGCTATGAATATTATTATCTATTTAGGGGTCTTAAGTACTGATTATATAACTTATATGAGAGATTTACCATTTTCAATACAAAACTTTTCAAAAGAACCTCAAATGAGGATCAATGGGTAATCCAGCACCTACATAACGCGGATCGTATACTGTATTTGTTAGCCTGCAATAAGAAGTAAATACATTTATAAGTAATGTTACTATAACAATGTTTTGCTGATGTCAAATTTTAAAGATTTTGTAAAGCACTTCACCCATAATTTACCAGACTATATACCAACTGATATTAATCACTTATATTTGAAATAAACAAACCTTTCTTGATGATGACTGGCCCCGTTTGAAGTCGTATTACCATCTTGCCAAGGAGTTATATCCGACGAAGCTGCTACACTTGTTTCTTGAAACGGTAACATGATCCTCTGCATTAGTTAAATGTTTTGTCACACTCCTTTATATTTTTCCTTTTGAATAAGAAGATAGTTACTTGTATATGAATGCATGTGTTACCCTTCTTTTAGACGAAGAACCTTCATTTTCAAATTGGCCATAGAAACTGGGTTGTCTTAAACCTCCACTCTGCAATAGCCATACACCATATTTTTGGAATGTTCAATAGCGTTTAATGAAAAGTGTATATTATAGTTTTGTCTTGTAACAAAGATTTAATGTTTTGAATAATATGAATAAGAGTAGAAGATAACTTTACCTGTTGGAACAGTGTTTCTGTGTGAGAATTTTGGTACTGACTGTAGAGAGTTGGGTTCATAGACGGCATTGATGATGTGCCTGCTGTAACATGTTGTTTTCCCTTGTCTTGTGGGAAATAAGGCCTAAATTATAGTATAAAAAAGAACATGATGTATGCAATACTAATGCATGTTTCAATATGAAAAGATATGTGCTAACATGAAAGCCATTTTTTTACCTGCAGGGAGGGGTTAAGAGAGTTTGAGTTGTAGGTACCAAAGACATGTTGTTTGGTGTAGTATTCCTCACACTTGAAGGCACAGCATTTGGATATCTCCTGGGTCTAATAAAATTTATGAACAATATATCATCTTTTAAAACGTAAGATCATATGAAAAAAGTTAAGCAAATTAAAACATGTATGCTAAGACAGTGGTGTCACCTTCCACGGGGACGGCGAGGAGGGGCAGGGGTTGGTTTTTGGAAGGCATAAGCTAATGAGTCATGCTGGTATGAGGTTTGCGTAAATGGTGAGTAGTTTCCTGAACTGTAAAAACATTGGAAAAATATACATTTGTAAGTAATTCAATTCTTAGAGATCATATAAGCGACTAATCAAAAATGATAGACATGAAATGTATACTTCTGTAGTGTAAGGGTGTTGGAAATCATGGGAGGACGATACGCTTGATTCGTTGGAGTCGAGGCAAAAGGAACTAGGCATTGGTTGTTTCGCAATGTCCCCCTAAATGTTTATAATTTGAGAAAGATTAAACACAATTAATTTAAACATCTGTGGATAATCAAATCTTGAAAACAATCAAGAACTTAATTTCTTACACTGATGTTGGGGTAGAGGACATGTTAGAGAATTTTGGTAGCTGCATTTGATAATCCTTTTCATGGATACGCACGAGCTGTTCAAGTAGTAACCCGTTGTGATCAAGCTGATTCTCCTGATACCTGCGTTGGTAGATATTGTAGGAGCCCAAAAGTTCAGTTCCAACAGATATTTGTGTTATTATTAAATCTAAACATTTTTGTATATATGTTTAAGGAGAGAGTTAAAAGTTGCATACGAAGGAGGGTGAAACTGACGATCTTGAAGGCCATGCTGAATCAGATTGAGATTTGTGGGTTCGTTAGCAATATTCTCCACTTCTTGAATATTACTCATCACCTGAATCATCAGAATATTGAATAATCTGTGTAACCTATACATTATTGTAATGATCTATTAAATAAAACAGAGAGTTATAGAAAAGTTTGTACCATTGTTGAAAGATATGGCTCGGTAGAGAAATCAGGAATTGTTTGGGACATAAAAGCTTGTTGATAACTTTGCTCTAGATGTCCATTGCTTTGTAAATGGATTGATTGCTGCTGTAGCTCATTGGTCATCATTGTATTGCTCGAGGTTGGAACACAATTCCCATAGTACACATTTTCTCCTTGGCCAACGCTGAATACAGAAGACGACTGCAAAATTTACAAGATTAGTAAATGATATATCAGAACAAATTATTCAATATTGGGACGTATATGTCATTAAAGCTTACCATGTCATTAAAGCTTGCACCAGTGTTGAAATACTGAGAGTAATCATCCTCCTGATGAAAGCTTTGATTCTGTTGGACTATGGCTGTCTCTTGATGAAAGCTTTGATTCTGTTGGACTATGGCTGTCTCTTGATCAAAGCTTGGGGTTGTTGTCAATGTCCCTTGATCAATGTTTAAATTCTCCATTAGTGATGAAGTGAACACATCACTTGTGGTGGCAGAGAAAGGTACAAGTCCACCAAAGTCATTATGTTCATTCCCCACACCGTCCTACATGTATACTTAAAGAATGTTAATTATTACAAGTTATGTTTTATAATTTTGTTTAAACTATTATATTCTGCATAAGAATTAGTATGTGAAAAGAAAAAGAAAAAAAAAAAAAAGTGAGAGATGAAGTCATGAAGAAGTATACCGTGAGAGCACCAAAATTGTCTGGCAAGTCCAAGAAAGAAAGTCCAAGATCGTCACCTGAAGCCATTTCTTAACAACACACTGCAATATTCACAATATCAAATCAATCAACGTATATTGTATAATTAGCACCCACCAAATTAATAAAAAAAAAAGAAAAAAAAACTCGAAAAACATTGTTTTCAGACGACATATATAAATTTATGTATACTTCAAAGCCATTCTTATATCAACAAGTTGAAGACAATCACATCGTCCAAAATAATGAGATGATTTCAATATATTTTGCTTTGTTTTTGATTTTTTTTTTCCTTCTTTTTTCCTATTTATTCTTATCAATTGTCATCCTTAATAGTTACAGCATCAATATCATAATTCAAACCCATATCCTACATATAATTGATAAAAAGTGAATAACTATGAATTAGTACAGAAAAAGGAAAAGCTTAGATGTAACCAAATTAGAATTTGGGATGCCTATATAGTTAAATAATAAATTCTAAAAGCTATATATATTTTCTTCAAATAAACATAATTTTACATCATCCTCATCGTCATCATCATCGACTTTTTAGTAATGTAGATTGATAAAAAAAAATTTGAGGAACAAACAACTTGTTCTTAAGAACTTAGTTTAGAGTCGAATATATATGACATAACAGAGCTGAAAGTTTTATTATCATTTTATAAGAATATAAATATAATTTTAATTCGTAACGAGCAGTAGATGAATTGATTTACATTAAAAGATGGAGACGGAAAAAACCTCAAAACCATGTTTAATATATCTATAAAGATGATGTGAACGAAAAAGAAATGTACCTTTTTCAAAAAGAAAGGAGATCAGAGAAATATCCTCGAAAGAAACCACGAGACTGCGAGAACAAAAAGAAGTATCAGAAATGACAGAAGTAGCTGATAAGATATATACCGGAAGAAGCATAAATTGTTTACTTTGAGGAAAAGAATTGTGTATTGCGTCTACAATTTTGTTTTTCTATATGATTACCTCAGTTTTTATACTTGATTAAAGTTGAGATGCGCAAAAGCTATTGTCTTTGTTCAGACAGTAAAATGAAAAGAAAAAGCAAAGATGTAAAATTTAGTTGACACTTTTTTCTTCAAACAGTAAAATGAAAAAAAAAAGAAGTAAGTGATTGGATAAAATACTAAGACAATGTGTTTTAAAGCAATCATACCTTTACTAAGAAAAGCTAAAAATAGTTCAAATTATAACATTATTTCTTTTTACATTTTTGGTGAAAATCTTTATTTTAAATTACATACCCCCAATAATATCAAAATTGGATTTCTTTCCTCAAAAGTATATGTATGTATACATATATATACATATTATACATTATATACATATATATATATATTATACATCATATACATATATATCTTATTTCAATAAATTGACATAATTTAGCCATTCATCAACAAACAGATGGAAATTATCTTAATATTGGCATTGCCTTGGGCCCTTGGTTGGATTGAAGATTTAACTTTAATAAAAAGTATTTCTAGCTTATGAAAAAGTTAATTTTATAAATAATAAATGGATAACTATGAAAGTTTTAGCTTACACATCATAAATTGGTAACTTTTTTGAACTTTATAAATTAATGACTCCATAAAATTTTGTATTTTTCTTAAAAAAAATATTAGTTAATGTATCAAATTGAAATTAGAATATTTAACCAAAAAAATAAACAAACGTGACTAAAAATAATGTATTACAATAAACTATTGTGCTATACGGTATATACAAATCGAGCAAATTAGTGTCAAATCGTCCGGGCACAAAAAATCATCAGAATCCAGATAAAAATTGGGACATATTTTGGTTATTTTTCTTCTTGTCCAAAATTCTTTGTCTTTGTAAAATGACAACAACGAATCTACAAATCTGGAGATACCAAAATACATTGTTCTACAGTTTTTAACTAGGAAATTTTTAAAAAAATTGGTAGTAAAAGATTTTTAAATCAATATTAAGAAATATTTCTTAAAAAAAATTGTGACAGTTTTGTTATTAATCTAAATAGAAAATATAATCTTTTAAGAAAAATATCTTACAATTATTTCCTTAAAAGAAAAATGACTGTATCATTTTTATGTGGATATATACTGAAATGAAATGGTAGAATCCCAAAAGATATTAGGAGATGAAAATAGAAACTTAGATTTTTCTATTAAGTATTAAGGAAGAAAATCTTAGGCCTGGTAAGAAATATCTATCCAAATTAATTTATTTTACGTCAATCATGAAATAGCTTCTTTTCTCCCGTGAAACAAAATAGCCATTTTTGATATAAACTGGCAAGATAAAATTTTCATTGTAAACTAACGAAAGAAAAAAATGCATATTACAGTCTAGAGTCACAAAATCTATTGGTATCGAAAAATACCAAGATACAATTTATATATAAAAAAAAAAAATCTAGTATGAAAACATATTTAATAAGTAAGTCCAGAATAGACCATGATTTGCCAAAAAAAACTGTGATTGCCTACAAAAACTTATAATGTCACGTAAACAAAAGATATAAAATAAGTGTTGCCAAAATTTTTGTTATACAAACATATAACACGATCGTCATCGTTTTCTCATCTCATGACGAAAAACAAAATTCCAGTTTTTTTTTTTTGTTATATATGGGTTGTTGTAGGGAAGAAAACGAATAAGTTTTTATAAAATGGTATTACATAAAAACATAATCTTTGAGATTATTGGCTACTGAGCTGAGGAACCTTAGTTTCATAGTCGGAGATTTCAGGGTCAGCTTGTGCCTCCGTCGTCACCGCCGGAATATCACCTTGCTGAGCTGGCATCATCTCCTCTATACTAGGAACCACACCTCCATGCTGCCACATTGTCCAAATGTAACACGTCAATGTTTTAACATTTTAATTAATTATAAATAAAAAAAAGAAGTTGAAAATTTAATTTAATTACAATGTAAAATACCTGTTGCTGCATAGGAGCGAATAAGGCCGAGGATGAATACGCCTGAGCCCATTCAGGGAACATTTCACCGTTGTGGCTCGTCACGTGGCATTCACTCATGTTGTTTTGGTTCGAGCTTGAGCTACTTCCTTGCAACAATGGTTCATACATTGCCGATGATAGTTCTCTGCCATAATTGATGTCAAAATGTATCAAACTATCACAATGTTTCTTGACTGATTAAGGTAGAAAAATCCTTAATGTAATTGATATATATATTTTTATGACTTGAGAAAAAAACCTGAGTTGATTGGAATGGGCCGATGCATCAAATAGATGGGTTTGGTTGTGACCACTTTCAGGCAACCAACCTTCAACGACGTCGTTTACAAAAGGACCAGCGATGCTTTGTTGCATAGTAGATGCTGCGTCGTAAGAAGATAAATGATGGCTGCTCAAGAGATGATCTCGTCGTTGGAGAACATGTGATAGAGTGTCGAGAAGTTGCTTCTCACAGACTTCATAATCCTCCATGCTCGTGAACCTTACTGGATCTGGTTCGTATCTCCTGCTCATATTAAGGTTATAGATACTGTTAAAGGATATTTTAGTTAATTAACATATGTAATTTATAAAGTATAACATAGAACATTTTTGAGTTTAGTTATAAATTACTTTAGCTCTTCCTCAGCCATTTGGAGTTGTTGTTGTAACCTACAAACTTCACGTTCAAGTTCCTGGATTTTCCGATTATAAAAGTGAGACAGTTAAACTACGTAGAAAGAAATGTATATATCTCTGTGATGGAGAATTTAAAGACTAGTTACCTCGACGTCGGAGTTGATAGATGTAGGACTTTTTCAATGTATACGACAGACAAAGAGAGTTTAGTGTATAGTTAGAAGTGTACGTACGTTGAAAAATTTATATCTTTGTGAATGTACGTATGAGATCATAAAAACGAATATAACAACAAAACACAAGAAATTTACGGACTTAGTGTGTTGAAGAGCGATGTCATTTTCAGTCTTGAGTTGCTGCAAAATCCTTAGTAAACACTGTCACACAAGAACATTATTGTAGGTTAGGAATTAGATTAAAAGGCCAACATAATGAATGCAAAATAAATAAAAAATCATTATGATTAGACGAACCTCTTTGCTTTGAATATCTCTGAAAAGAAATAGGAGGCAAAAAAAGAAGTCAAGAGAGACTCAAGAAAATAATTATGTAACGTAACATATAAAAATACATGTGATACATACGGGTGTCTACTATGGTCGGGAAAGCAAGCACTGAAACAAAAGAAAAATAAACAAATAACCAAAAGTCAGAGTTTGCTAACAAAATCATAAAATGTTTTAAAAACCCAAAAAGACAATGTAAATGTAATTAAGGAATTTAAGTAGTGTTAGCGTACCTCTCTCGTTCTTGTTTAGGAAGATTGATGAATCTTGTAAAAACGTCTTCGATCCTTATAAAGAGATGAATAACATATGATATGATCCATATGTGTATATATAGTTTTTAAAGAAAAAAGATGTTTAAAAAAGGTGGTAGCAAATACCGAGTTTTTCCGGAGAAGAGGCTAAGGCGATCGGAAGGAGAGAACATGATGAGAGCAATGTCGATATCACATAGAACCGACAGTTCATAAGCTTTCTTTATCAAACCATTTCTACGTTTTGAGAACGTAACTTGTCGGTTCGTTGTATTCTCTATTCTCTTGATCTCTAGTTTCACGCGACCCATATTGGTGAAGCTGAAAGAGATTACGATTCATCCAAATCCTAAGTTTGATGTAATAATGCTGATCACTGGTCTTAATCTACAAACAAAAACTTCATAAAGAAAGGAAAAAAATGGTTCGAATCAAAAAGTTTTTGTTAATATACGGAAGAAGAGAAAAAAAGAAGCTAATAATAAGGCGAACTAATAGGAACTAAATATAGAGTGTTTGACTATATTCCCTCTCTTGCATCGTTTATTACTCCTTCATCAAAAAAATATTTGGATGAGATTATTGTGATTCTCATGCTTTATCTAACACTTAAAGTAAGTTTTAAAATTTCAAGTATCTATGTAAATTTCGGATAAACAGAGCCAGCGATTAAAGTCACAGTAAGGCTTAATTGTCTGATTAACAAAAGAGATCGAAATCACATATCCCCAAGGATTTTGTCTTGCATCATGTCTTGAACACATAAATCGACAACTTCAAGAAAATGAATTCCCTTAAGGCATTACCTTTTTCTATGTCAGTGCATCGAGCTAAGCGCTTCTCCGCCGCGAGGGAGCTTACGAGAGATTAGAGAACAAACCAGTTTTGATTGAAAAGGCTTCAAATCAATACCATACGAGAATTCCCAGTTTGAGGAGATGTTCTTAACCCAATTTGCAGTATAGTTTTTACAAATTTTTCTTTTTCTCTGCCTTATGAGTCTTTGGTTCAATATATTTGGAATTTTTTTATTTTTGTTAAGCATGTCCAAGTCTAAATCCAAGATAATGTATATATAATCAAACATCAAGGGATGTGAGTATGTGTAACAACCACCAAATTCCCAATAAACAGAGCCAACGATTAAGTCACAATGAGGACTAATTTTCTGATTAACACATAAACGAAAAAAGTGGGGAACATAGAGTAGTACTACATTAACAAAAGAGAAACAGAATTGGAAAATGTCATTGGTAATGTCTGAATCACCTGAAACACACATAAATAGACAACATTAGAGACAATCTAGTAACAGATCTCTTTAGTTAGTTTCTTGAGAAACGGAACACAAAGCTGGTTTCATCAGATCACACATTGTTCATGAACACAGATGCTAGTAGTTAGCAGTACTAATGAATGAGAGACTAGTGGTTTACTTATATTATTGATCGAATGGGTCTCTGTACCAATATGAAGAAGAGAGAATCAATGGTGAGTTTCATCGAAAACCCAAGGCTCATGCACGAAAAGCTCACGGCCATTCATTTGGACACGGCCTGAAGCTATGTCCTCTTCACGTTTCCTTGCTGCTTCAGCTTGTTTAGCTAATAACTCAGCATCCTTTACAAGAAACATAGCTAATTCAGTTAGGTTTAATCAATGACGATTTCTAAATCAACAGTTCAAGACCTAACTCAATATGAATCTTTCATTACCTGCTATAGCTTATAACCAATTACGCGTTCGACAAGAAATCTAAAATCTAGGGTTCTTCAAATTTACTAAAGAGGAATCAATTTGTAAAGGGGGAGAGAAAGAAGAGAGAGATATAGAGAGACCTTTTGGCGTTTCCAGGCGAGGAATTGATCTCTAGAGATTGAGATCTGCCTAGTTTTTGGCGTTTCTTCTCCATTATCTGCTCCCATCGTTTGCTTTATCGTTCGTCTCTCTCTCAACAACGCACAAATTTTAATTTCGTTTTCTCTGTTTTGATCTGTTTTATTTCATAAACTTCGTAAAAATTATTGTTTTTTAAACGACAGCGTATTGACTGATTAATAGATTATTTCCTTTTACTCGTTACGTCGTCGTTTCGTGAATTTGGCAAAATAATGAAAATATACATGCGGCTGAGAGTTATTAAAATAAAAGCTTCCAGCCTTCTCGCTTCGCATTTTGACCTTTTTTAATAAAAATTGTATCACCATGCAACAACGAAATTACTAGCGGCATCTTCACAAATTTCGGATCTAACAGCTTCGGATCTGTTTTTGTTGTTCAGTGCAACTGAAACTTGTATCATTATAGTTTTTCTTTTCTATTTTTTAGCAGGTTTCAAACAAAACACACACAAAACATTCAAGATTCATTTTGATAAGTAAACTTGTAACTTCTAAGGAGAACCAAGATCTGTTCTTCTAAACTTCACTTTCAAAAATATTTGTAGAAGAATATTTTTCTCTTTTTGTTTAATTACAAAAATCGAATTCTGCAAAAGACCTTTTCTCTCTTCTTTCCACAACCGGGAAGTGACTTTTAAGAAAGAAAAAAAAATCCATTCATACTTTCTTGAATAAAACTAATTTAAATATAAAAACATCATTATTTTTTCCTCTTTTTTTCTTCTTAAAATTAGGGTTTCTGTTTGATCTATTTGGAGAGTGATCAGCTTGTTTCAATGAAGCTAGACAATATCTAGGTTCATCTTACAATATTTATCGTCTTACTTCAATAAGACGTCTGTAACAATCTGGCTTTTCCATATTTTTCTTCCTTTTCATGGAAGAAGGTTAGAGGACAAGAAGAGGCTAACATCAAAAATCTAATCCGTCTCCCTGTGTTCATAATCTCAGGTACATATCTAATGTATTAATGTTCCACTATCAATGGTTTTGTTCTTTCTGTTTTATCTTTAATATGATAACATTTTATTAAATCATAATTTTTTTTAACAAGATGTGTGTCCCTTCAGGTTATACATGGATATTCGGCATCATAAGCCTTTAGAAAAACCTAAAATTTTAGTCACCATACGTTCGTATTGATATTAGTATAATCATCCAATAATCGTGATAGTCTAAAAGTGATTCTAAGACGACTTATATAGGCATAAGAACTTTTTTTGTAAATTAATTAATTATCATCTTGTAGCAAGAAGTTTTGCAATTTGCATACTATGATATGAATTTATTAGTGAAAACTAATTTCTTATTCTTAATTATGTACATACTAATGGTGCTTCTTTTTTGGCAACTAGGACCACTTAAGAGTTATTCTAATGGTGCCTTTTTTTTTTGCCAAACAGCTTGACATTTCTATAAATACGGTTCTTCAGTGTTTGCTACAAAACACACATAGCAATGTCGGCTAGAGCTCATCCTGTGGATGGTGACGAAGATATCTCCGCGGCTGATGTATCTTTCCCGCAGCAAAGAGATACACCGTATGTCCACAAAGTTGAAGTTCCTCCCAAGCAAAACCTCTTCAATGAGTTCATGTACACTTTCAAAGAAACTTTCTTCCACGATGATCCTCTAAGGCATTTTAAGGACCAGTCTGTGTCCAAGAAGTTCACGCTCGGTATCCAGTCTGTCTTCCCGGTTATCGAGTGGGGAAGAAAATATAATCTTAAGATGTTTCGCGGTGATCTCATTGCCGGTTTAACCATTGCTAGTCTCTGCATTCCTCAGGTTTTGAAAACAAATTTAATCACGTGTGTCACAAGTTACTTCTGTAAGTAAGAAATCTAAAGCAGATATGTATTCAAATGGTTTCAGGATATTGGATATGCAAAGCTCGCTAGTCTCGACCCTAAGTATGGTCTATGTAAGTTAATATCCATCTCATCCACGTTTGATATGCTCCTAAAGTCCTAATTACCGTCAATAACTTTTATTGAATTTACGTTTCATATTTCTTGCATTTATAAATTGACGAAACAAAAATCTATAGGAAAACAAATGTTGAAACCATAGTGTCCTTAAAACTGGAAGTATAATGTGACAAAGTGATAGATGTTTTTGGCGTTTCTTTGTTTTCAAATTCTTGACTAGATTCAAGTTTTGTTCCTCCATTGGTGTACGCATGTATGGGAAGCTCAAAGGATATAGCCATCGGACCGGTAGCAGTGGTTTCACTCCTATTAGGCACTCTGCTTCGGGCAGAGATCGATCCCAACACAAACCCTAATGAATATCTCCGCCTAGCCTTCACCTCAACGTTCTTTGCCGGTGTCACTCAAGCTGCACTCGGTTTCTTCAGGTAACTTACTAATCCACTTGAACATATCAACGATGTTCCTAAACTGATACTTAACCTCTAAACTTTTTTCCAGATTAGGTTTCTTGATTGATTTCTTATCCCATGCGGCGATAGTAGGGTTCATGGGCGGAGCAGCCATCACCATTGCTCTTCAGCAGCTCAAAGGATTCCTTGGAATCAATAAATTCACCAAGAAAACCGATATCATCGCGGTTCTTAGCTCAGTAATCAGTTCAGCCCATCACGGAGTAAAGATTCATTCAAATCGCTCTGTTTTTAGTTTCTTTCACTCTTTATGTGTCCTCACCGTTTGGTTATCATATGCTTGCAGTGGAATTGGCAAACAATACTCATTAGTGCATCTTTCTTGATCTTCCTTCTACTCTCCAAGTTCATTGTAATTCACCAAACTATCGATTGCGATCTCTAGTAAATTTCGTTTTTATTGTTCTTATATGATCTTCTGACAAAAACAGGGGAAGAAAAACAAGAAACTATTTTGGATTCCAGCGATTGCTCCATTAGTATCTGTCGTCATTTCAACCTTCCTCGTCTACATAACCCGAGCCGACAAGAAAGGAGTTCAGATAGTAAGCACATAACCTTATAAGCTTAAATAAATTAAACCCTAAAGTTACTTCTGACGCAAGCTATTCTACTTTGAGTTGTCTTATAATTTGCTTCTCCTCAGGTGAAACATCTCGACAAAGGTCTAAACCCTTCTTCTTTGCGTCTAATATATTTCTCCGGCGATTACCTTCTCAAGGGCTTTCGCATAGGCGTTGTCTCAGGCATGGTTGCCTTGACGGTATATACTTACAAAACCCCTACATTTATATGTAGTAGTTTCTTTCAGTTTAGTTTACAATGCTCAAATAACACTATAATGTTTTACGTAAATGCAAACACAAATCTTTGTAACAGGAAGCTGTAGCGATAGGAAGAACATTTGCAGCAATGAAAGACTACCAAATCGATGGTAACAAAGAGATGGTAGCATTAGGAGCAATGAACGTGATCGGTTCGATGACCTCTTGCTATGTATCCACTGGTTCGTTCTCAAGATCAGCCGTCAACTTCATGGCCGGATGTCAAACAGCAGTCTCCAACATCATCATGTCAATCGTCGTCCTCTTAACGCTTCTCTTCCTTACTCCTCTTTTCAAATACACACCCAACGCGATTCTTGCAGCCATTATCATCAATGCCGTGATTCCTTTGATCGATGTTAATGCCGCCGTCTTGATATTCAAGATCGACAAGCTCGATTTCGTTGCTTGTATGGGAGCTTTCTTTGGTGTCATATTTGTATCCGTTGAGATTGGCCTTCTCGTTGCCGTACGTCTCAAGAAACAGTCATATGTGTGGATTAATAAGACCTTTTCACTTTTCTTGGCTGATCTTTCTGTGTGGTGTATGTTCTTGTTTTAGGTGGGCATATCTTTTGCCAAGATACTCTTGCAAGTTACGAGACCTAGGACAGCAATTCTTGGAAAGATTCCAGGGACTTCGGTTCACCGGAATATCAACCAGTATCCTGAAGCGACTAGGATTCCCGGAGTTTTGACAATTCGTGTTGACTCAGCGATTTACTTCTCCAACTCCAATTATGTCAGGGAAAGGTACGAGAACTTATCATGAAACCAAGTTTGAACGGTTACTTATTTTTTTCACAAGAAATTAATGAGTACAACCTTACATTATTTATGTTCTTGAAATTTGTAGAATTCAAAGATGGTTGACAGATGAAGAAGAGATGGTGAAAGCTGCAAGCTTGCCTAGGATCCAGTTTCTGATCATCGAAATGTCACGTAATGAATTAACCCGAGTTCTTTTATATATATATAAATGTATATCTAATTAGACATGGATCGCTACGTACGTAATGAGCACTCTCATTCACAGTACATAATGTCTTACTAAACGTTTTCAGCTGTTACGGACATCGATACTAGCGGTATTCACGCCTTAGAAGACTTGTATAAGTCTCTCCGAAAACGAGACATTCAGGTATACGTTATACACATCGTAAACCAACAGCTAAAGCGGAAAGGCTATAGAGAAGTTATAAAACTGACCTTTTTTTTTCCGTTTACAAAAACAGTTGGTTTTAGCGAATCCAGGATCGGTGGTCATACATAAACTACACGTTTCTCACTTCGCAGACATGTTAGGACACGACAAAATCTATCTAACGGTGGCCGAAGCCGTGGATTCTTGCTCTCCGAAACTCTCAGACGAGGTTTGAAATGAGAGGAGAAGAATCTTGATGATGAAGCAAAAAGACAAATTATGTTGTACAGACTGAGTTAAGTACGTAGTCAGTGACTCTGCCTTGGATCTATCTTTTTTTTTTTAATCTATACCCAATGTGTGACGTAGAGGTCAAGTGTAAAGTTGACCTATGAGCCCATATAGAGAACAAAGACCGAGAGACATTATTGGTTAAAGGTCGCTCAGATCAGATATCTTTTATCCTACTTCTTTTCGCACTTGTGTATCGATAAATGATTTTATAACTTGCTAAGAAGACTAAGTTAAAATCATATACACATACATTGATGATCTATAGACATTAACATCGGAACAGCGTAACGCAACGAGAGACGACTAGGGGGGACTTTATTGCTATATAATTATTGGTGGGAACACATTGACAAAACTTTTTTTTTTCAAGAGTCGAAACATTGACAAAACAAGAATGAAAACAAAATTATATAAAAACACTTCTCCCTAAATAAATTAGGTGTGGACCATAAGTTGAAGCCCACTTGTGTATGTACTCTTCGTTTGATGTATGATGGGATTATGACCTTTTTGTTTTATCAACTAATGCCATGGTTTAGTCGTTTAGACGTCTTGTGCGTTACAAGGTCGTTATCTCTCTATACATATCAATCTTCTTTAATGTATTATGTCTACATGATAGACCTAGTTTGATGTTTTAGGTATCTATTTGATATCTTTGGTGTATTTTTAAGTTTTTAACTATGACATCAATTTTGACTAAAACAGTTACAAAACCGTCTGTGTAAGAAAAAGAAAAACAAATACACACATCTCTTCTCGAGATCATTAATTTGAAAATAAAGTGTCACAAGACGTAAGTTGCAGAGACCGACCATTTTTGTACAATGTGCCGACTCTGTTGTTAGTACTGTAAACGAGAGTGTGTCCTCAAATGCACCAATCAAAACGAGTTTTGCAGTTCTTGATTTGTGTATCATTTCTTTTTATATAAGAAAAGACCAAAGAGCTGCTCTGCTCAGGACAATCAATCAATCAATCTTCCTTCATATTTAAAAATTCTCAGTTTTTATGTAATTAGGTCAATCAATATTGAAGGCTTTTTTACTATTGCAAAGAGACATATCGGTCACCAAAGTGGACCATCTGTAGCCCAGACTTTAGGAGCTATAAAACAACATTTTTCCTTTTAAATGTCATCGTGAAAAAATTGCATAATGTATTCAGCCAAATATTCTGAATTTATTTGAGTCTTGATTTTAGATGATTTGAAGTGAATTTAGGGAACAAGATTTTGCTAATTCCTTAGTTTAATAACCTTAAACTTATATAACCAAAAAAAAAAAAACTTTATTAAATATGAGATTTCTTTATTAGAGTCATTCCAAACAATATAATTTTAATTGTGATTGAATACACATACACACCTAAACTAAATAATTGATTAATATAAAATATAAAAATAAAAGACAAAAATAATTTGAGATAGACGACAAAAAACAATTATAACGAATAAAAAACACGAAGAATCGGAATCATGACGTGTCGTCATAATATTAAGAACAGAATCAGATCAGACAAAATCAACGGTTCAGATTAGCTCCTAAGTTTATGGCTCTTGTTTTATCTTCTCTGTCTCTTCTCCTTTACTCACTCTTCTCTTTTTTCTCTCCTTTTTACTCTTTGCCCTGTTCACTCAGAGCATCAAGAACACACAAAGAGAGAAACCAAAACCAAAAAACAAACGATGTTGCTGGGGAAGAGACAAAGACCACCGATAAAGAGAACCACGAGTCTTTCCGAGATCAAGTTCGACTTGAACCAACCTAGCGAACAAGAACCGTCTGATCATCAGATTCAGCTCGTGACCATTGATGAACACCGTCACGTTCACCAACGTTTGTTAGATCAACGTCTCTTAGCTATGGTCTCACCCAGAGGTACGCAGAGGAGGCACTCAGCTGATTGTTCTGAAGATTTTCTGAGATCTTGCTCTCTTTGTAAACGTCATCTTGTTCCTGGCCGTGACATCTACATGTATAGGTATGCATATTACGAACTAAAGATTAATCTGAAGGTTTTGGTTTAAACTAGACTATGGGAACTAACGGTTTGATATGGCTGTGTTGGGATTTGAGCAGAGGAGATAGAGCGTTTTGTAGTTTAGAGTGCAGGCAACAGCAAATCACGGTGGACGAGAGGAAAGAGAAAAAGAAAGGTTCGGTGAGAACTACCACCGTCGTATCCGCCGGAACCGTCAACGGTGAGAGTGTTTCCGCCGCCGTGTAGGTCTCTTTATGATTTGTATATGGTTATTGTTATTATATGTATAAGTTTTAAAGCATTGAGCGTTAACCATATGTTAATCTTCTTATAAACTTTGCTTTGTAACTTAAGACCATGGTGTTTTTTTTTGCATATTAATTAGATTTGTGTTTTTCTGATTATTCTATCTGACTACCTTTTTTACATGTTCAAGATATTGTGTGGACATTAAAAACCAAAAGAGTTTAAATTTCTTTATATAACATACAGTTTATAATTGACAACTAAAGAAAACTATATTTGTGAAAATCGCATACCAACTTGTATGTTTGTATGTACCTTAGTGTACTCTAGATTTGTATGTATTGCATACCACCAAGAAGATATGTATATTCATCGTACTATTTTAACTTGATGCTTCCATTCGAATATAAGAATATGATCCAATGGAAATTTCGTCATTCGTTCTTATTAAAACAGAGCAAAAATAATCTGATTTTTTTGTCAAGTAAGGAATCTAATACCTATTCAGCCTAGTATTGGCTGGTCCCTGTTAGGAGATTCTTACTTATTTCTATGTCTCGATATTTATAGATTCCTAGTGGCTAATGCATTATGGTGTCTCCCTTTGCTTTCGATAAAGATTACAAAATAGTACATAAATTCTTGTTTTAGGAGAAATATTCTAGCCAATGAGTTGATAATAACTTTTATTTTCCAGCTTTATATGGTTAAAAAGAATCTCAATTATTAGAAGTTGGGTGGTGCTAGTGACATCGTTGTGTAGTTTTTATAATCCAAATTACATTACATATGTTGTTGTTGACGATAAAAGAAAGTCAAAAAGAGTTTCACATTGTTCAGTAACTTTTGGGGTTGAATAGTCTCTGTCTTCACCTTCAAAAAAAAAAAAAACCAAACTTGTGATGAGCTTCTTCTTCTATACTTTTTCCATTATAAACTAAGCAAAGACAAGAGAGGGAACAGCTCATGTGGATCGAGCTCATTTAAACTTTATAAGTAGTTCATATCATGCTCATGCATGATGCATTCCAATTCTTAATTTGTCATTTTCAATATCCTTTTCATAATTAATGTAGCATACAAGAAAACTCAAATAAACCTTCCGAGTTTGATTTTTGCGAACATGCCCATTAAGCCATGGCAAGTTATAAAACGGGCTGACGAATAAAGCCTATTTCACTTCACATCTATGGGCTTCATGAATCGAACGTGATAAACAGCTCTGCACTGTGCGTCTGTGCCAGTGCATGCCGTATTCCGAGGCAATGAAGTTTGGTATATTCGTTGTGACCAAAAATGATGATGATGCGTCAACTGTTTCCTCCAGTGAAAGATTTTTGTATGTTTTGGACAAGAAAAGCATCTTCGTATAGCATATTCGATAGCACACTACTGATTCATTTAGACATATGTCATCTTCTTTTTGCCAATTGTCAAAACTGAATCAGCAAAGTCTTAGTAGAGATGTCATGCAATTAGAAAGATCTCTCATCATCTAATGAAATTGGCTTCACACTTGATTTACAATAAAATCTATATACAATTCCAAAACCGAACCCTCTAGACGAAAGAGAAGGCAAAGACTTGGGGTTGCATATTGAAGGCTTTGAAGAGTTGCTTAATTAAATTAATGGAAAACGTATATTATCAAATGTGGTCTCTACAACCCCACGAGAGGTTGTTCACACAAATTTAGAGGTTCTCGCAAAACCTTCATTTCACTTAATCATACATACAAATATACAATGCAGTTCGATTAAGCATTCTATGTATTTTGTTCCATATACATAATTGAGATTAATAATTTTTCCATCGTGTGTTGTCTTTCACTGTCGGAATTGTCACTACCTCAGGAAGCCGATCTTGTTGTTTTATTTTATGTTTTAGTATAAGTTTTTACCTTTTTTTGGACTTTGGAAATTAAATTCAATAAAAAACAAGAATTGGAAACTTAACAAAAACAAGAAATAGAAAGACAAAAAAAAAAAAGAGAAGACATTTTTTTGATATTCTTAAAGCCTATATAAACCATCTAAAATCCTCCTCTTTTTGGGGCATTGAGAGAGGTTTTGTAGTTGGTGATTGCTCTCATCTTCATTGGTTTCATCGAGACATTTGATTAGAGACCAGGTCTGTCTTCTGTGTACAAAGCACTTGTTTTCTGGGTCTTTACTAGGCTCTGTTCTTGAGTTTTTTTTTTAAAAGTCATTTGCAGCACTTAATTGTGCTTTGCTTCTTCCTAATTGGATCTCTATGTAATTAAGTTTTCGTTAATTGCTATTATTAGTGTTTTGTCGTGATCACTCAAGAGTTACTTCTCAAGGTTTTGTCGTGTTTTAGGGTTTGATTTCTCCGATTTAATCAAAAGTTTAGATCTTTAATCACGAAAAGTTAGCGAAAGCTAATTATAGAATTTTAACATTTTCAGAAATGGCTACGGCTACGTCTCACCAATCAATCGTTTCATTTGCTTCACACCGATCATTTTCTTCTTCTTCTTCCACGATCTCTCAATGTTTGTTGCGTGAGCCTTTCTTGAATCTGCCAATCTCTAAAGGGTTCAAGATCGATTCTTCACTGAGTTGTAATATTACCTCAAAAAGGAGAAACTTTTGCAAAGTTGAAGCAATGGCGTCTCAGACTGAGACATCTGTTTCTTATGACAACACTCTCTTGTCTCCTTCCAAGAACATACCTGACATTTCCCAGAAAAAAACAAGTAATTTGCTCTGCTTTGAGATTCCTCAAATTTAGTAAGGAAACGTTGGCTTCGTTATTGGTCATAACTGATTTTTTTTTTTTTTGATGGTTTTTAGATGAAGCAGCTTTGATATTGATAAGGCATGGAGAATCTTTGTGGAATGAGAAGAATCTTTTCACGGGTTGTGTTGATGTGCCATTGACGGAGAAAGGTGTTGAAGAGGCCATTGAAGCAGGGAAGAGGATTAGTAACATACCTGTTGATGTTATCTTTACATCTTCTCTTATCCGTGCTCAGATGACTGCTATGCTTGCTATGATTCAGCACCGACGCAAGAAGGTATATAAAAACCAAACCAAACTCAGCTGAGCAAATTTATCTTTGGGGGTTTGTAACATTTTTCTGATAAGCTGATATATAAACCTCATCTAGGTTCCGATCATCTTGCACGATGAAAGCGAACAGGCCAAAACTTGGAGTCAAGTTTTCAGTGATGAAACTAAAAGCCAATCCATTCCTGTCATACCCACCTGGCAGCTCAATGAAAGAATGTAAAACATATTTAGCTTTTACCATCTGTCAACATATGGAGCTTTGAGCGATAAAAGAGCTTATCTTCTTTCCAACGTTTTTGGATATAGGTATGGAGAATTGCAAGGTCTTAACAAGCAAGAAACTGCAGAAAGATACGGGAAGCAGCAAGTTCACGAATGGCGTAGGAGTTATGATATCCCTCCTCCCAAGGGCGAGAGCTTGGAGATGTGTGCTGAGAGAGCAGTAGCTTATTTTCAGGACAATGTAATGAAAAAGTCTTTGCAATCTGATTCTAACTTTTCTCCTGAGTTTTCACTACTAACATCGGATATCAATTGCAGATTGAACCGAAGCTTGCAGCTGGAAAGAACGTAATGATAGCTGCTCATGGGAACTCTCTGCGGTCTATCATAATGTATCTTGACAAGTTGACTTGCCAAGAGGTGTGACAAAAGACTGGTTTCATCTTCATTCTTGGTCATTGTTGGGTTTTTGGCGATTCAATGAATTTCTCTTTGTGGTTTTGGTTCTTAGGTAATAAGTCTAGAGCTATCAACCGGTATACCTCTTCTCTACATATTCAAAGAAGGCAAATTCATGAAACGGGGAAGCCCTGTTGGTCCAACAGAAGCTGGTGTCTATGCTTATACCAAGGTTAGGCATCATTTCTCTCTTCTTCATCTATTTAGATCTCTCTGTTTCATGGTTCTGAGTGTTTCTTTGCTTGCAGAGATTGGCTCAATACAGACAGAAGCTAGAGGAGGACAGTGAAGTATTATGTTCCTGAAGTAAACAAGAAAGATTGGTTCTCCCACTCTCCCTCAAGCTTAGGACCTTAGAAGCGTTTACAAAGCATATATAACTTCTGATTTTGTTCTCTGTGTCTGGTTCTTTTTTATTTACATGTGCCATATCCACTGTTACCTGAAGGGATAATGTTCAAAATCAACACCGCTTCCTTCTTTCAATGCATTCTGAGTTAAAAGCCTCACACACTTGTTAAAGTTGCCAAACTCTTTAAGCAAATAAGTATTATTCTTTTACTGCAGTTTTACTGGTCTCAGTTGGATAATAACAAACAAAAAGGAGTATAGCTCCAGCTTGATATAATTATATTGATGGGTTAAGTAAGAAAGAAGTTCATATTTGTTGTTGAACCAGAAGCTTCTTCTATTCTAGGCTTCTGGTTTAGGTTTTTCCAGTGTATCTAAAGAGGATTCCAAAGTCCCATTCTTGATCTTCTCATCTTCTTTGTCCTCCAAATGCTTATTTTCAGAGTCTGAAACTTCAGAATCTGAGTTGGTCAAAAGAGCTGAGGCTGATGTCACAGTGGTGTTTCCAAAGAACTTCAAATCATCCTCTCTCATTCTCTCAGCATATTTCTCAAAACTGAAACCCGCATCGCTGTTTTTTCCACCAAATTCAACCTCGAGTTGCTCCATATCGAAGAGATCCTCGAGAACCTTTTTGCTGAGGTTATCATCTGAGTAAACAAATTTCACCTTGTTGCAGGTCTTTGGCTCTAGAAACGGTTTCACCATCTGCATATTCACAGTTTCCTCTGATGTCAACAAGCTTCATGATACTAAAATACTTGGCATAAGGACATAGAGATATTTTGAAAATAACCTTATAAAAGGGTTCAAAAATCTTAGGCGGGTTGTATAGTATGGCCGCGCCTAAACGTTCAGGGTAATGTTCTTGTAACACATGAGCGGTTTCTCTCGACACTTTCACGGATATATGCGACATGTTGAAACCATGAAAATCGATTAGCCAAACCATTTGTTCTTGGCTATCCGATAGATTCAAAATTGCATTTTCCATACAGTACACCAAGAATCTAATCTGCCCTTTATAAGACTTTGTATTCTGTAGTAAAACCATAAAGGAACATCAATCCAAAAGTATAGAGAATCAGAGCTTTGATAGGAAATGGGATAAGAAACCAGACCTGGGAACTTGGTCTCATAACCAGAACTGTTCTTCCATACTTGTCAGTATAGTTAGCTCGGTATATCTTCCCGGTCTCCGCTTCTCGTGCAATCTCCTCCTATAACCATTTCAACAAGACAAGAAAAATTAGAACCATTTTGCATACACTGATCGTGATATTTACTGAACTTAAGAAGAATACATACCCATCGAATCTCCTCAGGTTTGTACTGAGTCCTCCATTTCAAGGTTTCTTTAAGCATCTTAGTTGCTTTCTTGACATGGCCATTACGCGCAGCTAAATAGCGAGCAATGGCAGCATCTGAACAAAACTCAGATGACTTCTCAGGCAATGGCCCAAGTAATGTCCTCACTTCATTTATCTATATTGTTAAAAATACAAAATCTCTATATCAAACTGAAACATGCAATATAATATACTTGATTCACACATCAAATACAAAATCATCACAGAGCAGTTCGTGAATTCCACTAATCATCATCTTTACCTTGCTTAAATACTCCTCTGGTTTTGTGGAATCAGAACTCATATCTTGCTTCAAAGAAGGTTTCAGGACAACTTTAGTTAACATCTGAACTTGATCTTACTCTTAGATAACTATAATCAAGAAATCAAAAGCTAAAGAACATAAACTTACCTAGAAAAAAAATGATATGAATTGGAGCGGATGATAAGCGATGAGATCGGGTCAAACTCAAAGCTAGATGTGGACGCACATAAATTGAGACCGAGGAGAAGTCTGAAGTTTTCGGTCTAAAAAGAATCAGAAGTCTCGTTGTAAGAAAAGTAGTAAGTAGATGGATTTTGTTTCAGGGCGGCTACGGACAATGTGATGAGAGAGCTCAAAGACACGTGACGCGCGATTGAGGAAAGAGATACAGACACAAGTACAGATTCTGTTCCTTGATCTCTAACGTGGACTTTAGTGGACTGGACCGGGAATTACAAACCCGGTTTGACTTCTTGATTTGATCTTTTGGTTGTAAATGTGAATGTGATGGTTGAACCCCTCTGACTTTACCTTACCAACGCAACCATGTTTCTCATATAAACGTTACAACCCAAAAAGGAATATGATATTGGGTTTGTTAAAGACTTTTGTTATTTGTGAACTTTGAATTAATTAAGCAGTTACACTATTTTCTAATCCCTTAAGAAAATAAAAATTTACGATTGAGTAAATAATTAATAATGAAACGACATGTAATTGCAACCAATGTGTTTAACTAAGATACATATACTTATATATTGCAGACTTAATGGGCCTAATCTTAAAGATCAGTCAAGAAGACTCATCGGTCCTCTCTAATGGGTTATCATTGGATTGAAGGTTAATGACTAGAATTTGATCCACTGATCCACCAAATAGAGTAGTTAACTGTTGACAACATCCGTTACAATTAGAGGAAGATTAGGTGAATAACAAAAGTTTATGAAAAGCAACAAAGGTGAATAAAGTGCCAAACCTCTTTTTTTAATGCCAAAGCTCAGTATATCAAGGAAATGAGCACTTGCTAATGCTATAAGATGGGATTGGCAAATAAACTATTCAACAAACGTACATGTACATCAGTTCCTTTTATTTCGGACCACGTTATCTATCGTCAAAATGTCTTGAGAGTTTTTTAAAATATATTTTCTCACGAAAATAACAGTTTGTATATATTTTTAAACACGTAAACGAAATTTTGGTTTTCATTTTGGATGCATAAGCATATTTATAACTTTATATAACGTATGTAAGAATATGTATGAATCATCCTTTTGCAACAATCTTGTCCGGATTCAATTTCCTTTTCCATTTGAAATAATACCAAAGTCTTGCAGAAGATTTGTAATGTATTGGCATATTGGTACCCATATGTCATGCAGAAACGAACGGAGACAATTCACCTAAAACCACATGCAAATCTCCTCTTTCCCCTCAGAAAACAACGTGCGTACTGCTCTGAAAACAACGACACCACACCCTTCTTTTCGATTTTACAAAACTACAAATTAAAATAATAATTTTAGTAAATTCACTTCTCACTCCATACCAACATTTTCACATGCATTTGTATTTTACCAACTTGTCTACTAGTAGTACTCTAGTTAGTAGCTATAGCTCTTATTTATTTATTTCTGTATGAGTATGTAAATGAAATTTAGGTGAGGACCAAAAGTAATAATAATAAAGATCTTTCAAAGTCAAGACTCAAGAGGCCGAGACCGAGACATCATCATAATAAGTGGAGTTCAAACTTTTAAGGTGAGAGATAGTCAAATAAACACAGTACAAAATAGACCTTTGGTCCCGCGGGCATGTGGCACATTCTCATTGGTCGTATGACTTTCAACAGATATAAACGCGTTTGACGGAAACCGCGTTGAGAGCATTAAAACGCAAAAGGCCAATGCCACGAAAGCCAAAAAAAAAAAAAAAACTCCTATCGGATCCACTTTTGCTTCTTCTTCTTTTTTTTTTGACCCATTTTTCACAATTCGGATCTTCTCTTTTCACTTTATGAAAATCTCTTTCTTTTAAAATAAAAATAAAATGGCAATGTATGTTGTACTATATTACTTGATTTAGATGCAATGAATCTAAGCTATCAAAAGACTACTTATAAATTATAATAATAACATCGGGAAGGAAATCGGGCGCGTGAGATCCACTCGCGGCGATTTCTTTCTCTTCACTTTTTCTTCTTCTGAGCACAAGTTCTTGCTCCGACGATGGGTCCTCCGTCGATTCCGGCGACGATGAGGGTTCTATGGTTTATGGTGCTTCAACCGCAATCTGCTGCTTGTTCTAGGCTACAATCACGAATCAAAATCAAGGGAGAAGTAGAGAGGGGTAGCTTTTGCGAGACACCATCGTTGGTTCCATCGGTGGTGTAGCGGCGCAGAGTGGAAGAGGAAGCCTTCACGGCGAAGTTTGAGAGAGAAACCGGTTAGATCTGGGACTAGAGATCCTGGAGGCTTTTTGAGGCCGCCGCTCGATGGGGGAGGTTGACTCCGGCCGAAGGAAGCTAAGCCACTGTCAACGGTTCCTAGATCTACTCCCTACCGTCTTTCGATCTCACGACAGAGCTTGAAGCTTTCACGAAATCAACAGCTCGGTTTCTTCCTCCTCCTCGAAGTTTCTCTACGGTGGCGGAGAGGCAAACGGATCTTTGATCACCTCCTTCGTTCGGCCGACGACGTCCAGGCACACCGGAGGTCTTTTCCGGCGTGTTTCCGCAGTTGTGGACGGCGGCTACGACGTGTTTTGCGTTTGTAGATTAGGGTTTCTATGGTACCGGTTAATTCTGGTTCTGCGAAACCAGGTCGGTTTTGTTTTCGTTTGGTTTAGTTTGGTTAGAAGCTGTAGATTGGGCCCCTTGGGATTTGGATGGGCCTAATCCGGAAATATGTAGTCCATTGGGCATAAATATTTAAATTGCAAGCCTTTTACAAAAAAAAAAAAAAAAAAGACTACTTATAGATAAATTAAGAAAGAATAATCCAAATATGTCAGTCATCTCTTTAGTTTACCCACAAAAGATGTCAGAGAGGGAACTGAGAGAGAGGAGAGAGTAGAGTATCATTTCGATTAAAAATAGGTATCCCAAAAAAGCTGTCAGTTATTAAGACAGCTAAGATTTTATTAGTTGACTATTTCCATTTTCCCCTGCGGACAGGACACGCTCTCGGCTTTATGAAATTTATGCGTAAGAGTAGGAGAGATCTTCGTGTTGCTTTCCCTTTTTTCATGCGTTGGTGTTTATTATTAGTATTTCACTTTTTTCACACTTTATTATATGACCAATCATTTTTATAGACCTATTAGCTAATTAGAGTTTTAAAAATAAATGGTGTGTGTATGGTTCGAGGTTGGATTGAACCCAATAGGAAATGAACAAACTCAGTTTGCGCAGAGCCAGTTAATGTAAATATTGAAACGTAGAGATACAACCAAGTAAGAACAAAAGCACTTAAGACAAAGTCATTGCACCGTTACACGTACGTATGCAAAGCAAGTAAGAGAAAAAAAATGATATATAAATCACAGCATCGTAATGGTGAACACGCACACGAGCCATCCACATGGAGTGCCCGCCTCCTTCTGCGGCTCTTCTCTCAACAATATATATAAATATATAATCACTACTGCAGGTTGATATTTTGCAAAACTAAACGATTTTTCAACCTTATGATTAGCAAATTAACAGCATACTTATATTTACAACTTTTACATATCAAATGATTGGAATTGCTATTTTAAACATGTATCCATAGTATCATTCTTTTTCCAATTTTGGGTCATTACGAAATTCGAATTACGGCACCCCTAGTCTCAACTTTGCAATTTGCATCACATTGACGCCTGTACACGATTACAGGAAGCAATATATTAAGTTACGCGAAGGCTTTATTAATATATCGTATAATGATGAAATATGTAAACATTAAGTGATCAAATAGATGATTTAATATATAGGCTAATGACATATGAAGAGTTCTCAGCCATTCATTCAAACTAGCCCCCTCTCTAGAGCCTTCTTTCTTAAACAATTTGTATGATAAATTATCTTAATGAAAAAAGTCTAAACCACCCATTAACATGATCATCGTCATTACATTGAAGAGCCAAAATAATTGCTTAACAATCATCAAGTCTACGCGCGTCTCATCTCCCGGATAATTTTATTTATTTTCATACTTTCCGGCTGTATATACTACTCATACTATTAATTTCGATAATCTCATTCTTAATGTTCTCTTCGTTCCAATTCTTTTGAAAATATTTTAGAAGTTTTACTGTTTTAGTTTTTTTTTTTTTGCGATTATATACAACAAAAAATGAATTTAATTTAGTATTTCACTTTTTTATTATTGTTGTATTTTTATGTCGTTTAAATAATATATCGTTGATTAATTGGACATCTTAAAAATCAAATCGTATAATAATTATAATCGTTTAAAGCCGTTGAAATGTCTAAACAAGGGATTAACAAATAAAGATAAACTAATCTTATGGAGTTAATGGAGTTGTGTACATCCACTCCGTTTGAATTGAATAGGAGACACGGAAGAAACACCCCAATTCCCATAAAGGAGGTGTGAATGTTTATAATTACTGAAAATGATTCTCCATCAAACTAAAATTTCATGTTTGTAGAACTAAAACACTTTGGATTATAAGAATAAAACTTGTAGAATCATTTTAACTTGTAAAAGTTAGATTTGAAAAAAAACGAAAACTTGTAAAATCATTTCAACCATTCTGAAACGAAAACTTGTTTTTAGTTAGCTCAACTAAAAATAATTAATCACAAGAATTAGATTAGGAGATCGATTCGGAAACTACTTTTTTGATATTTTGAGAAAACATGGTTCTCATTTTTTTTTTGTCATCTTTAAGCAAAGTATCCGATGTGTATATTACAATAAAATAAAATAAATTATTAGACGTTGTAAATTCAGATGAATAAAAATATGAGAAATACGAGGAGGAGATACAATAATAAAAAGTTATAAAAAGAAAATAGTGAGAGTAGGACACGCCACGCCTCCTATATAAACGAGGAGCCAAGCTGAAGAGATAAGTGTGCATCGGTGAGGCTGAGAGAGTTTACAAAACAAGACACAATCAAACACTTGAGCGTCTTTGTCTTTTTCAACTTCAAAAAGTTTTATTTTCTTTCTGATTTTCTCATCAACTTTTTATTCTGTGCAAATCCACCCCCTCTTAGATTTGTTTGTTCCCTCTGTTCTTTGATTCCTTTCTGTTTATTTGAATGGTTTAAATTTACTTATTTATAAACAACAAACCAAACTTTTGAAAGAGATCAATCTTGTTTTATATATCTTTGATCTTCTTCTTCTTCTTCTTGTTTTGTAGATTTAACCTTGTTTGTGTGGGTATTTTTTTAATTCCCTCCTCTCAAATCTACAACAGAGGTTGTTTTATTATAAAACCTCTCTCTTTTCTTGAGTTCTTTAATTTTTTCAAGAACCAGGAATTTTTACTTTTTACTCTTTATATAAAAATGGCAACTTCTATGGATTTTTACAGTAGTAGTAGTAACACAACGTTTCAGCAATCTCCTGATCCATTCGGCGGTGAACTAATGGAAGCGCTTTTACCTTTTTTCAAAAGCCCTTCCATCAACGATTCATCCGCGTTTGCGTTCTCTTCCTCTCTACCCGCTCCGCCCGTTTCATCATCATCATACGGTTCAGATCTCCACCTAAACCACCGTCTTAGTCCTAAACCGGTTTCGATGAAACAAACCGGATCTTCCGCACCTAAACCGATGAAGCTATACAGAGGAGTGAGACAACGTCACTGGGGGAAATGGGTGGCTGAGATCCGTTTGCCTAGGAACCGAACTCGTCTCTGGCTCGGAACCTTCGACACGGCGGAGGAAGCTGCTTTGGCTTATGATAAGGCGGCGTTTAAGCTGCGCGGCGATTTCGCCAGGCTTAATTTCCCTAACCTCCGTCACAACGGATCCAACATCGGCGAGTATCAGCCTCTTCAGTCTTCCGTCGACGCTAAGCTCGAAGCTATTTGTCAGAACTTAGCCGAGACGACGCAGAAACAGGTGAAACCGACGAAGAAGTCTGCTTCTCGGAAACGTTCGCCGACCGCCGCCGTTGTGAAACAGACGGAGGTTGATTCGGGGGTGAAATCGGAGGATTACTCTAGCGCCGGATCTTCGCCGCCGTTGACGGAGAGCTACGGATCTGGTGGATCTTCTTCGCCGTTGTCGGATCTGACGTTCGGTGATGCGGAGGAGGAGATTCAGCCGCCGTGGAACTACGCGTTGGAGAAGTACCCGTCGTACGAGATCGATTGGGATTCGATTCTTCAGTCTTCGAGTCTTGTAAAGTAGTTGATGCCATAGGGGTATTTTAGGGAATAGTATATGTCTCTGCGATGGAGTTTTTTGGTCATTGCAGGGACTTTATCATTTTTAGGGGGCTTTTGTGTTAATATTAATAAGTTTATGTACTTTTATGTAATAATTGTTAAATCTCTGCGTCGGTCTAAGCTGGGTTTTTTGTCATGCTTCGACCGTGCGAGTTTTTTTTTCTTTTTCTTTTTAATGTATTTTGTAGTTTCTTTATCGTTGTCTTTAATTCAAATTATTTCTAAGTTTACCTTAAATCTACATTAATGCAAAGAGAAAATAAAAATATCTTGTTACAATAATTCATAGTAAGTGACGATGGTTTGGAATAAGGTGCTCTCCAGTGTGGAACTATAAATCACTAACTACAATTTGTTTATTAAGTTATAAGTTATTTATTAATATCGATTAGAAAAAAAAAATTATTGTTTTTGGTTGATAGTGAAAAAAAAATTTACGGAGAGGCACGCATGCACTCACAAATCATTAACACGTATCTGTCTTGTTCTATTAAACTTTAACAATAATAAAAACAAAAAAAAACTAAAAAAGATGGTGCAAATAATTCTCATAAGACCAATAAAAATATCAAATGAAACGAAGGTCATATGAGCAATATTCCATAATTGATTCAATTGGAAAACACAATCGTCAAAATCAACTTTTATTTCCGGCAACGAATTGCATACATTGTCTTTGGAGTTGTTTGATCACTCGTAAATATAATAGAGATTTTTGTGTCAAATAATAGACCAACAAATCGGAAAAAAAATCACATTGACAAAATGTTCAAATCCAAAACCATAATTATAATCATATGATTCAGGAGCTCGGCATTGATAATAAACACCAGAAAGATGTAGCATCACAACCTTCATCTATCTCTATTCTTCTTCCAACCAACTACATAAGAACCTCATAAATACAATGGAGGTTATAAAAGCCAACAAATTGAAAGACAAATAATATATTGGCTTCGTTTTAAAGATTATTTCCAAACAAAACAATCAACTTCTCTTTGTCATTTTTTCATCTTTCTAAGTTACTAAGATATACTCTTTAACTTGTCAATGAACAATTTTCAATTTGCAAAATCACAACAATCTTAAATTTGGTCTCTTTCAATAAAATTATGCCATTAGAAAAATAAATTCTTTCTCTAAATTCATTGTCGAAAGTGCTGATCACTAGTTTTGTATTTCTTAGTTACTCACTTTAATTGGTGTACTAATTTTGCAAACCATTTGTCAAACAAAAGATATGTATAATAATAATTTTTCCAAATATACAGTCAAATCTCTTTAAGTAAATGAATTATTATTTTTTAATAAAAATTATTAATTTATCGATAAACTAATACTTTACAAATTAATAAAATATTATGATTCTAATATTATTAGTTTATGAGGATTTTACTATATTAAGACAACAACGTCTTGATTTTCTTATAAGCTGAAGTTAACAAACTTAAATCTGTAAGTTGACAAAAAAAAAAAAAAAAAAAACTTAATTCTGTAAATGAGGAAGTGTTGCCATAAACACAAACATTAGTGTTGCTTAGACGGTAAATGACCACTAAACGTAGACACTAAAAAGAAACAGGCTAACTTAATAATATCAAACAAGATCGATATTTTCAGATTTAGACCATACTTTGGAGTTGTGATATGAGAGCTTTGCATAATCAAATCAATATCCTGATTTATACATATATATAAGAAGTTATGATTTCTTACATAAATACCCTGTGACGAGCAGTTACACTTTTCTAGTTTTCTTAAAACCCCGAGACCAGCTAATGGCAGCTATGGTTAAACACACAAAACATCTCAACATACATTATATTTTTAGTCTCCATCAGAAACCGGCTATGTTTTGTGTGTTTTTAAAACAAAAACAAGCTCAAATTAAACTGAACGAAGCACTCGTCTGAATTGGAAATCACATAATTTTACACTTTGTACGTTGCCTATGAAGAGATAGGGAATAGTAGTCTAAGGCGAAAAAGTTCAGATCCTTGAATATTTTTACAGTACTACAAAATTCTTTAAATCGATTGATCATCGCATTGTCGCCAAATACAAACCTAATGTCTAATTGTAAAACCCGTAGAGATGATTCTCCTCCAGTCGCTGATGGAGAGAGTGGAGAATATTAAACACATCAGTTGAATTTACCAATCTCCATTTTCTTCTTAATTGCTCGTTGTCCATGGTATATGAACGAATCTAGTATTCCCGATACCGTGAAGATACCTGCAAATCAAAAGTATTTATTTAGTTTCGAATTTGATGATAACATATTAGTAGTATGTTTAACTGGAATGGAGAAGAGAGATATATCCATTACCTCCAACTATAGCGCACACATTTGTTAGGAAGTGCAAGAACTCCACATGTTGCTCCTCAAATATAACCTAACAACAATCAAATGAATTTGAGACATAGGTTCCATTTGTATTATTAACACATTACCAGAAACTCACAAACATACCTTAATTGGTGAAAGATCATAGTAGAAGAAAACACCAGGCGGGGATTGCATGCGACCTGCTTCCATGCCCTGGAAATGTTCTGTCACAGAGAACTGCCAAAAACCAAAACCCATTTGCTATAGTTTACTTTACATTAAGGAATTTTCAAGATGTTTAAACAGAGATTTGGAGATTTAGCTTTACCTGGTTTGACTGGATAGTATTACGGTGAACATCAGTGTATATGCTGGGCACCACCTGCAATTCCACACCACAATTAATTTATTTATCACTGCACTCAATAATTGTAATACGCAAAAGCTAAACCGGTGGAGAAAATACATTGCAATTAGGAATCTCAACAATTATAATATCCTAATACTTCTCTATCAGCAAATTCTACTAGTAATAAGCCATTCAGGAGTCTCACCGATGCCTGTTCCAAGACGTTTATCTAAAATATTGTACCAGATGCGAATGTTATCGATGGAAATAATGTAAAAACGAGGCATACCTTAATAAAATATTGATACACGCCACTCTGTTTCCCCTGATTCCACTGCACACTGAGAGAACCGAAAAAAGGTTTCAGAAGATAAGATAATTGGAAAAATGATAAAAGGAGCAAGGAATGGCTTGGGGAGGAAGTTTTTACCCATCTAGAGGGTTCACGACACCAGGGAAAAAGTCTCCAAAGGCCAACCTGTTGACCGTGTGGCTAATCTGTGCAGAGACATAATGAAGTCAAGACCAATTTGCTATATGAGCAACTAAAAGGGAGATTGAAACAAGAATAAAACTTCTCTTACATTGTAGTTGCCTTGCTGGAACAATAACATATCATGAAACTGAAAACCGGATTGATGAAAGCTTTGCCCAGGAATGAAATGAAAGTTCCCAGCAACTTTATTAACTTCCAAGAAACCGTGAATATTACAACCTTCACCTTCTTCGTCTTTGACCTTTTGCACAAAGCCTTCTCTTTTACACTGAGATGGTATAAGCAAAAATTATCATACAAGATACAACTAGATGCAAGGTGGATGAAAAGAAAGACTATCCATGCTCTCTTCAGATACATCCAAGTTTTTTCTTTGGCAAATAGATCCTATTTCTAACTACCACCAATTAGACTTCGCTACTTTCTTCAAATTAAGGAACAAGATCAACCCAATACTATATTGAAGGCATGTCAGTATACCTGGTCGATAGATTCAGGGTCTGAGAGGGCCCAACCTTTCTTTCGGTAAGCTTCACGAACTTCCTCACATGAATTACAACAAGCATCATCTGACTGTGAAGTGTAAGAAAAACGATTCACCAATTACAAAAATGGAAATAATTGAATAAACACTAGTGAACTCTGTTGAAGATTTTCTACTGCAACTGAAAGTCCAGCATCGCATGTACAAGCATATTATTGATTTAAGGAAAGCTTACCAGTTCGGCTCCAAAACAGGAACCACAATATGTTTCATTGTGCTCCAACCTTCCACCATGTTTCTGTAAGGGTTTCTCAATCTGGAGATAAACAATAACAATATATAATTAGAGATCTAACAAAGCAAATAATACTTATTGCAATGAAATCAGAGATATCACTTGAAAAAGAAAGGTCAAAGCCTTTGAAAAACTAACCTTTGTATGACCAATTCCGTCTTGTTTTGCCTCAATGACATTGCCAGTAGAGTCTAATCGTCTTTTAATTATATCATGTCGCTGCAATAGAATTGGGAAGAATTGAAAAAAAATCAGAAGAAGTGTACACACATCTCGCCTTGAAAACCCCAAAATGGAAAAGAACAATCAACCAGCACATACCACATCAAGGTGCCTCTCTCCGCTAATATCCATGGAATCAAGACTAATAATCGAACATTGCAGCGCAGGGAATGTAACATCAAACTGAAAAATTGAATGTGGTAAGTAATCAAAACGCGTTTCCTTGACAAAAACTAGTAATCATGCAACTCAAAGCAGTAAGCAAATGAACAAAATGTTACATTAATGCGTAGCTTCTCTCCTCTTGATGTATCAACACGGAGCTGAGTCTCCGTAACCGGATGAATGTAAAGCTCTAAACAAAAACAAAAACCCACAAATTTAAACACGAACACTGCTATTGAAATCGAGCACTGTTTGCTTGCTCATAAACAACGATGATTATCAAAATTAACTAGATCATCGTTTCACATAAGAATTAAACCCCCCAGAAGTAAAAAACAAAACTTTAGAGCTCCAATTCTACAAATCATCGACCTTTAAGCTTCCCCGGATCAAAAGCTACGAAAAGAACAGAGTATAGGATCTAATGAACTTACGAAGCTCGGAGAAGAAGAGAACTAGCATGAGGAGAGAAGAGACGAGGGTGATAACACCACCAGAGAGTGTACGCCTGTAGAAATCTTCATTGATTTTAGGGTAAGCGTCCAGATTCCTCAATCTGTTCATCACGCCGACCATTCCCCCTTAACCTTGAGCTTAGGGTTTGGCTTTAGCTTAACTATTTTGACCAAAATTTTCAACGAGAGAAGGAGATGATTCAACGGGTAATCACAATCTAACCTGACCTCTTTTGACCTTTCAAGGATCTCTCTCTCTCTTTCTCTCTATTTTCTCGGAGTTCTCTCTACAAATCTCTTCCCCAAAATAAGCAAGAGCAACACAGAACTACGCAACGGCGTCGTATAAACAACTCTTTATTTTCTTTTGTTTCCCCAAATTGGGGTTTGGGCTTTGTTCATTATTATGGCCCATATATAAAAATCCCAAATATTTATCCAAAATATTGGTTTCAAATGTTCATAGATTTATATATTTTCACTCATTTCTTTTTATTTTTGGTCAACAAATTTTCACTCATTTCCTTTTGTGGCTTTTAATAATGTTATATATAAATTTTTAACAGCAATAAATATATATATATATATATATATATATATATCTATTATTATTTTTCATTTTCATATGTTTTTTACCATTTGTAATGAGAATAATATTTTTTTCCTTATAATGTTAGTCAAACTCATTTGCAATCTTTTATTTTTATTTTTTATTTTCATATTTTTTTTACCATTTGTAGTGAGAATAATATGAGGTTTTCCTTTAAATGTTAGTCAAACTCATTTGCAAAATCCATAAAGGAAAAAATCTTGTGATGCATACTATTTGGTCATATTCCTTAAATTTTTAAATATGAAGATGTGGAATACTGTTGAACTTTTGATTAATTTTTGTGAAAATTTAAAATTATTAATACGTTACTATAATAAACAAAGTCAAAAAGTCAGATGTTTTTCTTTCTTTCCCAAATGAATCATAATATACCAAAAAAGAGGACGTGAATTATATTTTAACAGTAACACAATTGGAAACTCCACATGCATAAGTAAGCACTATATATATATATTCAAAGAAATGAGAGGTTTCAATTTAATCTCATTTACTAAATTATGATTTCCATATCTATTTTTCAAAGGTATGAATTTATTTTCTCTAATATTCTTGACTTTTAATAATTATATTACCAAAAAAAAATCTTTACTTAATTAGGATTCAATTTTCTGTATTTATGAAATCATAATATCATGCGCATGTCATCGTCTATAAATTAGCTTTTGCTACAAAAAAAAATAAAAATTGTTTATATATATGAGCCTAAAGAGTAGTTTGAGCAACCACTCTTTGAGAAAATAGATTCGAGCCTCTAGTGTTTTCGCCACCACCCATATACTCTTAGACCTCTCTCAGATTGCTGACATGCAGATTACGAGGCCAGTTACCGAAAAGATCGATACTTTGGTCGATTCGTTGAGGGATTTGTCTCCGACACGTATCAAGTCTTCCTCCTCTGATGAACTCGTATCCGAAAATGATGACAAGATAAGCTCATGGATTGTACGTTATTATTTTACATACAACTTATTTCATTTGGAGAAATTTTCTATATTCTTTTCATTTACGTTTTAGTCTTTCAAATTAAGCATGTTCTAGTCTTGAAATCATGATTTTCTTATATAGTTTTAGTTTTCTAAATTCTATTCGTGTCTAGTTACGTTCCTCTAGCATTTAGAATCTATTAGCTTAGATAATATGTGTTGGATCATCGAGCACATATTGCTTTGCCTTTTTCAATAATAAAAATAAATCCTGCGTTGATGTTTTGATGGTAAAAGAAAAGATTAGAAGACAAGATATAAATTCATTTTAGGCTCTTTTGTAACAATATTATTATTCGATTTAGGCTCTTCATCCGTCGGCATTGGATATGTTCGACAAAATAATGAGTGATGCAAAAGGGAAACAGATTATCATGTTTCTTGACTACGACGGAACTCTCTCACGAATCACTGAAGATCACGACAAAGCTTACATAACCGACGAGGTTTTTTTTTCTCTCTTGATCCTGATTTATGTTATGGTTTGAGTTTAGTTCTTAATTGAGCGCTAATGTATATATTTTATAGATGCGAGAGGCTGTAAAGGAAGTGGCTATACATTTCAAGACTGCGATCATCAGCGGACGAAGCACAGACAAAGTAAATTCCATCAACTAATATATTCGACGGTATTTGTTTGTGTTACGTGCATATGTCTTATAGAAAATGAGATATGTTATTGTTTTTTCAGGTACAAGGTTTTGTTAAACTCGCTGGAATCCACTACGCCGGAAGCCACGGCATGGACATTAAGGGTCCGACAAATACTGATCAGGTTATATTTTTGTCTATTATATTGAGATTTGTGAGAGGAATTTGTTGTAGTATTTTTCAGCCTAATGAAATCATTGCAGAGTAACCAAGAAGTCATGTTTCAACCTGCAAGTGAATATTTACCAATGATCGACGAGGTGGTTAATGTTTTAAAGGAAAAAACAAAAGGTATCCCTGGAGCTACGGTCGAGCACAACAAGTTTTGTCTATCAGTGCATTTCCGTCGTGTTGATGAGACGGTAAAAATAAATAACAAGATTTACATTGCTAATCTAATTAAGAGGACGTTTAATTTAACCAACCTTTATTCTTTTACGGGATAAAAAGAAACAAACTCACACTTTCAAGAACAAGAGTTGTTTGTTGTCTTCGATAACATCTTAAAGTTGTTTTCAATGATATTATCAGTTTTAAACGTATGGAATGTTGTAAAAATGTTTTGTGGTCGACAGGGATGGGCTGCATTAGCCGAGCAAGTGAGATTGGTTCTCATTGATTATCCGGAACTGAAACTGACGAAAGGCAGAAAGGTAACAACATTTCACTAGTCACAAATGTTAATTTTATCAAATATATGTGATAGATCGATGATTAATGTGATGTATCAAACTGTGATTAATAATTCGACAAGACAGGTGTTAGAACTCCGACCTTCCATCAAATGGGACAAGGGAAAGGCTCTCGAGTTTTTGCTTAACTCATTAGGTGTGTGATTATCTTTTCATACTTAAGAATTGGGCTTCAGTAATTCATACTTTTGATAATGATACTATATATAATAGACCCGTTAATCTGAAAATATATATGTTTGGTTAAATAAAAATAGGATTGGCAGAATCTGAAGATGTGTTACCGGTTTACATTGGGGATGACCGTACTGATGAAGATGCATTTAAGGTACTACATTAAACCCAAAACATCATCATCGTGCCCTAGTTGATTAATTAAGGATGTGATAATATATTGACGCCATGATAATAAACATATGTATAGGTTTTGTGTGAAAGGGGACAAGGTTTTGGGATTGTCGTCTCAAAAATCGTAAAGGAAACCTACGCTTCATACTCTCTTCAAGACCCATCTCAGGTAGATTATTCTTTCTTGACTCTTTTTTTCAAATCTAAAATATTGTTCCATAGTCACTAGCTAATTATACTAACCTTATACTGTGCGATGCAGGTTAAAGAATTTCTGGAGCGTTTGGTAAAGTGGAAGAAACAAAAACTTGGAGAAGAAGAAGTGAGTTATTAGATAGATGAAGCACTTCGTGTGGGATTCTTAGCAAGATAAAAGTGGTGACCTTAACTTTTAGTTTTTAAAAAAAAAATTCTTGTTGCAATATGATTTAAAATAGTACCGGAAATATTTAATTTGTCATTAAAACTACAGTATTGTCAAAATATTTAAATGAATTTAGAAGAACAATGTTTTTTTATTGAATTTATTATAGTTTTACAAGATTCAAAGTTAGTGAGATGGAAATTAAAAGAAGAAACTAGAGGATTTTGCTCTGTATAGGTCGACCATGCTCATTAATCATCATCATTCATAATCGAATGTTAACCCAACTGTTTGGAAATTATTTTAATTACTAAACAACATGTCTAGTCTCATCTAGATATTTAGAAAAAGAAAAACATATTTTGCACTAATTGATAACGAACAATTTCTATTTCTAAATGAATATATTTGGTCACATACAATTTGATATAAGTATTTTATTGATAGTTCACGGTTCAGTTAATGTTGACGTTTTCTCGTAAATGGCAAATAAAAAAAACTAGAATTCAACCGTGCGCATCAAATAAAAATATGAATCATTAAATTTATATAACTATACTTCTCAATTAAGCTAATGATTAAAATCGTCATAATCTATTGTTTAGTCGTTGTCAAATGTGAGTTGTGTACCGAAACTTTAAATTCGTATAAATTCCTATCCACTTACCATAATATACTGATATTGCATTTTTAAAATTGTCAGTGTTGGTATTTTTTAATTATTTACTAACTACTTAGATTAATAATTCCAATTCAAGGACCTAGATATTTTTTTATTTGGTGATAGTGATAGCTTAGGGAATCAAAGAATTATGAAAATAGTGTCGACAGAATGTATTCCTTTTCCTATAAAAGCATATTCCATTTTATAAAAAAACCAATTAGAAAAGAAAACTTGAGAATTCAACTTAACCCCTTTGATTTTAATATTCTGTTCAGGAATATTATACCCAGTTGAAAAGAATCTTTTTGTTTTATATTTTGGTCCCATTTGTTTCTAATTTTGTCTTTAAGAACAAAGAGCAAATCTTTGTGAACAACTTCGTAGGAAGCCGAATTATATTTTTTTCGTACTGAATGAATCTGAATACAAAAGCAAAAGCCAAGTGGACTGGACAAGTTCACAAACCGAGTCCATACATCGACCTCGACATCGTCACACTAAACCACACCCACCACTAGACCATGATCATTAGATCATCTAACATTTAAATTAGTTTTTTTTAAGTTTTAACAATCGAAACTTAACAGTGACGTCGTTATAAACATTGTTAATTATCAGTGACGATGAAGGCTTCAATTCAGGACTAATAAATAAAAAATATATGCATTAAATAAACTTAAATTTTCAACTAAAAGCTTTTAAAATTGTGTATACATTCATACACACGGAGCATAGCAATATTCTTATAGCCGATAATATATTATTCCTCATTAAAGAAACAAAGGGAATGTCTTCATTGATTCTATGAAATTATACGTGTGTTTAGTATTTTAATTTATTCATATTAATATTAATGTGACCCTTCGGTTCCTTCCGGGGGCCAAAAAGGTTCAAAAATTGGATTCATGGTATAAAGAACGATACAAGTATTTCTTATATTATGATGTGTTTTGATTACAAATAAATGGTGATAATGAAATCCGGTCGATTGATATATTGATGTATTACTTTTGATTTTGGGATATCTAAGTCTAGAACTATTTTTTCGAGACATTTAAGACAGGATCAAAGATTTGACTCCATCCGGTACAATGCGATAGTTTTGAGGGAGAAATAAAACGTGGATTCTGTATTTTGATTAATATAATTTGTCTAATTATTTGAAAAATATATAAATAAATAATTTGATTGAATTGTTAGCTGCCCGACTAATTAACAGAATAACTATCTTTTCTCCGAAAATAGCATAATGTGAATAATTGCGTATATATGTTACGTATTGAATAAGGTATCTCCAAATATATATATATAGCCAGCCAAGTTCATTCACACATTTTGAAATTAATCAGAAAACAGAACTAATAAGTACATTGCTTAAGAATAAGCATAAACTTTTCGTTCGAATCTTATTATATCAGATTTTTGTCTTGTTGATTTCGTAGTAAATACCGGTTAAGACATATTCTTGTTAGCATTTGACATAAGAAGATATGAATCAACTATAATACAAGATTCAGTTATACGATTCTTCTTCGATATTTCCCGGTAATAATTAATGGATTAAGATAATTTGTAAACAATGCTGAATGCAGCGTAGACCGTTCGATCAAGGACGCTTATAGACACCGTTCGATCAAGGACGCTTATAGACACCGTCCGATGTCTCGTTTTGAAATAATCAACCAAGAAAAAACAAAACAATTACAGGACGGCATTGCCAAGAAAATATTTATTTTTTGAGATTTATTTTTGGGTTTTGGCTTTTTCTTCCATTCCTTATTTAAACTCCCATGTTCACTCTCCAAACTCTTAAGCATAAAAATTTAAAGTGAAGAGAAGAAAAACACAAAAGAACACACATAATTAAGAGTCTCTCTTTGGTTTGTTCTTGAAAGATGGACGTATTCGATGGCCTTCCTGATCCGATCATCGTCGACATCTTGAACAAAGTTGGTGACGTTAGAACCATACTTCGTTGTTCTTCTCTCTCCAAACGTTTCAACTCGCTTGTACCTCAGTCCGACTCACTCATCCTCCGACTTGACCACTCCGACCCCGATTCACCCGTCACCACCATTTTCCAATCTTTATTCAACTCCTTTCATGGCCTCATCTCTCTTTTCTCCAAACCGGCTAAACCAATCCCAACCACGGCTCTCTCTCCGAGTCTCCCTTTCAAGATTCTCTCCCGGTTCGACAAGATCCGGAGTTTGGACGTCGAGCTTCCCGGTGGCGATGTAAATCTCGAGAAAGGCGCCGCCGTTAAGTGGAAAGCCGAGTTTGGGAAAACCCTCGAGAGCTGCGTCGTCGTTGCTTTCCGTTCCGCCGGGACCGTGTCTCCTCCCGTCGCGGTCAACGGTGAGTCAGACGCCGAGTTCGTGACTGGACTGAAGACGCGCGTGGTGTGGACGATAAACGCGTTAATGGCTGCGTCGACACGTCATTACTTGATGAGCGAAGTCGTGAAGGAGCACGAGGAGATGGAGAGTTTGGTTATACGCGACGTGGAAGGAGAAGGCACGGTGGTGATGGACGCTGAAGGGCTTAGAGAGTTTAGAAAAACGGAGGCGGCGCGTGGGGAAGAAGACGAGGAGCGCGTTGTGAAAAACCGGAGGAGTGTGGTACCGAGCGTGAGAATGAGTATGAGACACGCGCCGTCGCTTAAGCTAAAGAGTGGTGTATGTTTAGAATCCGCGACGCTCGTGATCGTCCGACCAAGCGGAGTAGATTACGACGTCGGAGATGATGCTGAGCTGGCGACGGAAGCTTTCGCCGGAAACTGTATGTACGGTGAAGCCGTCGCCGCATTGTTAAAGTGCAAGAAGAGCGCTCTAGAGATGAATTCATTTTAAAAACTCTTGTTGGGCCTTGTAAATTGGCCTTGTAAATGGGCCTTGCGGATGCTTGGAAAATATGTTTTTTTTTCTTTTCCGGTTACGTGTGCCGTTTGCGCATTTTTATGTTACGGTGTACAAATTGAATTGAAGATGGCTTTACAATTTTTACTTGTCGTTCTAACTTGGTCGAATCTTGCGAAGCATATATGATATATGGATTTAGATCCTTGAGACAACATTATAAACAATAACATGGCATGAATGGTACCTCAAAACGTCAACCAATCCATGATCAGTATAGTTTATATTTGGAACCTAAATAACTTAAAGTACACAAGCATAATTTGAAAGAGTTATTAAAACGTGGAACTGTTAGCTTATAACAATAAAAATTTATGAAAAGGGCATGATAACATGATATTAAAATAAGAAATGACGGCATTAAATCATGATTCCGTAAACATGACATGATTGATAGAGATTATGCGGAATTATTATGAAACTCGATAGGCTTACCAAACAAAATTTTATTTTGGAGGTTGAAAGAACCATACAATAACATTACTATAGTTTTTTTTTCCGCCGCTAAGCATCATCACCTTCTTCATTCTTTAAATTTATGAGCAAGTGAACTAAGATTTAAATATAATGGTTTTATAGATTCCTTTTCTTGATGAATAAATAATTGATTCTGGTATCACTGATAACACCTAATCTATTCCCTGTAATCATTATCGTAGCTAATTGGCATTATGACCAATATGACGTTGATTAGTCACTGAGACACTAAATAAATCACGTTATTTATACCTTTTTAAGCTGCGGATATATAATTAAACGTGAGGTTTATACGATCGAAGATGTGGTCCATACATGTGACATGATTATCAGGACGATTTAGTTCTTTGAAACAAATGTAATAGATTGATATCTCTTGTAGACATTATTTGTTAAGCAATGCTTTGGTTAGTGCAGAGATTAGCTCAACTAGGCCATAGTTACAAATTATGACTAGATCCGAAACACTAAAAAAGAGTGTGTTAGAAACAATTTATTAGGTATATATGTGATATTTGATCAATAGTTTTCTATTATATATTAGCATATCGAATTAAATATATATTTTTTTCATTTTTCTTTTCTTTTTTGGTTATGCTTTACAACATTCATATTCTTTTTAGTTGAGTTTTGGTAAACTTAATATTTATGTTTTTAATTCACATGAATCTGAAAATCAATTCTGAAGAATCGCATATATGTTTATATTTTGTTATAATTGGAACTGCATTGCAGTTCTCTCGCAATTGCTCCATACGTTATCATTTCACTTGTAAAAAGAGATTCAAGTTGAATTGAATACAAGAGACTCAAATCGAATTGAATACAAGAGATTCAAGTCAATACAGTTTATATCAATTTAGCCACCACATTTAGAATTAGCACACACAAAAAAAACCTTTGTCGTCATTTCCCTTTCATTCATTTAATCTGGCATATATAGTAAAGTTGGACAAAAAGAGAGAGAAAACCTTTAAAGGTTTTCCAATTATATTGATCATCAACCATCACCATTGTCACATTCGTATCCCGTCTTTAAAAACAAAATAAAAAGATTTTTATTTTGAACGTTAACATTGCATAATATAAACAATTTAAAAAAAAAAAATGCAAAGATGAAAAAATGTAACATATTTATGGAAAACAAACATACGGATCGGCTAGTACTGTACATACGTAGAATCTTATGAATATAAGCATGTGAAATTGTCATTAGACCATCAATATTGTACACGGTGGATACTTGATAGTATCAATCAAAACCACATAATGATGATCTAATTACTTTAATAGTTTTGAATAAAAAGATTTCTCAAAAGCTAAAGCTTGCGAAGCTGTCAGCACAAAAGCTTAAAATAAACAAAATTTAAAGCAAAAGGAAGAAGAGGAAAGCAATTTTAAAACCAGTAGAAGAACCAAAAATAATAATAAAACTCATAAAAAGCTAAAACCAACCACCATCTTCATGATCGATCCTATATATCTAAGAAACAAATCGAAGAAGAAGAAGACGAAGAGAGAATCAAATTTGGAAAAAATGATCAAAGGAGGAGGCAAGTCTTCAGGTTACTCAGCAGATTTGATGGTTTGTTTCCCTTCAAGAACACATTTGTCTTTACCTTCTAAATCCATTTCTAGCCCTTCTCATTCCTTCAACCGCCGTCAAAATGCTCCGCACCACCGCCGCAGCCACAGTAAGCTCTCAGGAAACGGTGGTGGAGTGCGTCAGAATCGCGGTGGAGGAAGGGAGATAGCAGAAGAACCTACGTCTCCTAAAGTCACGTGTGCTGGTCAGATCAAAGTGCGGCCGAGGAAAGGCGAAGGTGGAACCAAGAATTGGCAGTCTTTGATGGCGGAGATGGAGAAGATACATAGAAGCAAGTCTGAGAGTAAGTTCTTTGGGATCAAGAAAGATGTCATGGGGTTCTTGACTTGTCTCCGTGATCTCAGCTTTGATTTCCGGTGTTTCGGTGCGTTTCCTCCCGTGGATGTAATCTCAGATGATGAAGAAGAAGAAGACGAGGAAGAGGAAGAAGAAGAAGAAGAAGATGAAAGCTCGGGGACAGTTTTCTCGAAATGGTTTATGGTTTTACACGAAAAGCAGAACAATGAAGAGTGTGTTGACGGTAAGGAAAACGCGTTTTCGGATGTGGAAACCGCGGTTCCACCGCCAAACGCGTTGTTGTTGATGCGGTGCAGATCTGCGCCGGTTAAGAATTGGTTAGAGGAGAAGAAAGCAGAAACAGAGGAAGATGACAACACTGAGAAACAGAGCGGACAAGAAGAAGAAGAAGGAGAGAATGATACGGTGATAAAGAAGAAGGATTTGAGATCATTGATGGAGGAAGAGAAGAAGATGAATTTGGTTGTGATGGATTACGACACAAACTATTACAAACTCTCAGCAGACATCGCCAAGGAAACTTGGGTTGTCGGTGGTAGTTTCCAAGATCCTCTGTTTCGAAGTCGAAGCTGGAAGAAGTGATCTTTACTCCGTAAAAATGAACACTTTTTGATTTTTCTTGTAAATTTGAAGTTATTTTGTTTCTTACAATAATACTTGTTGAGTGTGGTGAAAAAGATTTGAGACTGTTCCAAGAATCCAAGTTTGTATGTACAAGTTTCTTACTACACACGTAATTCCATCAAAGCTTTTATCTTTCTATCAACTGTGAACTGTACAAGGCCCAAGTTTATGGGATTCGAAGATATCTCCAATCATCTAAAGTCCAATATATAGGTTAATGGCCCAAATAAACATACAGTACGTGGAAATTAAAGACATGCAAAATGATATAATTGATATTATGTTTGAAGCCCATGTAACAGTAGTGATCGGTCCAAATACAAAATCTGATTACGTGAGAACAAGATACTAATCGACGTAAACAAAAAGCTTTAGTACTTGACGTTGACGCAGAAGCAACTGATGCTTTGGATGGTGACGCGAAGAGTGGAAACTGCGAGGAAATAACAAAGGAAAGCCATAATGAGCATTGAGCAGCTGCTAATGTAATTAAAAAAAGTGGTCAAAAAGTGAGTAGCTTGTGTCAGAAGCTATCGTTTTCGTGGTCTTTCCTAATATGGAAACCAAATTAATGATATTCCTAGTCATACTAATTGTCTTGACTCAGATTATGCGAACAAGAAATAGAAACTTATTGACTTAAGGGAACCAATATCTAGAGCCTACAATCAAAACTACGGTCTGTCTGTGTCTGGTCTACTAGGATCGATGAGTATATTAAGAAAGTTCAATAATTTCCTCGAAGTCTCCAAATGAAATGTTATACGTATGTAGACAAATTATGAGCGCATAGTAATTTGTTTCACGAAATTAAATTACTTTGATGCTTTTACCATTTTAAGAGTTTTTTTTTTTGGTAATAAGCCACCATTGTTTTCCAAGCCACCGTCTATACTACAAGTTACAACTTTGATGGACTCAGAGACTCTCTCTAACAATTAGAGTTTAACCAAAACAAAACACTGTAACTATATAATTCTTGTTGGATCCTCCTAAAATAAAATATGACCATAATTATAAAAAAAAAAGTCTATAAAAATGTCATGAAATTTTGATATATATCTGTTTGTTACAAGTTTTGTTGTTGATTCGTTTATAGTTTTACCCATTATTATTATTATTATTATTATTGGCATACTCTTTTTTTTTTTTTTTAAAGTAGAAGTTGTTAAGATTTTGAGAATCTAAGAATTACTGGTTTGAATAATAAAAACAAAACTTTTCTTTCTACAAAATTTGCTTTTAGCAATAATTTTTAAATATTGAAGATTAGCTTTTTCAGTCATACGATTTTATATCATTCATTTTTTAATTTTTATTAAATTAGAAACGTTCACTTTAGCCATTAACCATATTCTTTTGTGTAATCTGATTTAGATCTGTGCCAAATTTAGTAACAAATGAGCAAAAATCTAGCACATTTAATCGCATAGTCTATTAAATATAATTGACTAAATCCAATCCAAGTGACTAATTATTAAAAAATTAACAAAAACGTCAATTAGTAAAGAAGAAAAAAACACCAAAAATAAAATAATAATCTTTATTTAAAAACCCTTCCCTTCCTTCTCCAGTTCTCCTTGTGCTCTCCCTTTCTCCAGTTTAGTGAGCATCTCAAACACTTTTGTCATATTTGTTTTCTCTGTATAATTGTGATGTGTGCCTTTTAGGTTCTGTCTCCTTAGTCTCTGTGTGTGTTTTTGTACAACAAACTAGAAACAGAGATGATGATGAGAGGTGAATTTGGAGAAGCTTCGTCTCCTCCGTCTCTCTCACGTTCTCCTTCTTCTCCTCTTCAAACCCAATCACATTATCACCACTCTCAAAACTTCAATCGTCAATATCAAAATCTCTTTCCCGGTGACTCATCTTATAGTTCGAGTAGGTTCCCTCTCCGATCTCCGTCGGATTACTCTCTCTCGAGTTACTTCTCAAACGGGCTGTGTTCTTCTGAAGATGGTTCGTCTCAGTTCGCTTCTCCTCCACTCGATGGCATGATGAACAAGTACAATCTTGGTGGTGACGATTTGGGTCTTTGCGAAAGTTTCGATCTTTTGAATGTTGGAGAAGAAGAAGACAGGACTCGTCATGTACGAACTGAGACTCATCATCACCAAAACCAAAGGAGCAATTTTGGTAACTATGAAGCTAGTGTTGATGGTGGATTTAGATATTACTCTGGTTTCGGTTTTGATCAAAAGGATCAACCTTTACAATTTTCCCCAAATCAAAAGGATCAAACTCTCAATTCTGTGAATCTGAGTTGTTACAGAGAGACTCTGAGTCCTTACATGAACAATTACTCTGTTTCATCAATGGCTCATCGGGGCATTAGCAGTAACATGCATCAGAGTCCTCCTAAAGTATCTGAATTCCAGGGATATGTTTACTTAATGGCTAAAGATCAGCATGGATGCAGATTCTTACAGAGGATCTTTGAAGATGGAAGTGCTTTAGATGCTATGATCATTTTCAGTGAGGTGATTCCTCATGCTGTTGAGCTTATGATGGATCCTTTTGGGAATTACTTGATGCAGAAACTTTTAGATGTTTCTAATGAAGAACAAAGAACACAGATCATACTCATGGTCACTTCTGAACCTGGTCAGCTTATTCGAATATCCCTCAACGCTTACGGGTAAGACATCTCTGTGTATTGATGCTTACCATATGATCATTTTGATGTTAAGTACTTAAGTTGAAGGTTGTTTTCTTTTTGTGTATGTGGTTAAGTACTCGAGTTGTCCAGAGATTAGTGGAATCACTCAAGACCAGGAAGCAGATCTCTCTGGTGAAATCAGCTCTGAAACCTGGATTTCTCAATCTCATTAGAGATTTAAATGGGAATCATGTGATACAACGTTGCTTACAGTGCCTTAGCACAGAAGATAACGTGGTAAAAAAGGAGATCTTTTGTTTATTTTGTTTTCACTCTTCAGACTCATAAGATGAATACTGATATAATCATGTTATGTAATCACTCTTTATAGTTCATCTTTGAAGATGCTACAAGGTACTGTATCGATATCGCTACACATCGGCATGGATGTTGTGTGTTACAAAAGTGCATTGCTTATTCCAGTGGACAACAAAGAGAGAAGCTTATAACCGAAATCTCAAGAAACAGTCTCTTCCTTGCTCAAGACCCTTACGGGTAAGTTTACTGTCTCGTGTAACAAGTACTAAAGCTATAGTTATCAATGTGATATTCAATCTTGACAACTCTTTTTTTCTTTCTTGATCAAATGCAGGAACTATGCGCTCCAATTCGTTCTAGAACTGAGGGATTTCTCGGCGATTGCAGCGATGCTTTCGCAGTTGAAAGGGCATTATGTGGAGCTTTCGATGCAAAAGTTCAGTAGCCATATGGTGGAACGTTGCTTAACACATTGTCCAGAGAGCCGTCCTCAGATCGTGCGTGAACTCATCTCTGTTCCTCATTTCGATATACTAATCCAAGACCCTTATGCCAATTTTGTCATCCAAGCTGCTCTTGCTGTCACCAAGGTACATAGAGCCAACTCAAGTTTAAAAGTTTCTTTTAGTCCTAACTATTTGATTCTAGAGTGATCAAGATTTTGTGGAATGATGTTACAGGGTTCACTTCATGCCACGCTTGTTGAAGTCATCAGGCCTCACTCGATTCTACGTAACAATCCTTACTGCAAAAGGATTTTCTCGAGGAATCTCTTGAAGAATTAATGAAATTCAAAAGGCTCTTTCTCTGGTGGACGAGTCTGTAATTTCATAACTTGTTGTTGTGTTTCTTCTTTCCCAAGTTTGTTTGTTGCTATGAATAATCACAAACCCCCCTGCTTAGTAATCACTCTCTAGGCCATGTCTACTATGCAGACTATGTTCTCCTGTTGTTGTCTTTTTTTTTTTTTTTTTTTTTTTTTTTTTTTTTTTTGCATTGTACTAATTTGTTCTTATTGGAATGAAATTTTATGTTGTTGGTTTTTTTTAAACCGGTTTCGTCTTAGGAATCTTTTGCCACTTTAGTAATTTGGTATAAAGAGAACAATGTGGCTTATTGGAATATACTGAGGAAAAAAAATCAGGAAAAGAAAAATGAGGATATCAAATTATCTAATTAGTGAGATTTTATTTTGTTATCACAAACATCTAAATATATTGAGATATTTAAGCTAAAAGATTTGACTATTTCCAAATCTGATTTAATAATATCTAAAATTAAGTATGAGAGATTCTAATTTTGTTAGCAGAAATATTATTATGAGATTGTGATTTTTTTTTTGTTATAGAAAGATAATAACAACTGATTCTTTCAAAGGATTTTTTTGGAGCTCTATAATTAGTAAATTATTTGAGATATTTACGCTTTGAGATTAAAAAAAAAAATGAGATGTTTATGCTATGGATTCGAATAATTTGCAAGTCAGTTGAGATCTTGATTAAAAATTTAGAATCACTAGTATCAACTTTTGACCAAAAATACTTAGTAGTGTACATCTCAACTTACTTGCAAAATATTTGGAACTCAAAACAGAATAATTCCGTATAGAGAAACCCATGTTCATTACATACTATCTTTAGATACCATTTCATTTCAAATGTGATATATTATAACAGTCTTTAAAACCATTTTTACAGATGAAACTATTGAGTCCAAGAATTTCATGAGTCACTTTCCATGTTACTTCTTAGGGGTTCGAAATTTTGAATATTGTATTACATTGGTCGTCTGTGGTATAGAAGAAGACAAAGAGAAATATGTTCTATATCAAATTATATTTGTTGGGTTGGAAGGGAATGGTAATGGGCCAACAATTAAAAGATCCAACTAAGAAGCATGCATCTCTGTATGTGATTCTGCTGAAGCAAGGAGAGAAAGATTGGAAGAAATTTTTCACTATTTGAAGTTACCTTAAAACTGTCACTAAAACCTTATGTTGGTGGATGAATAGAAGAATGACAAATGGTTATACCAAACCAAAAACATAAGTTTTAGCAAAAAAAAAATAGTGATTGAAATCAATGATTTATGTAGCTTATCTTGTCAATATAGAAAATGTCTTGACAAAAAAAAAAGTGAATATAAAATGGGTATATTTGAATTGAAAAATCGAAATTGTGGTTACATTTATGAGGACCATGCAAAGATGAAGAGTCGTTAGAGCTTTGCTTTAAATGAAGTCGTTAATATAGGTTTAGCTAACTCCTAGCAAGCCCCTAACTCTCCTTTTTTAATGAATATGGTTACTCCTAACCTAAGGCTCTAGCTAACTACATGATTAAATATACTGTACAAGTAGGTTGATCCGATCAGCGATCTGTTTCCATTTTATTTAAACTATTTACAAGAAGAGAACTATGAGACGTGAATACATATGATATGAAAACGTTTTCAAACTTAAATAACTTTGTATCTTGATAAATCACCATCGTATTATACGATGCATGCAGAGTCATCTTCAGTTGACACATAGTATATATAAAGTATCATTTGCATATTTGTTTTTGCAAAAGTATGGATCGTTGAAACACAAAAACAATAAGCAAGTGTGTATGAGTAAGTACTAGCTATAGGCATTTATACTTGTTCAAAATTATTAAATGGAAACGGGTAGGCGAGTACTGAATCTTTAATTCTTCCACCAGGAAATAAATAACTATTTTTAGTATTTCAGAAATTTATACTCCATATTAACTGATGAGGCCACAATTATGATTCTTCATCTAACCAAGAAGAAGTTTCAAGATACTGTGTGTACGCAAGTAACTATCTACCCGCGACAGTTTTTTTTTTTTTTTACTTGCATGGAGCTTTCATTTCATTTCATACTAACTTTTTCCATATTTCAGTTTACCCAAATCACAAGTTTCTTGTTCTAGTTTTATAAAATTACTTGGTATGGCTGTTTATGTTACCAAGTGAAGTAATTCAAGATATATGTATTTTTTCATTATTATTTTTTTCAGTAAACCAAAAACTTGTAGAAGCTTTTATTTCATAGTAGTACAACTTTTTTTCTTCTTGTATATTTCAATTTACGAAATTATGAGTTTCTGGTGCTAGCTTTTAATAAGATGACGAGACATGTATCTTAATTGTAACTGCATGCATGAAGTAGCTGATGTTAAATTGTGAGTTTTTCAAACATTTTTTTTTTCCATCCGATCAAATTTATGACTTTTGCATTTTGTTATTATCTGAGAAAATTACAATGTTTTACTAAAGCTCCGATCATGCATAGTTTTAAAATTCTACGTAGCTAGAGATTATAGTATGGCATAGTGTGGCCCCAATTTGCGTGATATTATATATTATGCCTACTCTCTCTGATAATACACAAAAAACTTGTATGATCATAAGACGTTTCAAGCAATAACATAATGGTAAATGTATGTCCTCAACTCTCAAGGTCGTGTTTAACTGCTCAGCAACATAGAAGATTATTGAAGTAAAATAAGGGTTAAATCCCTATTAATTTAAGGGTTTTCGTATTAATGTTTTCATGTCCTGTTTTCTAAACTTGTATATAAACATTTTTAATTTACAATACTATATAAATATCTAATAATTCTTAAAAAATTTCTTCAGTTTGATGTATACACCAAATATTTATTTTATGGCGAGTGGATCCTAACTCTAGGTCTTTTAGATTTGGATGATGACATATCGACGAAATTATATGTCATGGTCAAGTCGATGAAAAGTTATTAGCACATATTATTTACATGATCTATATACTTGTAAATGTATATATGCATATTATATAAATGTAATAGGATACTATAAATGTATTGAAAAAAAGTAAATGCATCCGTTGAATTCAAAATAAAGGGAAATATAGTAAAAGGCGATTAATGAGGAAGCTGACCAAAACTAAAGAGTCCTAAAAATAAATGAGAGGTCGCGATGGCCGTGGCTTGGTAGGCCGCTGAAGAAGATTTCAATCTGTGATATTAGAAAAAAAATAAATAAATATAATTTCATGTTTCAGTATTGTTAAGATAAGATTGATCATACATTCCTTTTTTTTTTTTCTCCTAGCTAAAAACTCAAATGATTTTAAAATTTCATGTAATAATATATAAAATGACAACTACTAATCCAATACTGCATGATACACATGTTCACAATAATAAAATTTTTGCGTAGAAATCAAATAAAGTAAAAACAAAAATCCTTTTTTTTTTATAAACGTCTTATGAAAAAAAGAAAGATCAGAGGAAGGTAATAAATAAACATATATTTGGTGTTGTTGTATAGTATTGAAAAGTGGGAGTGAGAGTTATTGTGGTATTTAAGATTGCTTCGACCTTCTCTGCATTCATGAAGTCATCAACCTCTTCCTCTCCTCTTCAACTGTATTTAGTTTCTTTCTATATTTATTATTGTTATTTGTTTTCTCATTGGTCGTTTCTCTATTTTTTATTCATTCAACATCGTCTTGATCATCATCATCACATAAACTCTTATCGTCGTCGTCGTCGTCGTCGTCATCATCATACATACATGTATAGACAACTTCATGAGTTTCATGACCAAACAAGAACCTCGCATATATATATTATTATGCGTGTAGATAATGGTTGATGATATCATACTGATCATGATAATTGTGGTGGAAGTGAAAAAGAGAAAAAGTTAAAGAAAGAGGAAGTGATCAGGAACTACTATAAATCTAGACATTTGAATGAGGCTCTCCTTGGAGCAATACCCACACTTATTAATCACACATCCAACTTGAAAACGAAACTCACACATCTAACATTACTTGACTTTTCCATTTTTCATCCCATGTACAGTAGTATTTATTTCCTTCACAACTAAAAAACCAAAATCAAGTGTATAGTATTATTTCAACTGGTTAATTACAGTTCTTAAGATAGATACACTACATATGAGCACTAAAATATGGATCATAATAAATGCAAAAATAAATAAATTCATTCTTAAGAGTAACAAATACCAAGGTGGACATTATATTGTGTGTGCCATGCAAAGTAAAATCCCAAAATTGAATTCTATATATTGTCAACGAATATCTACGATATTTATTTTGGTATATCTAACTCATTAACTCTGTCTACTATTCTACATGAACCGGTGGGGGATAATAACTCTCCATCGGGTGATGACTCATCTTTGTATCTCTCTCTATCTCTATATATATATATACACGACTTTTCACGAACTGTTCGTCTATCTATCTGATCATTCGTCCTCTCTACCACCTCCTACTAATTAAGCAGATTGTGAGATTTTTTTTTCTTAAGCGTTAAGTAGAAAGGTAATAATGTTTTCTCTACATGATGGAACCCTCTGTCCTAGAAAGAGGGATCTGATGAAAGTCTATGGGGAATCGTTTCATGGTTCCTTCAAACGGAGCAAACAAGGAGATGATCATACACAAGACAAGCTTGAGAAGAACAGTTCTACTACTCTGTTTTTCCAAAGATCAAAGTCAGAGAGCGCCATGTTGATAAAGCCTGATCTTCAGCTTCACCTAGAGGCTAAGGTATGATGAATCCGTCGACCAAAGTATATAAATTTAAGGATGATAATAATATGCACACAAACATGAACTAAAACATATTTCAACTTTATTTTGCAGACACAATCAGAGACATTTGAAGATCACAGGACAGAGCTGGATCTTGATCTGAACCTATCTTCATCATCAAGCTCTACTGTGAAAACGATCACGAAGAAAGATGAAGGTGCGAAAGGCGGAGATTTGATCATGACCCCAGGTAAGAAGGGGGTATCATGTGATCTAGGGCTAAGCCGATCCCCGTCTTGGTTAGCCTTTGAAGGTGATGATGATAATCAGAAGAAGCAAGAGATGGTGACAACAGTGTGTATGAAGTGTCACATGCTGGTTATGCTATGTAAATCAACCCCTGTGTGTCCCAACTGCAAGTTCATGCACACTGATGATCATAGTTCCACAAAACAGTTCAAGACTTTGAATTTGTTTAAGCTCTTATGCTAGACTTGCTTTTCATCGTATGTTAACGGGCCCCCAAATATGTGGAACTAGATATGTATGAGTTAATGTATATACAAGTACTGATAGTTATATTCTATGCTTTCTATGAATTGAGTATGTGATTGTACTGCTTTCCACTTTCTTTCTTGTGATTCTTCTCAGGCCTCGTTGATCTCTTCACTTGGAACCAGTGTTCTGTAAATTCCAATTATTCAACAACAAACTGTTAACCACATGATTAAACTTTTTAACATCACAAGATACAGGTCATGTTCTTTTAGTAAACGCTGCGATAGCGGCAGCGATAAAATAAAACGACGTGTCAAAAAAGTAGTTGTAATGTTAAACGACACCGTGGACTTCAAAATTACAGATCTAGATGAGTCGCAGAGGGAATCCGTTGAGTCGCGACGGCAGCTGTTGAGCCGCCGAAAATAACAGCGACACATCCATCTTTAACAGCGCTCATCACTTGCGACGGTTGCGACTCTTCTCATTTCATTTTTGTGTATTCTTCTCTCTTCTGAAACTGTTTTTCTTCTCTATTGTCGCTGTCGCAGCGTTTAACAAAAGAACAAGGCCACAATTATATATAGGAAGATGACAATAGATTCAACGCTTTGATGCAAAGATATTTATCAGTGTTCTCTAGAGACAGCTACTGGATCAGCAACCTATATATACATAACCACTTTTTCTCTATTCAAATCAGATGAAGACCGATGTAATCGGTTAGGCTAATAGTAGAACGGTGCTCTGTAACTTTTGGTCAACATATGTACAACATGAGAAACAGATTCTGGATTAATCCTTTTACCAACATTTACAATTTCTTGAAACACTTGCATAGTTATTCATGTTAAGAGAGTGAAATAGTTGATGCAAGAAGCTAAATGTTATGTCTACGGATGGATGAGCAAGCTTCTATAGAGAGTATGATTCTGAAAGTGAGAGAGAGTGTAGTGAAGAGAACTAACTTTGTGTGGTAGACTTCAATCAAATGCATAGGGATCATCAGCATATGGGTTGAGAGAGCCTTCTGAAAACAAGTCTCCAATATTTGCAGAGCGAGGATGACCCCTCATTACCGCGCCCTGCAGTTAGTATGCAGTTAACTCAGAACACATTTTAGAAACCTAACAGCATTACAACAGCATCATCCATAACTTCTTCACTTACAAATGAATATCTGCACTTATAAACTGCCGGACTTTCCATAGCACAAGGATCACTGATTTATACTTGGATAGGCCTAACAGTTGGCTAAGCGGCCCTAAGCAGTTATGAAAAGTATGATCTCCAATTTTTCTCATCAGTTAGATTATCTATTTTCTTGACAAGGAAGATGAGGTAGAGTAAATTAAGTTACAGAAAAAAAAACTACATTATGCATTTTTTTGAAGATATGATGTTTTTCCTATCATCAAGTTTACTTGTTTACTCTCTACTTCAGCACTAAGTTTAATTGAGGGGGTTTATCCATTTCAAGCATAGGAAAATGTAGTGAATTTATATTTTACCTTGGCCACACTTTGAGGGGTCAATTTAGGTGTAGCCCTAGTCCTACGTCTTTGTGGCTCCTGTTGAAAAAGAGTTTAAAGCTAGCTTTCTTGAATATGTTCCACATATTTCTTTGTTTAGATGGATAAGGTACCTCAATGGCTGTATTTCTTGTTTTTCTCCGTTTGGTTACCCTCCCATTATTCGTTTCAACTTCATACTCACGATGAGTTACCTGCACAGTTAACCCACAAACATACCAAACAATGAGGTTGATTTTGATGTAAAAGTGTAAAGATGTAATGGTTCAAATGTGTACCCTGCTGTGATGCTTTGGATTTGGAATGCTCAGTACGCTTCCTGTGTTTACATGTTGAGTATTCTTCAATATTTTTGGAACAGGTGTGTCTTTTGCCTTTACAAAAGGAGAGTCCTGCATTTGATATCCATGAGGAAGTATTATATGTGTATCCTGTAGCCTTGACAGAGCAGAAACGAAAAAAACTAAATATTTGAATCTTTGCCTGTTCATCATTATTGTCTGCCCTAACTCTTATATGTTCGCTTCTTTTGCTACCACCAAGACGAGAATTTTTGGAAAGTGAATAGTCCTACAAAATAATAAACCTCATCTCAAACATACTTGCAAAGCTAACAATATTCAGTTACAAATACATGTTTTCCAGTTATTACCCTGCCGATGTTATTTTAAGCACATATCTTAAATTGGATAGATAACGATAAGTAAAGAAAATGAAGTTCACTCTAACCTTGTTTGAGTTGACTTCCTGCTCTTCAGGTGGATTGTCACTCATCACCTTCCACTGTAGCTGCACCAAAGCTCTTTGCCTCTCTTCCTGAAAAGTTAGCCCATTAGTTAAAGTGTTAAACCCTATCATCTTATAATGAATCTTATTAAGAAGCACTTACTTTTTTTCTTTGAAGATCTAATTCTTCTTGCAGCTTCTTGCAGTCATCTTCATACTGACACTTGAATGCTTTCAACTGAGCATCATGCTCACTCTTGAGAGATGTTATCCGCTGGATGAATATACAAACTATTTGAATACCAAAGGCCTAAACTCTTGCATCACTCTGAACTGTCAAGTTATATCTGCGGGTACCTCTTTCAGTTCATTTTCAGCCTGAATCTGATTCTGTCTCAGTTCTTGGTCATACTTGGCTTTGAGATTGAGCTCCTCACTCTCATGTGCTTCCCGGATACTGAGACTCTGGGGAACATGCAGCTTTTCTTAGTTTATTTCCGTAATATTTCGAACTTGGCTTGACATGCTGTCATAAATAAACTTCTAAATAGATAATGCATACAAGAAAACAGGAACTTGATTTCAAATATCTGTCTGATTGATTCATTCTATGCTATGCACCTTCATCCTTGAGGATTTCGACAACCATCAGGTTTCTTTGGACATTAATAATACTCATTGATAGTATTGGACTGGACAATGCATGAAATCAGTAACTGGATAAGTTTTTTGGTAGTTTAGCCAGATATTCGAAAAGAAACATTGTCCAAAAATCTCGTTAAATGATTACCTATATATGTAAACAAGTATGATCTATTAGATAAAGGATAAAAAAGAAATACAAGATGTCATGCATACCAGAGAAGCATGTTCTTCTTGAATGGTCAGCAGTTGCCTCTTTGATTCTTCTTTGCAATCTGAGAGTTCTTTATCATATTTAGAGGACAAATCTTTGATCATCTTTTCAACCTGAAGTTAAAACCACAAAAACATCACCCAGGTGTCATTTGCTTAGTAGACTGTAACAGAAGATACTGCAGTCATATATACCTTATCCTTTTCAGCATTGATAATTTCCTGCTTCTCCACGTCATACTTCCTCCTGATATCATTAATTGCCTAAAAGAACACATAGAGATCAAATTTTCATTAGAGTCTTTGCATATTGCATTCTTATCCAGCTACTACTTTTCCTAATATCTGGGAACACTGCTAGAGATATACCTGGTCGTTCCTCTGTGATAATTCTTTCAAGTGCCTTGATAATTCCAACTGTTTGCTTTCTAGCATCAGATCATATTGCTTCTTAGCTTCTACAAGCTTAGTTTCAACAGTTACCAGTGACTCCTTGCCCTGCCATGGAATTCATATTTAATGAGTACTCAGAAGGTGGATTAAAAAACCATAAAGACATACCCTGTAATCAACTTTTTAGACCTTAATGATTTGCTGGTTCAACTTCTTCTCGTTTTCATTGCACTGGTGGATAAGACGCCCTTTCTCCTCTATGACGGCTTGGAGCTCGTTCACTTCTTTTGCCAATAAGTCCGCCTGCAGCTGATGGCTCTCACTCTCTTTATGCAAGGTCTCTAATTCCTCAACTTGTCTCTGGGCATCTGCCTGCAGTTTCTCGTATTTCTCTTTGTTTTCCATCTCTAATGATGAAATTGTTAATGACAGTTCTTGCTGCAAGATATACAAGACAAGAAATTAGCAGGAAAACATGCATTAGATACAATTTTTAACGTGCATAGGGACAGGAATCATTTTTGTACCTTCTTATCCTCTGATGTCTTCAAACTTTCCAATAAAGTTTCTATCTCCTCTTTCAGCTTCGAAATCACTGATTCTGTTTCAGCATTCTTTAAAACTAGTTCTTTTGCTTCAGACTCCAGTTTATCAATGGTCTGGCCTGCAGAGCAGTTTACCTCAGAAAGTTGAGATATTAATGACTCCTTATCATTCTGGAGCTCAACTATTTTTTCATTTAGTTGATTCCCTGCTGATTCCAGAGTTTCTTTTTGAGCAGTTACACTAAATAACTCGCCCTGGAGTTGATCAAATAATCTTTGAGAACGATCCGATGCAAGATCTCTGTCTTTTTGCAGCAACATAAACTGGGTATCATATAGGCCACCTAGTTCATCAAACTTTTTCATGAAGGTCAAATTCTTTTTGTCCAATTCAGTCATCTCAGCTACCAAGTAGTGGATAAATTCATCTAGCTTCTTAACCTCCTGCTCTGAGCTGACTAGTTTTTCAAAAAGTTTATCTGCACTCAGCTGAACACTCGTCTTTTCTCTCTCCAACTTCTCTTGGATACTGACAAGGTCTTTGACCTCGTGTTCTTTTGTTGTTAACTCAAGATGTAGGTTTTCTAGCTGGGAGTTCAAGTTTTCAATGTTGAGTTTTCTTTCCGCTGCAGTTGCTTCCAACTTTGTTATTACATCATCTGCAACAGAGGAAGTACTTAATAAGAAGACCAATGCTTTAGTCATGAACTTTTTTCTTTCCCATCTACTTTGCTGTGTGGCCACATATTTAAACTCTGCACATCTTAGCTTTGAAAAAGAATATTTCGACCATTTTTTTTACTGCATGTGAGATGTGACCAATGGCTTTATCAATTGAAATAGAACAAGACACGTACCTTTCTTCTCTATGAGACTGGCAGTTCTGCACTGTTCATTTAGAAAAAGCATTTCTTTCTGTTCTTTCTCAAGTTTGAGCTCCTCCAATTCCTTATCTCCTGCGTTATTGACTCAAAGATGTTACGAGTTTGGATACCAATTGCTTTCCAGGTCATATATAGAATAATGCAACAACTTACTGCTTGTGATGTTTTCTTTAGCAGCATTTAATGTTAAAGACATATCTCCCATTTGCTGGTTTAAAGAGTCTATTGCTTCTGAACTAGTATTGAATTTGCTCTCGAAAAAGCTCTTATCCTTCTCAGCTGCAGTAGCAATTAAGGAAACAGATAAAGCAATAAAACAAAAGAAATTTCACAATCTCAGATGACTGTATTCTTACCATCCTGAACTTGAGAAGCCAAATGCTGCAGAGTCTCAGTAAGTTGATCACAAAGAGCCTTTGTTGAAGAGAACTTAGACTCCAATCCTCTCCAAAGCTTCTCATCTTCCTTTTGCCTAACTCTGAGCTTAGCATTCTCATTAAAAGCGTTCTGCAGTTTATCCTCTAAGGCATAGACATGCTCCATTGACTTTTTCAGCTTACAATTCTAAGACCATGGAAAAGCAAAATTTCTTTCGAATTTAGGTAAACTATGTATCTGCGATGAACTCAGAACAACAAAACAAGAGCTCGAACCATCCGATCACAATAAGTTTTCCAATACACAAAATATAAGCAATATACCTCACAATCTCACATACACATCCATCGAATTTAAGTTCGTAAACACAAACAATGTATGAATGAAACAGGATAGCTTCCAAATACCGCCAGTTCTAGATCTGTTCTCATAGCCGCCTGATCCTTCACCAATTTCTCTGTTCAACATACTCAAAATTGTCGCTATCATCATCACTGTTCGATTTGAGAGAGGCGGAATGAGATAAACAAGAGAAAGACCTGCAGTGAGCTTCAAATTCGAGAAACTCCCGGAGGAGAAGGAGTCCTGAGGCGGACGAGTGGAGAAGGAGTGCGTCTTCGCCGATCCAGACAACGATCGGAGTTGATCCAAGCTCTTCATCGCCGGAAACCCTAACTTCTGCATCTCGAGATCGGAGATCGAGATCGTAAGGAACAAAAATTGAAGAAATTAATCACTCGCTCTCTATTTCTTTCGTGCGCTCTCGAAATTGTGTGAGAATGAAACTGAAATAAAGTTGGGCGCCAAAAACGTCGGTGGTGCTTTTTATACCGGAGAAGCCGACTCGTTCTATTAACGGCAAATTTTTGGAAACACACATATACTCCACGCGCTATAGAGATGCGTAAAACTTACGTGGTTTGCTATCAAAATATCGCAGTTGCCACGTGGCATAATCAACGACTGCGTTTGGTACACAAAAACTAGTCGTGCTCGTTCGGATATTCGATTCGGTATGATTCAGTTTCTGATACTTTCATATCTTAACTATAAGATTTATTCGGTTTTTTTGGAATTTTAGTTAGGTTTTTTTTGGTTTCAAATTTTGAACAAAAAAATTGATCTAGTAATCTAATATTTTTGGATTATTTTTGGTTTGGTTTTAACCGAAAAAGTTCGGATATGTTATGATATTTCAGAAATATTCGGAGATTTTGGATATTTGTGAGTATTTTTAGATTTTTTCAGTTTTTTTGTTTAACTATCGGATATTTTTATATTTTTAGTGTTTTTTTTCTTTCTAAAAATAAAAAATATTTTAAGTATATAATTGTATTTTAAATATTTCGGATATCTATTCGGTACAGTTTGGTTTCAGATACTTTCGAATCTTGAAATAAAATCCATTTGTTTTTTTAAAAAATTTCGGTTCGGTTTGGATTCAATTTTTTTTAGGCTCGATTTCGGTTCGGTGCATTTGGTTCGGCTTTTTCCCCAGGACTAACAAAAGCCCTCAGCCGCTTTAGCAGCCTTCTTCGTCTTCTTCACTTCGTCTGCTCCTTTTTTTTTTTCTTCTGTCCTTCTAGGTTTTGCCAGAAAAAAAAACTAGAGATGAGGCTGATAACGCACAACATGCTTTCCTGCAACATCAAAGGAGTCACCAATGGATTTCCTCTGCGGATCGAAGCTGGGAACGTGATTGAGAAGGAAGTCGAATTCAATCCCGATTTTCTCAGGCACATGTTCGCGAAGCTCGAGTGGAAAGCTCTCGTGGAAGGTGCGCGTTCCATGGGATATGCAGAGTTACCGGAGGATTCGCCGGATGCGGCGGTGCTAGAATCCGATGAGGCTTTTCTTAAGAAACTCCACCACGCGTTGCTGGAGCTACACCTTGAGGAAGGTGCGCTTGTTTGCCCTGAGACTGGACGGAAATTTCCGGTTAACAAAGGAATCCCAAATATGCTTCTCCATGAAGACGAGGTTTAATTGATTGGGAAAGCTTTACTTGTAATGTTTTCGATTATGGTTTTTTTTTTGGGGGGGTTTTGTTAGGGTTTCTGCTACTGATGTTTGTGATTTGAACCCTTTTAGTGAGGTATGCAATTGAATCATCTCTATTTTTTTTCGTTTCTGGATCCTTTAATTGTATTGGTAGGGTTGTTATATGAAGTGAATGGTGCCTGATTGTGAGAATTGTTTCGAGTATCACTAATCTAGTATTATTGGTGAGCATCTTGTGCATTTGGTTTGCATTGTTGGTCTCTCTTTGTCATTGTGCGTAAGGCCTCTCAGAACCCTCTTAAATTGTTGTTGTTATTCTCAAATAATTTGCTTATGGAGCTCATAAAGCACTGAGCTTTGCATCAGCTGTCAATCTCACAACTTTCAAAATTGTGGTTGCCTCAGTGGAAGCACGACGTATGACTCCATATATGATAGTTCTGAGTATGTTGAATTCATAATTCGATTAGATTCAAAGCTTTGGGTTTTTGTGCTGGATGTTTTCCTGTCTTTTCCAGCTATCTGATGAATGCAGACAAGCTGATTCAAGGAAACCACTTGACTGAATATGGATCCGCATTAGATAAATCCAATATATATCAAACACATTGCACAAAAGAGTTTAATTATACTAGTTCCTCCTCTGGTTTTGGCGTTGTCATATAAATCCTACTAATAAGCAGTATCCACCACAAGTCCACAATACATTGCTTTCCTTTGTACCTCTTAGCCTTGGAGTGCAAAGTTTGGAGTTTGGACCCATGGTTCGTTCGTGTGTATATTTTAACATGTAAAGCGTTATTTATGTTTCTTCTCCACTTTGGGGACACATGATTAGTTTGTGTCTTTGAAAGTATATAGTTCTTTTTTTTTTTAATTACCAAATTTGATCAAACAAGAAGAGTTTTATACACTTTACAAATTAGATTGATCGTAATATTACATGGCGCATTCAAACCTGTGTATACAAACCCATTTTTTAAGAGGAAATGTAGTGGATTGTGTATTTCGTTGAAACTTGAAATTAGCCTACTTGAAATGGCGTCCAAAACACTGAAAAATAAAGAACTCTTCCAATCTCAGCCGTTGACCACGCCTCGTGGCTCCTGCGTTATTCTGAAACTCTGACGTCAGCTTGAGGAGAATGAATCTGCTTTTCCGGTATAAATAAACACCACTTATTGGCGCCCAATTAATTTCAGATTTTGTTCTCACTCAATTCTAGTGCGCAAGCAAGAGATAGAGAGCGAGAGACCTAAGAGCGAAGGATCGATTTCGTCATTTTTGTTTCTTACAATCTCGATCTCCGATCTCGAGATGCAGAAGTTAGGTTTTCCGGCGATGAAGAGCTTGGATCAACTCCGATCGTTGTCTGGATCGGCGAAGACGCACTCCTTCTCCACTCGTCCGCCTCAGAATTCCTTATCCTCCGGAAGTTTCTCGAATTTGAAGCTCACTGCAGGTTTTTCTCTTGTTTATCTCATTCCGCTTCTCTCAAATCGTACTTTTATGATGATTACGATGATTTTACGTTTGTTGAACAGAGAAACTGGTGAAGGATCAGGCGGCTATGAGAACAGATCTTGAACTGGCGGTATTTGGAAGCTATCCTGTTTCATTCATACATTGTTTGTGTTTACGAACTTAAATTCGATGGATGTGTATGTGAGATTGTGAGGTATATTGCTTATATTTTGTGTATTGGAAAACTTATTGTGATCGGATGGTTCGAGCTCTTGTTTTGTTGTTCTGAGTTCATCGCAGATACATAGTTTACCTAAATTCGAAAGAAATTTTGCTTTTCCATGGTCTTAGAATTGTAAGCTGAAAAAGTCAATGGAGCATGTCTATGCCTTAGAGGATAAACTGCAGAACGCTTTTAATGAGAATGCTAAGCTCAGAGTTAGGCAAAAGGAAGATGAAAAGCTTTGGAGAGGATTGGAGTCTAAGTTCTCTTCAACAAAGGCTCTTTGTGATCAACTTACTGAGACTCTGCAGCATTTGGCTTCTCAAGTTCAGGATGGTAAGAATAAATGATCATACAGTCATCTGAGCTTCTGAAACATCATATATGTATCCTAACTTGCATCTGCAGCTGAGAAGGATAAGGACTCTTTCCAGAGCAAATTCAATACTAGTTCAGAAGCAATAGACTTTTTAAACCAGCAGCTGCGAGACATGTCTTTAAGATTAGATGATGCTAAAGAAAACATCAAAACCAGTAAGTTATTGTATTGTTCTATTTTCTGACCTGAAAAACAATTGGTATCCAAGTTCGTAACATCTTTGAGTCAAAAACACAGGAGACAAGGAATTTGAGAAGCTCAAACTTGAGAAGGAACAGAAGGAAATGCTTTATCTAAATGAACAGTGCAGAACTGCCAGTCTCATAGAGAAGAAAGGTACGTGACTTGCTCTATTTCAATTCATAATGCTATTTCCCACATGCAGTATAAAAATGATGGTTGAAAATTAGATGGGAAAATCGATGTTTCTGAAAAGCGTTCATGATCTACAGAAATAGTATATTCTTATTGAGTGCTTCTACTGTGGCAGATACTGTGATAACTGAGTTGGAAGCCACTGCAGCCGAAAGAAAAATCAACATTGAAAACTTAAATTCCCAACTAGAAAAAGTACATTTGGAGTTAACAGCAAAAGAAGACGAGGTCAAAGACCTTGTTAGTATCCAAGAGAAGTTGGAAAAAGAAAAGACGAGTGTGCAGCTGAGTGCAGATGAACTGTGTGAAAAACTGGTCAGCTCAGAACAGGAGGTTAAAAAGCTCGATGACCTTGTCCGGTACTTGGCAGCCGAGTTGACCAAACTGGATATAAAGAATTTGACCATTAAGGAGAAGTTTGATCAACTAAGTGGCCTTTATGATACCCACTTTATGTTGCTGCAAAAAGACAGAGATCTTGCATCTGATCGTGCTCAAAGATCATTTAATCAACTCCGGGGAAAGTTATTTAGCGTAACTGCCGAAAAAGAAGATTTGGAATCAGCATGCAAGGATCTAAATGAAAAAATTGTTGAGCTCCAGACTGATAAGGAATCTTTAATATCTCAACTTTCTGGGATACGCTGTTCTACAAGCCAGACCATTGGTAAACTGGAGTTGGAAGCAAAAGGACTAGTTTCGAAACATGCTGAGGCAGAATCAGTGATTTTAAAGCTGAAAGAGGAAATAGAAACTTTATCAGAAAGTGTGAAGACATCAGAGGATAAGAAGGTATTAAAGTTTTATTCTATCCCTATGTCCTGTATCTAATTTATGCCTGCAATGCTAATTTGCTTTTTTTTTTATATGTTGCAGCAAACATTGTCATTGGAGCTTTCATCATTAACGATTGAAAACAAAGAGAAATACGAGAAACTGCAGGCAGATGCACAGAGGCAAGTTGAGGAAATAGAGGCTTTACAGAAAGAGAGTGAGAGCCATCAGCTGCAGGCGGATTTATTGGCAAAAGAAGTGAACGAGCTCCAAACTATCATAGAGGAGAAAGGGCGTCTTATCCACCAGTGCAATGAAAACGAGAAGAAGTTAAACCAACAAATCATTAAGGTTTAAGAAGTTGATTATAGGACATGGTTTTATGGTTTATTTAAGCCTATTTAGTACTCATCAAATATAATTATAATTCCCACTGCAGGAAAAGGAGTTACTGGTAACTGCTGAAACTAAGCTTGTCGAAGCAAAGAAGCAATATGATATGATGCTAGAAAGTAAACAGTTGGAATTATCGAGGCACTTGAAAGAATTATCACAGAGGAATGACCAGGTATATCTGAAGCAATGTTTCCTATTACATTTTAGCAAAACTAATGTCGTGGGGATTCACCAATTACCCTTAGCTGAATCTGAATGCAATATGGAAAGACACTAAAGACTATTTGATCTCTCTATGTTATTTTAGGCAATTAATGATATCAGGAGGAAGTATGACGTGGAGAAGCAGGAAATTATTAATGCTGAAAAGGATAAGGTATATGACTACAGTATCTTTTATTTGCAGTCTACTGAGCAGTTGGTGATGTTTTTTGTGATTCTTACTTCAGGTTGAAAAGATTATCACAGAGTTATCCACTAAATATGAAAAAGAACTCTCAGATTGCAAAGAAGGAGCAAAGGGGCAAGTGCTGACCATTCAAGAGGAACATGCTTCTCTGGTATGGATGGCATATCTTTGAACTTATCGGTTGATATTTTTCATATACTATTGGGAATCATTGATGAAATTTTTGGACAAGGGTTCTTGCATATTTCTTAGCTAAAAGCTACTACATCTATCTTCTTACTCATTTCATGCATTGTTCTACTCGTCCAATACTATCAGTGAGTGTTATATTAGATCCCAAAGAAACCTTATGGTTGACCATCACCAGTCATGGAGTTGTATGGCTTAGTATGAAGTAATTAAACTAGATTGAGTTATAAGTTTAATAACATTAGATGCCTTATCTGTTTGGAAGTTTATAACTGACAGCATGTCAAGTCAAGTGAGAATCATTTTGCAAATAAACTGATAAAATCTGCATCCCCAGATTCTCAGTATTAGGGAGGAGCATGAGAGTAAGGAGCTCAATCTCAAAGCTAAGTATGACCAGGAACTAAGACAAAATCAGATTCAGGCTGAAAATGAACTGAAAGAGGTACCCACAGATATAACTTCATTGTTCAGACTGATGCAAGAGTATAGAGTCTCTGGTATTCAAATAGTTTGTTCAATTTTCCAGAGGATAACAGCTCTCAAGAGTGAGCATGATGTTCAGTTGAAAGCATTCAAGTGTCAGTATGAAGATGATTGTAAGAAGCTGCAAGAAGAATTAGATCTTCAAAGGAAAAAAGTAAGTGCTTCTTAATACATTCCATCCAGTATAAGATGAATCTTTATGGGTTCAACTAATGGGCTATCCTTGCAGGAAGAGAGACAAAGAGCTTTGGTCCAGCTACAGTGGAAGGTGATGAGTGACAATCCACCTGAGGAGCAAGAAGTAAACTCAAACAAGGTTAGGGTGAACTTCATTTCACACTTATGGTTATCTAATCTACTTTATGATGTGTGCTTAAAATAATATAAATATGGTAATAACTGGAAAATATGTACCTGTAACTGAATATTGCTAGCTTTGCGTCGTATGGTTCACATGATGTTTATTTTTTTTGTAGAACTATTCAATTTCAAAAGATTCTCGTCTTGGTGGTAGCAAAAGAAACGAGCATATAAGAATGAGGGAAGACAATGACGACGAACAGGCAGAGAATTAAATATAGAATTTTGTTCGTTTCTGCTTTGTCAAGGCTACACACATATAATTACTTCCTCATGGATATCAAATGCAGGACTCTCCTTTGGTGCAGGCAAAAGAAACACCTGTGTCCAAAATATTGAGGAAATCTCAAAACGTAAACACAGGAAGCATACTGAGCATTCCAAATCCAAAGCGTCATAGCAGGGTAAGCATTAGAATCTTTACATATTTACATCATAATCAACCTCATCGTTTGGTCTGTGTTTAACTGGACAGGGAACTCATAGTGAGTATGAAGTTGAAACGAACAATGGGAGGGTAACCAAACGGAGAAAAACAAGAAATATAGCCATGTTTGAGGTACCTTATCCATCCAAACAAGAAATATATGGAACATATTCAAGAAATCTTGCTTTACATTCCTTTTCAACAGGAGCCACGAAGACGCAGTACTAGGTTGACACCCAAATTGAAGAGCCCCAATAGTATCACCAAGGTAAAATACAAATTCACTACTTTTGCTGATGCTTAACATGTATAAGCTGCCGTTCAAGTAAACTAGGGCCGAAGCAGAGAGTATAAGAGTAACTCTGATGATAGGAAAAAAACATCATTTTTTAAAAGAACGCACAATGGTTTTCTGTAACTTAATTTACTCGGTCTCATTTTCCTTAGTAATAAAATAGACAATCTGACAGATGAGAAGTTGAGAACAGTAAGCTAAGACTTTTCATAAATCATAACTGCTTAGGGTCGCTTAGCTGAGGTTTAGGTGTGCTTAGTCTATCCAAGTATAGTGCTCTATGCAACATCTAAGGTCCAAAATACAGTTCGGCAGTGAGTTCACATTCGAAGTGCAGAACTTGTTTTCAAGTCAAGAAGTTATGGATGATGTGTTGTAACGTCAGGTTTCTAGAATGTTTTCTGAGTTACCTACATAATATTCTAACCACAGGGAACAATGATGACCGGTCAACCTCGCTCTGCAAGTATTGGAGACTTGTTTTCAGAAGGCTCCCTCAACCCATATGCTGATGATCCCTATGCATTTGATTAACCCATATGGTGATGATCCCTATGCATTTGATTGAAGTGTACCTCACAAAGTCAGTTCCTTATCTCTCTCACTTGCAAACACATAGTCTTTGTGAAAGCTTGCTCACCGATTTACGAAACATTTTGCTGCTTGAATCAACTACATTATCTCATTCTTATAACATGAATAAAACTATGCGAGTATTTTACGAGCTTGTAAATACTGGTAGGAGAATTAAGTCCAGAATCTGCTTCTGATCCAGTAGCTATCTTCAAAAAACCTCCATAAACCTGTGAATCTATTTGTCATCTTTATATTTCTCTCTATAATTGCTTCTTTGATATTTGTTGGTGCTATTAGTAGTTCAGTTGCTCTTGATGATAACAATTTGCTGTTGAATAATTGGCATTACAGAACACTAATTCCAAGTGGAGAGATCACTGAGGTCTGAAACAAATCACCAGGAAGAAATTGGATAGCAGTAGGGTCATGCTGATCGAAGCCATTCATATAAGCATAGAACAAAACTATCAGTACTAGTAGTATATTACATAACTCATACTATCTAACTCTTTGAATTTTGTAAATAATGGGGTTTGGGCTCATAAACAGGTTAATAATAAGAAATGGAATAGAAGATGTACGAAACTGTAGACAATACTAGGGGGCCTATGAACCTAATTTTGGAGGAACACATCACAGAGGATTAGAAGAACAAGTTAAGATTATTAAAGCAAAGAAATCGTTTGTTTTAGGCTAAGCAATCAAATATTTAATGTACAAAGAAGGGAACTAGGTAAAGCTATTGATTGAGAAAAACTTATAATCAAAGGGGGGAGGAAGAGTCAAAAAGTCATGAAATGTGTGCGAATCACATTAAATGAAGAAAACAAAAAGATGGCTAAGTAAGCGCGTCCAAGGCTTTGACCCTTTCCACTTTCTTGTCGCATTCGTTGATACTTTGAGATTCTGGTAATGTGGAGAGAGAGACCTGATTATTTTTAGTTTTAAGTATAGTATTAATAACTTTAGCTGTAAAAACAAAAGGTAATTTTCACGCAATTGTTAAACCATCAAATCCAAAATGGATATGTTTTTCTCGGAAACGGCTAATTTTGTGCATTAGTTTATACAAATAATTTTTATTAAAAATAAAAATAAAGACTTAACTAGTCCTTCAGTTTTGGATATTTGTTAAATGTATTCCACATATAAGAATCATGGGTCAAGAGTTTAATTTAATACTACAAAACATAACTGGTGCAAGAAAAAATTTGTTTCTTTTTTTTCATAAAACAATATATCATCAATAGAGACGTTTCTTTTTTGCTTATTAATGATTTGTAAAGCATTGTAGTATTTTAATTATTTGTATTCAACGTCAGGAATTAAATATAGACCAAAGAAATTTTTTAAAATAGTTTAGGATGTCGGAATAGTGAAAACGCATACAAAACATTAAAAATAAAATAAAAAATATATAGGGATTGTTAAGGAGATGACATAAATGTAATGGAAGAGGAAGTCAACATGCCAAATAGCCAAAGAAGAGACTAAATTTTTTTTTTTTATGGCAGCTTTCTTTAAAAAAAATATTTTCTTTGACCAGATCACTCTTTTCCTCCTTCCCTTTTTCTCTCTCTTCTTTTTCCATTTACACTTAATCTCATACTTCCCCCTTATCTTCTCTTTTATCTCACTTTTTCCCCAAAAGAATCCTATTTGTCAAGCTTTAGACCCTCATTTTACTCTAATTCCAAGTTTTTTTTTACACATCATTTAACAAGAAAAAAATGTACATTGAAGGTTTTAAGCAAGTATAAAGTCAAATAAATCAGGCGCCAAGAAGGAAGTGTTTATGGTCATAATAAAAGATTCAATAGTAAGGGGGCGTAAAGCAAAGATTTAATAATTATGAAGCACGCCAAATGCAATACAAAAAACAATACAGATAGCTCTCATTTTGATTTATATTTTTTTCTTATAGAGTGAATATATATACAAAAAGAAAAAAAATTAGCGTAGGAAAAAGACATTAACGAAAGAGAGCGAAGACTTCGTCGCAGAGACTTTTTGTGGATTTTATCGTTTTGAGTATCTTCTTCTTCTTCTTCTTCAATTCAATTCAATCAAATAAATTTTTAGGGTTTATTTCATCAGGTAAAAAAAAAAACCCCTCCTTTTTGTTGTTGTTGTTGTTGAGCTGCTTAGTAATCATTTCTGCCCTCTCTTTGTTTTTCTATGTTTCGAGGTTTTGATTTTGCTCTTTTTTGTTGATATTTGCAGATTGTTTTGTTTATTGGTATATATATATATATTAATCGAAGAAACGTTTGGATTAGGTTGAGAAATCGAAGAATTTTTTCTTCGATTCGAAATGGGAAAATTTTGTTGCTTCACTTCCGCTTCTGAGGTAAACACAAAGATTCAATTTTTTTTTTCTTTTTCATTTTTAGTATTGAGATGTCACAAAGGTGATTGTTTGTTGTAAAATTGTATCTCCTCGATCGGTGGTGGTATATAATATCCAGAGGATTTTTTTTGTTTTTTTCTTGCCCTTTTCCTCTTTTTCATGGTTGAAGAAAAGTGGTATAACCAATCAGTGAATAATTATCACAAAAGGCTTCTCTTGCGATGATTGAGATGTGATTCAGAGTGTTTCTGCAAATATTTTTTCCTATGAATTATGTTAACATATTTGACATGGGATGTGAATACTATAGCTCCCTTGTTTGTGATGTTTAAGAGTGAAAGATCTGAACTTTTTCTTGGTGTATGTGTAGGTTGTGGGAGGACAATCATCATCTCGATCGGGTAAAGGAAGAAGTGATGAAGGGATGATCAAGTATGGCTTTAGTCTAGTTAAAGGGAAAGCTAATCATCCCATGGAGGATTACCATGTTGCTAACTTTATCAACATCCAAGACCATGAATTGGGTCTTTTTGCTATTTATGATGGTCATATGGGTGATACTGTCCCTGCCTACTTGCAGAAGCGTCTCTTCTCCAATATCCTCAAGGAGGTAAAAAAATAGATTACTTGTTTTGTTTTCTAATGCTAATAATGAGTTTCGATAGATTTTTTTCTGAAATGGTTCCTTTGGTCTTTCTTTTCATAAGAAATGGACAACCAAACTTAGGTTGGGGTTGTCTGTTCAGTTGAATGAGCATGCATACTTGGGATTGTTATAGTGGTTTGCTGTCTTTTCTTCATGGACATGGTTTATATGCTTAATTGTTGTATTCAGGGAGAGTTCTGGGTTGATCCTCGAAGGTCTATAGCAAAAGCTTATGAGAAGACAGACCAGGCTATTCTATCAAATAGTTCTGACTTGGGTCGTGGTGGGTCTACGGCCGTGACTGCCATATTGATTAACGGGAGGAAGTTGTGGGTAGCTAATGTTGGTGATTCAAGAGCTGTTCTTTCTCGAGCAGGCTCAACAATGCAGATGAGTACAGATCATGAGCCCCGTGCTGAAAGGTCGAGCATTGAGGATAGAGGTGGATTTGTATCCAATCTACCAGGTAAACAACTGATTCCATACAGTATCTTTAATCATTAGTTTCTTCCATTTGATTATATCTAACTATCGTTGACAAGGATGTTGTGGTTGTGATCTAACAGGTGATGTTCCTCGGGTGAATGGTCAATTAGCTGTATCTCGTGCCTTTGGAGACAAGGGACTTAAGACACACCTGAGTTCAGAACCTGACATTAAAGAAGCCACTGTAGATAGCCAGACAGATGTTCTTCTCTTGGCCAGTGATGGAATTTGGAAGGTAATGGCATATTCTGTGGTGTATATATCACAATATAAGATTGATTCTGTTTTCATATAAAAATATTCATCTCTTGTTAACTGAGTGTTTTGAGATTCTTGTTGCGTTACTAATTGTTGAAATGATGTGAACAGGTGATGACAAATGAAGAGGCAATGGAAATAGCAAGAAGGGTGAAAGATCCACAGAAAGCAGCAAAGGAACTAACAGCTGAAGCATTGAGAAGAGAGAGCAAAGACGACATATCTTGTGTCGTAGTCAGATTCAGATGACAAACTCTGAAAGGGAGGGGATGGGATATTTTACGAAGGAGATGGTTCCTAATATAATAAACCCGCATTTTCAAATCAAAAAAGATTCACCAGGACAACAACAAAAAGAAAGGCTTGTTTTTCACAGGATTCGACTCTGATGATTCTGGTCTGGTTTTAGACTTGAGTCTTAAGTTTCGATTTTGTGTGATTAGCTTCTTGCTATAGCTTATGTGCTACGTTCATTGTGTGAATTGTGTGTGTTTTTTAAAGACGACAAGAAAAATGAACAAAAAAAAAAGGGAGAGAGGAAAAAAAGAGTTGGTGGGTGGTGACTGGTGGGAGGATTTGTGTTATTATAATTGGTTAATTTGTTATTTCTAATCATCGGGATATATAAAGTTATATTAGGATGTTTTTAAAATTATTGTGAAAGTAACTTTTTTGATTAGGTTTCAATATGTTATGTTAACCAAAGTATATTTGCTATTTTTGTATTAGAACTATACAAATATTTGTTTATCCTTTCATCGTTCATCGTTGAGTGTTGTAGGTTGAATGTCATTATCCTTGGAAGAATTGAAATAGCATAGATCATCCATCAGCTTTGTATACAATTTTTGTATAGCATAGTTGATAAAAATATGTTGTAACTCTAGTCAAAAAAAAAAAATTATGTTGTAACGTTTATACAAAAACATTTGAGCACAAATGTAAACGTACGTGGTCGTCAATGGATTTTTTTATTTTTCTTTCCCAAGATTACAAAGCATTTGACGTTTTTACTTTGATGATTTTCATCTGATGATCATTTCCGATACTTTCTTCATGTCTTACGTTGTCATTATCGCCAACTTCTGATAGATAGATGAAGTGTTGAACATGTCTTAAGTTGTGTGTACTTACAATAAAGTAAACTTATTTAGCTGGAACCTTAATGTGTGGATAGGTTAGAGAGGCCCAAACAAAACAACGGCCCAATCACGTCAGATAAAATTAGGGTTTAGGAGCTGAGATAGAAAACCCTTAACCCTTATATAAATACGGTAGTGAACTAATCTTCGTCCTAAACTAAAATTCTAATCTAATAGAGAGAGTTGTTAAGTTTTATTCTTTGGTTCTTAATTAATTTTAATTTAATTTTATGGATTGGTAAAGCAGAAAAAAATGCCTCTACTTTCGGCTGCAAGAGATGAGATCGAAGAGATCGGTTCTTGTTTGGCTTTGTTCTGAAGGCATATATTGAATTCACCATTAGTAGAGGGATCTTCATTTCTTGCAGAAAAATATTTTCACTTCTCTGCTCTTTAATCCCTCTCTTTGGAACATATTAATCATAAGCAACATTGTTTGTTAATTCTGATGGATGATGATGACAAATGAGTCGTTTCTCAATGTCAATGGGAATACTTTGAACTGATATGTAAAAAGAACTCGTGAGTCGATTGGCACAGCTTTGAATTGTCTTTTTCTTTAGGTGTCCAATACGTTGAACTTTTACAGAATTATGGAAAACACAAAATACATCGAGGGAAGAGGTCAATTTGTAGTTTGTACTAAAGAAAGGTCGGTTGCAAAATGGACTATTTAGACATGCACATTAGACTTTGAGGGATTGATTACTTTCGGCATAATGGGGGGTGTTGGTGCGAGTTGACAGTTTGTGTAAGCATATGTAAGCTAAGAGTCATCAAACGGTTTATTGAACTTATGTAATAAAAGTGCCTAGCTAACGAGCGTAAGATTCTTCTTTTTGACATCAAGTAGTGTTGGACTAAACCACTTTAGAAGACAACACACTCGAAAATGCCTAACCGACCATATCATGCATGAGCCGGGCTCCTTCCGGAACGATGAAGTTTTGCCAAATTCTAGTCGAAGGGCAAAGGGCTGGCTGGTTGATAATTCCAAACTTTCTCCATGTTCAGCCAGAGAGATATAAAGGTTTAAGGTTATAATATCTGGGGGAGAAGTTTTGCTACTACACTGTTGAATTCACACTTCCGTGATTTGTAAAGGAGTTGGAACTTATACGAAAGGATTGTCAATTATTTTTTAAAATGTTGAAACGATGATACTCCTAACAAAACCCAAATGAAGCCCGGTGGCTCAATTCAACAACAAAGAAGCAAACTAAGCGTAAAACAGACTCCAGCCATCATAAAGAAGGTTGAAGATACGCAGTGTTGTCTTGTGGAAAGTTCAATATCTTGAAACATCCATCATCAAGAAACACATAAATTAAAATTACACATTCTGAGTAGCAACGCTTACTGTCTCCAGCTCAAGATCCAGGATGCAGCAAGAGTCGCTTCTCTTCTCACGGAAGTTTCAGTATTTAGTTCTGCAATGATTCAGTGCTTCCATTAGTGTCTAATTGTCAATCAAAATGAATGAAAAATAGTCTTTTAAGTAGCATAAATATTAACGAAAAACTGGCTTTTCATACCTCTTCTTGAGGCTCATCAGCACCTTTGGATCGCTCATCTAAGAGGAAAAAGAAAAAGAAAAAAGTTAAGTGTAAGCTGCAGAATCCTAGTTGTTCAAACGCCAAAAAGCTTTGGAAGAGAAACAACAAACTAGTATGCTAAAGTTTTCTGCTACAAACTCATTACTCCTTCAAAATAGCTAGAATCCAATGACTATGCGCATAGGAATATATGCATAAAGGCCACTTAAATGTGAATCCAGATTAATGGTTTCGAGTTCCCAAGCATCAAGTTACCAACATTTCCACTCACAGTTGGGGCTCTTTAGAGTTCATGAACGAACAAGATTTAAAATGCTCATTTCATTCTAAGGAGGCTATCAATAAAATAAGATAAGATTACCTCCTTCCTCATTGAGATCTGAAGTCCACAAGGTGAGATTGTCTCTAAGTAGCTGCATGATAAGAGTGCTGTCCTTGTATGATTCCTCGTTGAGGCTGTCAAGTTCAGCAATCGCATCATCGAATGCTTGCTTAGCCAGTTGGCATGCGCTGTACAACACGTAGTTTCAGACCATTAGACTGAACATTGGTTCCATTATATGTTCTATCCAGAAATAAGCAAACGAAACAAACCTTTCAGGAGAGTTTAAGATCTCATAGTAGAAAACTGAAAAGTTCAATGCCAAGCCAAGTCTAACTGGATGTGTGGGTGCCAAACCAGTGTCTGCAGCAGCAACAGCAGCCTACATAGCCAGTATGAAGATGGAAGTCTCTTGTTAGGTATTTCTGGGATCAGAATAAGAGGGAAGGGACAGAAGAGAAAAAAAAAAAGAAATATGATTAGAGAACCTTATAAGCTTCAAGAGACTGATCTGCAGCTTCCTTGCGTTCAGCACCAGAACTGAACTCTGCCAAATAACGGAAATAATCTCCTTTCCTACATAGAAAGAATCATCGATCGACTTCACTTCAGGAAGAATCATAAGAAAGAGTGGTAGAAATGCAAGAGCTTCTAAACATATAACTTAAGTTAAAACGATATGATAAACCTCAAGATCTCATTCTTAGTCACATTTTACCCCTTCACGCACCACAACTTAATATCACAAGAACAATTCACCTCAAATCAACTAATACATTAACTTCAGGTCATACCACATTTACGTTAAAAAAAATGGGCAGAGAATAGAGAAGCATCGGATGACTCACATTTTGTAGAAAAAGACAGTTGACTCCACAGCAGTAGACGACGGAATGAGGTGCTTATCAATGACGGACAAGATGTCATTACAAACTTTGGCAAGCTCATCTTCAACTCTCTTTCGGTAAGTCTTAAGCCTCTTGACATTTTCCTCATTTCCCTTAGACTCTTCCTTCTGCTCGATGGAGGATAGTATTCTCCATGAAGCTCTCCTTGCACCAATCACATTCTTGTACCCAACAGATACAAGGTTTCTCTCCTCCACTGTTAGCTCCACATCAAGCTGAGCAACTTTCTTCATCGCCTCAACCATTTCTGCAACAACATTAACAAAGTATTGAGTACTGAAGACATTTAAAAGAACATGGACCAAATTAACTAAGCAACTCAAATCACAACAAACGAGCCAATCTCTGATTGCGCTTCCAAAGTTTGCAATTCACTAACGATATATCTGGTTTACAATCTAGATTACTACACAGAATCAGATCTTGATTTATCAAACGAAAATATCTAGCTAAGAAATGTAAAAAAAATTCCATTCTTAGCAAAGATGATTCCAGAAAAAATCGTACGGACCACAAGAGAAAAAAACATAGATCTATTTCATTCCCATACTAGCCACCTTTGTACAACAATGGAGCCATACAAAGAGATTCAAAAAACTGAGAATAAAACCATATCAACATAAGATCAAGACTGATCAGAGAAACTAAGGAACATCAAATAAGAAAATCACTAAAAGGGCTCATCTAAATCTCAAAATCTAGATCAAGTAAACAACCCACAAACACACAAATCCATAAAGAAAATTTACAGAAATGTAAAACCAAATCTAGTTAGAACCCAGAAAACAAACATTCATATATTCGATCGGAGCAACAAGAGATCAGATGTTTCAGAAAAATTTTACAAAATCATTTTCCGAACAGAGAGATCTAGCAAAATCCAAAAAAAAATTACCATCGTATCTTTCGGTTTGCTCAGAGAGCTTGGCCAAGTAAACTTGCTTCTCCCTCTCGTTCTCCATGGCTTTTTTTTTTTTGCTGCTTCTTCTTCTCCTTCTCTCTCTCTCTCTCTGAAGTCTGAATCAAATGGATGCTTTGATTTGATTGATTTCGAGATTAGTAAGTAACCCTAGGATGCTCTCGTGCTGCTATTATATTGGCCGTTGGATCTACCTTTTTTTATTTCCCCTTAAGTCAACAAACTCAGAACCTTAAGTTTTAGAAATTACAAAACAACCTCAAAAGTTTTGCTTTGATACAGAAAGAACCTAAATTAGACTGAATCAAATTCGAAGAACTTGCGCTAAGTCAATAACGTAAAAAGGCTAATTACACTGACGTGACAAACGGAGAAAGACATGTCCTCTTGTCCAACATATTTAAAGGTTTGATAAATTCTTTAATACAAAACACATAACCCAAATCATACACAACATTTTCATCATGTCAACGCGATTACACATTAATCAGATTTGTTTGTTAGTAGAATATAAGTTCAGTGACGTAGAAAGACTTTTGCACAAATTGATTGGAAAAAATCAAAAAAAAAACCACTGAATTTTTCTTTCGATCTTGATTCTTGAAGAAACAATTTGGTTTCTGCCATTTGTACATTGACTCTACCTGTATCCTGTTGTTAGCTAAAAACATGCTTTAGTTTTGCATGAAACATAAAATCTGAACTATAATGAGAAATTTGTTCAAGATAAACGAGCTGGTCACAGAACTCAGTGGATTTGAGAGCTGAGATACTGTTGATGCTCCTCAGTCGCCGTTGACAGGCCTTTCATAATTTTTTCTCGGTCTTTTCGGTTCGATAGATCTGCCAAATTCTCCATGTTATCATCATCTATGTTCTTCATATTAACACTGTCATCGTCTCCATTCAGAAAACCTGCATTATTATCTTTCTCCACCAGACTGGTTTTCACTGGCTCAGCTACATCGCCATTTTCTACAACTTTTGCTTCCTCAAACACATCACCGACCCTTTTTCCAATCTCTAGGTTGTGGTTTGTTATAGAGTTTGGAACAGACAAGTCCATGGCATCAGAGTTACCTAGTAGAGATTCGTTAGCCATCAATGGTTGTTGACCTAGAGTTTTGTTGTAAGATTGCAAAGAATTGAGCCGGTTCTTGCTTCGGGATACAAGAAGAAATTGCAGATACGTGGAGATTTCCTTGCAGGTTTCAAACTGTTGCCCATCAGGACTATATAATCAAATAGAAAGAAAAAAATGTTATAATTATGAACTTAAGGGTGATAACAACAGCTAGAACGGCAAAGAATACACACACGATAGGCAATTCCAATAGCATCCCTTAAGTCTTGTAAACATGTTTTAATATGTTCAAGAAGATAGAAAGCAAACAAAAGGGACAAATCAAAAGTCTAGCAGCAGCGCTGAAACACTATTATATACCAAACTCGAGTCCTGACTATCCCTATGCTACAAAATGAGTGTCAGTTACTACTCTCTCTCTGCCATATTCCAGGTCTATTGAATCCAACTACAAACACACAGATGATAAACAGAACCAATGAAGACAACTAAAGCAACAATAGGCTGAAACATTATTATACCTTACGTATCTGCGACAAGCCAGCAACATATTGCTACCTTTCCTTTTGATATAGAGCATAAGTTTCCATCCTTTAGGCAAGTATCCCCCAAAATCACAAGCTTTCACAACTTTCTTCGTTTTCCCTATATTCACCCATTCACCATTCAATTGTTCCAAGAAACCTAAGATCTCTTCCTTTGTATTCAACCCAACAGTGATCCTCCTCAGCTCTTCTCCATATGGATCCTCTGAAACATTAGCCAATGCTGAAAGATCAACCATTGCACCTTCTCTGTTCTCCAAATTCACTAACTCCTCCTTATCCAATGCAGAGACATCCACCATTGTACTTTCTCTGTTCTCCAAGTTCACTAGCTCTTCCTTCTCTTCGCTTCTCCAGTTCACTGCATTTCTATTCTTTGGAGGACGACCTCTCTTTCTCTTGACTGAAATTGAATCCATGGAGGTTCCTGAATCACCATATCTACTCTCCATTCCCAAATTGATATCTACAGACGCATACATTGACGCTTCAACATTTAAATCCATAGCATCCGTCTCTTCGCTAGGGTTCCGAATCTTCCTCGGCCGTCCTCGTTTCCTCTTGATTTCACTCCCGGAGGTTCCCTGAATCAGAACGTGCTGAATCGAATCAGGATTCGGTCTCTGATAAACATAGCTGTTATAATGGATCTGACCTTCGGTTTCTTCGATTTCTTCTTCTTCTCCTCCTTCGTCTTCTTCCTCTTTACTCTGAATCGAATCGACGTTAAACAGAGATCTGAGAAGCGACGCGACTTGTGATTGCTCTTCACGGGAGGAATCGTCTCTTTGACGTTGCGGAGACGGAGGTTCCGGTGGTTGAGGGTGGCGCGAAAGGCGAAGACGTTGAAACGTCTGTTTCCGGCTACCAGCGGACTCATTGAAAACGGAGCGATCAATCTTTGGTGTCAAATCGTCGTCTCCACCGGCGGAAGTAGCGAGAGACGCTGAAGAAGACGGAGAGAGAGAAGAACACTGAGAGAGGGCGCGAAGTTCTGACTGAGACAAGAGACGCGTATCGATTAAAGGCAAAGATTCGGCTGATAAACGGTTACCGGAACTACCGTGGAAGTTGTTGTGGTGGTTGTTTCGGAGGTTACCGTCGTCCTCCATGGAGGTCGCCGCCGTGAACACTTGAGACGCAAAACGGCGGAATCAAAAGACGGGTTACAAAAAGATCCAAAATTCCGATAACTTCAGAGCTTCCTTCGCTTTTGCTTTTTAATTCTCGCTCTTAGCTTTTCGGTTCGGTTTATATCTAATTTTCAATTAAACCGGCTATACCAAAATTGATTTTGATTATAACGAAACGTAACGAAACGACTGTTTTACAAATGTTTGTAACTTTGTATATTTGATTCTTTTATGAAATTAAAAACAAAACTCCTCTTTTTATTCGACTAAATTTTCCAATCATACATGTTGACATTGTAATTGATTTAACACTGTAATTTTACCGGTTCATAAATCGAATAAAACATATCATTTGCATATGTATGGGTAATGTGTTTTCAGATGATATCGGAATGTTGAAATTGGGCCTGAAATGCGCTTTATATAAAAATAATACAAAAGGAATGGGGTGAGAGAGGCTCGAACTCTCGACCTCAGGATCACTCAGTAGCTATGAGACCTACGCGCTAGCCAACTGCGCCACCACCCCTATGCTATTTGAACCTCAAATTCTTTATTTTGTATCTATATCTTGATTAAATCAAGTCATAATTAGGATTTTAAGAGTATATACTTTAATGGCTAAATTTCATCGACCAAATGAGCACAGCTTATAAAGCCATACAAAACATAGAGTAATCTAATATTTATTATATACAAAATCCACTCTAAATCATCATTTCAGAAAAGTAAACAATAAAAAATCAACTTATGAAATTTATAAACGTATTTACAAGTTTTGAATTCAATGTTTGATAACAAAAAAAAAAAAAATTTCAATGTTTATTAATTTTTTTAAAACAGAAAGGCATTATTAATATATGCTTACTACATCGTTTTCAATAAAAATTGAGTGAACATTGTCTTGAGATAGACCCATTGTTAACTTGTTAGATTAGGAGAGAGCGTTAAATAACAGAATAAATCATATCACATCATCATTTTGATAACTTAAACAAAGCAAAATCAACTGTATCAAAATTGTTAGCATAGTCAAAAGCTTCAAAAGTAATGTACTTAATCTGCATTATGATCATTTCAGTTCACAAAATTTTGAAATAACATATATGGATTGTACTACTTTGTTACTCTTGTTTGCAATAGTAGTGTTTACCTAAGGATTGGATCAGTCTTTATATTTTTACATATAAATCCACTAATATCTAATGTAAATTTTAAAATCGAACAATTAATCTCTAAAAATAACGTAGGAGTTAAACTAGTATTTGTAAATGATAAAACTAATAACATATTATTTTTATTATAATTTTAAAATCAAGAACTAAATATTGTATAATTTTACTTGAAAATTTAAATTCATCAAAATCTATAATAAAACGATGTTACTTTGATGTAGATGATCCAATTTAAATATATACACTGAATGTAGATGAAAATTTACCCAATTTTACCCAATTTACCATTTTTGTAATTATTACTTCTTGGAGAGGATCAATTAAAACCTATACTATTTATCCTACATACCTTAGTAAGAATATAGATGATTAATTTGGTATTCTTCATACAAATGGCTTGATATATCCTATACACCTTAGCAATCAGAATTTTAGATGATCAATTTGACTTTATATTCGTTGCTTGGTTTATTTTTGTAAGGTCTATCCAAGTATATTGGAATATTGAGAACATTAAGTTTATTTTCTCTGATTTTGTGTGTAAAGTGTAATTAGATTATAGAGAGAGCCAGCTATAAATAGCATTAGATCATGGAAAAGAGAAGAATGACAGAAGGAGAGGTCTACGTGGAGGGATATGCCAGTTCATCGAACTCAACTCAACAGCTGTTTTCTTCTTCTTCTTCTTTTTTGCCATGCTGCCAAATTGGTCCACTTTTTTTTTCTATTCTTACTTTTAGTACCAAACAAATAATATTTGTAATGGCTCAATGAAAATTGTTGTCATCTACCAACATTTTCATGTAAATTTCTCTTAGGTATCCGCCAGTTACTATCTCCACGATGATTTGCATTATTTTAACAAAACCAATTTTACACCAATGAAAACGTAAGTATGATCTGGCAAATGACATACTCTCTTTTTTTTTCTGGTCAACTACGACAGTTATTCAATTTGACGTTGATCAATAGGTGACAGTGGGGTTTAATAATATTTTTTTGGATTAGAGAAAGAAGAGAAAAAAGGAGATATAAAGAGGGATGGTCGTCGTTATTTGGGTGCGTGCATGCGTGCGGGAGACTATGTAAAAGCAGTTGTTATAACTCTCTGCCCATTTCATCTGATCTTCTCAATTCTTTTGCTCTCCACTTTCACATATATAGCTCCTTTACAGCTACATTTACATATATACATGTCTATTGCCTCCTCATTAAACTATCTTTTTTGCTAAATGTTTGCATGAACGTTGTATGTCGTACAGTTGTAGCAACGCAAAAAATAATAATTCAATAGATATACTTCTGTAACTATCATACGTAGGTCAATATTAGAATTCTAATGGACATAAATCACATAATTATACAATCACATCAAAATGATCAAAAACATATAATATATAATTGGTTGTATATAATATATATGATTGGTTATATAGAAAACATTTAATTTCACGCGTTACACTAATTAGAACAATTGGATAGGGGATGAGAAATAACTACAATGATATATTATATACTCACTTCAGAACTATCTTTTTCACCAATTTTTTACTTTTAATGGCTTGGTGGATTAAACAATGGACTTCCACTAATCATAAAAAGTCATAACAAATCCGATCGGCATAATCATCATTAGTATATATCTAATCTTTGATACACCTATAGTCCTTGTACTTTACATCTGGCTAGTAATAATTAAGGAAAACAAAATTAAAATCTAAATCAGAAATAGAAAATACAACATTTTAACAACAAAATTAAGATTTCGTTTTAGGGTTTAAAAAGTTGATTATGTAGGGTTAGGGTTTAGAATGTCTATAGCTATTAGTTTGTAGAGTGTAAGTTTACTTTTTTAGGATTTAAGGTTTAATTTTAACGTTATTTAGGCTATATTATGTCCAAATTGCATGGTATGCTATATAAATCATTCCCGGCCACCATCGTATGCTGATCTTATGCAATATTTATTCTTCTTGACTCGAAAAAAAGAAAAGAAGGTATTTTAATAGAAGAATGAAAAAAGTTGTGGAAGAGCTATAATGTTAAAACCTGGCATAGTTATATAGACAGCGAAGAGCCGAAGACATACTCAGTGCTTGCCTTGTCACTCTTCTTACAAAACCCCAAATAACTCGCCAAGTCACACATTGTCTATCTTTCTCTATACGGCACCGTTTAAGCGTTGCAAATTGCAACAACAACTAAAAAAAATAAAAAGGAAAAAAGAGAGCAAAATTATGAAAAAGTCGTTTATTCAGACGATATAAAGGAGCTAACTTTCCCTCATTTACAATCTTTTCTTCTTTTCTGTCTAGGCTGATCTTTTAATTAGACAGACCCCATTTTCATATATTCTCATTCATTTCATTTTTTTTGTTTATCGGTGAATATATCGTTCATAACCATCATCATCATCATCATCAAGAAACCCAAAAACAGTTTACAAATATATGTCTAATACGAGCTATTACCGATCACCGTTCGGAGACACGACTCACACGAAAGTTTTCGTGGGAGGTTTAGCATGGGAGACTCCCACCGATGAAATGCGTCGTTACTTTGATCAGTTCGGTGAGATTCTTGAAGCCGTCATCATCACCGATAAGACTACCGGCAAATCTAAAGGCTACGGTTTCGTAAGTTCTTTAATCTATCTCCACCAATTTTTCATTTTTTCTTCTTTTAGTCTCGAGGACCACCATGTCAACATCTCCATGGTCCAGGTCACGTTTCGTGAGCCGGAAGCAGCGACGAGAGCGGTCTCTGATCCCAATCCTGTGATCGATGGACGAAAGGCGAATTGCAATATTGCGTCTTTTGGACGGCCAAGACCATCGACGCCTCGAGGTTTGTTAAAACTCAATTTCTTTGAATTTGAACTTTGATGATCATCTCAGTAGTCTATTTATTTTTTTCTATAAATTATTTCTTATCCATTTCGCTGAAGTTTTTATTTTTTTTGGCAACATATGGCTAATTATATTATGTGAATCGGGAATCGTTTTGAGAAGATTTAAAAACTAATACGATGATGAATTATATACTATTTTATGTTTTCAAAACGTAATTTCATCAGTTTTTAATCTTATATTGGAAATATATGGGGTTTATGTGATATGCATACAAAGAATAAAATGCTACATTGTTTGATAATGCTATTAGCAATGTAAAACTTGTTATTACTCAATGATGGCATAGGACGAGGCCAAGGAGGAAGCCCTGGTCAATATCAAGGTGGTGGACAATCAGGCTATACCGGAATGGCTGCTCCGCTGCAGCAGGCTGCGACTGCTCAGCTCATGTATCCGTCGTACGGGTAAGCAATTAACGAATAATAACTAAAGTTAATAAATTTAAGCCCAAAGGGTGTAAAGAAATTTATAAATTTTTGCTTAGACAAGGAAATGGTCCAATGCGATGGAAATGGTAAGAGGCAGAAGATGATATTTAATGCTTCAATTTGCGCAAGTTGGAGTCAGCCTGTAAATACAACATGTTTCATAATACATATAAATACTTGTATAGTAGCTAGTTGTCAATATAAAAAGGCATGCATATTTATGCAATGAAGATTAGCCGGACCAAACATCGCAACAATAATAGTGAAATATGTCATGTATGTGTATATAAAGAGTACATTTCTGTCTCGATGAATTTTGCATGCACTAAATTTGTCGAGGTAAAATAATTAACAAGAATTGTTTTCGGTATTTTGGTGAATATATAGACTAATTGGTTTTGCATCATTTAATTCTCTTGTTTTCAGGTACACCTACAATTCTGAATATGGGTACCACCAAGTCAGTCTCTCTATCTCTGTCTCCTCTCTTTCTCTCTCTGTCCATATGACATAGATGATACATATACAATTAGAGACCACATGCAATGGTATATATAAGATGATGTCGTATGATTCTAGCTAGCGGCTGTGAATGTACCTAGAAAACTTGCTTATTAGATTGGCAAAATGTGTAGGGGAAAATCGTTTATTAAGGCCGTGGAAGAAATGTAGGGTAAATGAAAAAGAAGAAACTCAAGATTATTATGAATGTATTTGTTTAGGTTAGTGATGTATTAATTGATATATAATATGTTCAGTGCTGAATTATTTACATGCAGGCGCTATACAACTCACAGCTCCAACAGGCACAATACTATCAACAGCAAATGTACGGAGGAGGAGGAGCAACATCACCATCATCATCTAACATCATGCCTTCCCCTTACTATTACCTCCAAGCTCCAAGCCCTAGACCATATCCACCTCATCATCAACAGTATCAGTATCATCATCATCAACAACAGCAACAACGTTTACCCGCTGGCTCTTCTAATTACATAATCTACCCATCCAATGTCGAGGCTCCCACTTCCTCTAATCCCCCTATTTCCCAAGGGACACTATCTTCTTCCACGGGTGAGTCCTAAATAACGTTATTGATTTTGTTTTCCTTCACATTTTTTTCAACGTTGTATTTTCTCCAACGACATTGTTAACCAATGTGCATGCATGTTCCATTGTGCAATTACATTCATCACCATTACAACTAAGTACTAAATAATTAAGTGAAGCTTAAACGAAATACCAAAAAGAGTGAATGATTGGCACATGGGATATATAAAATTGCGTCATGTCCATGTGAACTGAGCTGTCTAGTGTTTTTTTTTTCTCTCACCCCTGTCAATCCTACATCATGGGTCATGCATGTTTACATATGTGTATGTAAATGCATAAACCAATAGTGTTTGCATGTGAGTTCTGCCACCTTTATTTTTTGAGAAAAGCTCTGTCACCTTTTTGTATATAATTGATTCTCAAGATCTAGTCACACAACTCACAAATGGACCACTCTCTAGACTCTCTATTTAAGCAATTATCCAAACTTATGTGCAGAGGGGCCACCAAACAAATAAGTTCTATGTGCGGGATTGACTATTTTGTTATATTCTTATGTCAAAAAATAAAGTTTTAACGTAATGTTCGTTTTTGTTACTTCAGAATCACACGCACCACAACAAGTCTCAGAAGGAGGAGGAGAATACGATCCAACGGATGCACCTGAAAGTACAACCACGAACAGCAGAGAGTTGACGTCATCTTCATGATTCAGCTTCAACTCCAACTCCAACTTGTACAATCTTGACATTTTTTTTTGCTTCTTTTTCTCTTCATCCAACCAGAAAAAAAGAAAGAAGCTAATTCGCTTTTTATTAATTTTTCTCAACCATATTCATGACTTAACATGACTGCCAAAATAAAGATGGCTCTATCTCTCAACTCTTGTCATGTTTTTTTTCTTTTTCCTAACGGAATAATATAATATGTCGACTTTGATATTCTTTCTATTATAAAATAAATTCGACTACTTTTAATGCTAAAGTTATTCTATAGTAATTGTCACTGGATACAAACAGTAAAAACAAAATCTAATTATATACCAGTAAAACACATCTATAGAATGGTCCAAGGTCTACCACTAATATGATCATCATATAATGTGTAATTAACTACCGCATTACAATACTTGTTCGTCTTATTAAAGATTATAAGAAATATTTATTTATAAGCGTCTCAAAATTCATGACCGACGAACCAAGTTTATGCTTAGTCGCTTCCTCTGCTAAGCACCGCCACTCTTCCGCCTTTTCTCTTAGCTTTCTTCCCTTCTCTCCATCCATGAGCTCTCTAACTACCCTCTCGACCTCCTCTCTCTTCACATCTTTTCCGATCTCTATACCCACTCCCCACTCATCACAACAAAACTTACAATTAGTAGGCTGCTCCGAAAAACATGGCCAACATATCATTGGAACACCACCGGAGAGTCTCTAATGTTGAATTCCACCCGCAATGCGTCAAGAATCCTCCGATAGCCCGGTGGGAAAGGACTTTCTCCTGAGGACACCAACTTGCCAGCATTCTCCGGTCTGCCGTCTCCGCTAAAAACTCTGAGGGAACCACCATAGCCTCTCCGACCACTAAATTAGGCCGAATGACCCACAAAAAGTTTTTCCCACTTGCGGCCAACCCCCATGCAAACTCCACAAGCTGTTCTGCACTCATCACCGTTATACATCCAAAATTGACAAAAAGAACACTGTTTGGAGTTTTAGTATCGAGCCAATCCAAACATTCCGTCTCCTCTCTCCACAGATTTAACCCCAACTGTCCTATTTCACTAGCCTCGTCGATTTCTTGGTTCACTAAGAGATGGAGCGGTCCTATCGAATAAACCGGAGGTAAAATACATTGCATATACCGGATAACATCATGCTCGAGATCATCAAACGTATTGAGAATGATAGCACTAGCGCGTTTGGATCGCTCGACCTCTCGGATGAGGAAATTGAGCATTATGTTGTTAGGATTAGTGGTACGGATGTAGCTAGGGATGTCCTTTAACCTAAGATTCTTCATCGACGGTATCCAATCTATAATTGTGTCTAGATGCTCCTTAGACATGTAACTTTCATCTGTCCAAATCCACCATTATTATTAGTAAGTAATCTAAGTAAACAACACGACACTAGTGGTCCTAAATTAATTAAGGACGTTTTCTCTTCTATATTATATGAATCAAAATCAGTAGTAATAAAAAAAAAAAAACAATTAGTACCTCTAAAAGGAGATAGACCCTTCTCGATAAAAAGATGAAAGTGTAGAAAAGTAATAAAACCACAAGCACTGTTGGTCCAAAAAATAACCTCCGGGACACCGAGTTCCTCTGCGGCGTCAAGAGTAAAACTCATCACACCGTCCGATACAATACAACTCACCGGAGGAACATCATCTCCGTTATTGATCCGCCGGAGAAGCTTCTTGAATGGAGCGAGACAGTTCTTCTCGGTGGAGACACAAACGGAAGGGGTATCCTGCGTCCTGTCGCCATCAGTCTCCGGTAGACCGTCAGGGATGGATTCAAAACGGAACGAAGGAAGCCCGTCAAGCGCGTTGGGACCACGGGAGCGGAGGAGACGGTTGTGGTTGTAGACGGTGTTGACGAAGGTGACGTGAAAGCCTTTGGCGTAGAGGAGTTTAGCTACTTTTAGCATCGGATTGATGTGCCCTTGAGCCGGATAAGGCACGCACACTACGTGTGGTTTCTGTCCGCTAGAAACGGCAGGAGATCCCATTTTTCTTTATCCCCCTGTGCCGAGAAAAATGATTGTAGATATATAGTAAGGCTTTTCAGGACTTCTTTTTAGAAATATTGGGAGACCTTATGATTCTCGCACGTGCGAATTGTCGAAAGATCTGCTTCACATGCGAAGATCTCTCATATCAGGCATGAGCGACCTCGAGGCCAAATTTGTGTCAATTTGTACGCTCAAGTCTTAACAAAAATATTATATTGGTTTATTATCTAATAATCGAAAAGATGAGTTTACGGTAGGAAATGCCATTTCTTTTTTCTTTTCGATGATGGGAGTGGACACGAGTGTAAACATTGAAACTCCATTACATAAAGACAAACTAGACAGACTAGACATTATATTTTTTTAGTATTATTTTGTGCGTGTCATCTACTCAAATGTTGAAAAGGGACAAGATACCTTTTATATGTTTTTGGAAGTTGATGCAAGAAGAATACAACTTTATTGGTTTGTTGGACTTAATTTTTGGTCTAGCGGTAGACTAAGGAAATAATATTGTTTTACAGCCGATTCTGTATTTTAATCTCCAATGATTGCGAATTTGCTACTTCTTCTCGATCGGTTAACGCAATTTCACATTTTAATTTGGTGCAAACATCACAAAACAATTACACAATTTCGACGTATATATATCACCACAGACTATTAAAAACACATATACTCGACCAGCGTTTTATGTATAACATATTTTTATAACCATCTTGTGTTGAAAATATAACATTGTATACTTGTGCAGTTTCCTACTCCCTTAAAAGAATCTTTCTCACAACCGTCTCAAGATTCACAATCGATGAACCAAGTTTATGATCTGTCGCTTCTTTCGCCAAGCGCCGCCACTCTTCCGCCTTTTCTCTCATCTTTTTTCCCTTCTCTCCATCCATCAACTCTCTAACCACTGCCTCGACCTCTTCCCTGTTCACATCTCCGCCAGTCTCAATCCCAACCTCCCATTCGTCACAAGAAAACTTACAATTTGTTTGTTGCTCTGCAAAGAATGGCCAACACACCATAGGAACTCCACCGCATAGACTTTCCAACGTCGAATTCCATCCACAATGCGTCAAGAACCCACCAATGGCTGGGTGGGAAAGGACTTGTTCTTGAGGACACCAACTTGCCAACATCCTCCTGTCTTCCGTCTCCGTTAAGAACTCTTGTGGCACCATTGCATCATCCCCGGCTACTAAATCTGGCCGTATCACCCACAAAAACTCTTTCCCCGTTGCCGCCAAACCCCATGCAAACTCGGCAAGCTGTTTTGCATTCAACACTGTTATGCTCCCGAAGTTAACGTAAACAACGCTGTTTTGAGCTTTGGTATCTAGCCAATCAAGACACTCCGTCTCCTCTTTCCAAAGGTTCGATCCCATCCGTCCGATCTCACTATCCTCACCGATCTCTTGTTTCTCGAGTAGATGGAGCGGTCCGATAGAGTAAACCGGAGGTATAATAGATTGCATAGATTGTATGACATCATGCTCGAGATCATCGAACGTGTTAAGAATGATAGCTGAAGCGCGTTTGGTTCGCTCAGTCTCACGGACAAGAAAGTTGAGCATGATGTCGTCAGGATTAGCAGTTCGGATGAAGCTAGGGATGTCTTTTAGTTTTAGGTTCTTCATCATTGGTATCCAGTCTATTTCTGTGTCTAAGTATTCCTTGGTCAAGTAACTCTCATCTGCCAAATACACCACCAAAATATCAGTTTTAACTCAATAACCGTATAAAGAACATAGCCAGAAAAAAGGGTATTATAGGTCAACAATGTCAGACAATTATATAGAGTTTACTTTTTAGATATCATAAAAAATAAAGAGTTTACTTTCTCTTGGACTTTTAAAAATTTATTTTGATTTATTTATTTTTTTCTCAACTATCATTTTTGGCTGACGTTGTAGTAGGAGTTATCTCCTACTTGAAGTTATCCATAACCAATGAAAACAAAAACTCAGTAGGGAACCCACTATATATGACAATTATGTTTCGCAATCATCGTGATTTTTCAGTGCCTAATTAAAAATATATGATATTTTCCGGGTTTGATGGTCTATAAAGTTCAGCCCAAATTTGCATTGTTTTTTTGTTTGTTTCAATGATCTATATATTATATATATTGGACCTCTTTTTGGATTATATAGTAAGTTGGGGGAATCTCTGCGCGCGGGCCTCTTTTTTGGTAAAGTCCGAAAACCTTTAGTACGAAATCACATATAGATAAAAGCTAGCTAACAAGTTGTATTCACGTTGACTACTCTTATTCGTGTGTATTACACGTAAAATATACAACCTCACTGATGATTAGTGGTTTCTAGTTTCTAAGTTAAACTTAATCTTGTAACACGGATTAAGTCATTGATAAAGAAAAAATAATAATACATACATATATAGACTGACCTTTTACCGGCGATAACCCCTTCTCGATGAAGCGATAAAAGTATAGATAAGCCAAGAAGCCACAAGCACTGGTTGTCCAGAAAAGAACCTCCGGGACACCAAGCTCCTCCGCTGCGTCAAGTGTGAAACTCATACAACCATCGGATACGATACAGCTCACTGGAGGAACATCATCTTTGGCGTTGATCTCCCGGAGAAGCTTCTTGAACGGAGCGAGAGAGTGCTTCACTGTGGACTCGCAAAGGCTAGGGATGTCTTGAGTGACGTCCACATCAGTCTCCGGTAGACCGTCAGGGATGGACTCAAACCGGAAAGAAGGAAGCCCGTCGACGGCGTTAGGCCCACGGGACTTGAGGAGACGGTTGTGGTTGTAGATGGTGTTGACGAAGGTGACGTGGAAGCCTTTAGCGTAGAGGAGTTTGGCCACTTTCATCATAGGGTTGATGTGGCCTTGAGCTGGGTAAGGAACGCAAACTACGTGTGGCTTTTGTACGCTGGGAATGGCTTGAGATCCCATTTTCTTGCTCTCTTATTCCGAGAAAAAATGAAAGTGTTAATGTATTGTGAATGGTGAATGATATGAATGATTCCTTTAGGCTTATAGGACTCCGTTTTATAGAAAGGTTGAATGAATCTTATTGGCACGTGGGAAGTGTCGAAAGATCTGCCTCTCACATGCCAAGATTTTTTCCGTACAAGGCATAGGCGCTCTCGAGATCAAAGTTTGTGTAGTTTTAAGTATAAATTTTTTAATCGTTATATAAGATAATATTGTTTAATCAAAAAGTGAGTTCACGTCTGTAATGTGAAATTAGGCATAGTCAAAACTAGTGGCCTCAATAATCAAGGTCGTCGATGCTAGATCTTTTATTTTTTTGCCCATCAAATTTAGTTTTTAAAAAATAAATAAAAAAAGACAACAATCGGTGGGAAAACGGGCGAAGGGACATGTTGCAATTCACCGGAGGACAAATACATTTTTGTCACAAAACGCAATACTACTTTTCAAAATCGAACAAGTCTAAATTCACTAGCTAAGCACAGAAAGAAAGAAGTGTTCACAAACTTTGACTACTTTTTTCTTTCTTTTTTTTCTAACATTTTGGAAAACCTCAATATTTGTTTCCAAATAACATTGTATTGATTGTTGAAACTAATCCTTTGTAAAATAATTTAAAAGGGGTGTATTCACAATAGAATTTTAAGAGATTTGAGTTTTATTGAGTTTTTAAATGATTTTGATGATTTTAAGGAAGTTCATATGATTTTTGTAAAATCCTTACAAATCTCACCTAAAACCATGAGATTTGGATTTCTGTATTTTTAACTAAGAAAATCCTCTCAAATCTTCAATATTTGTTTCCAAATAACATTGCATTAATTGTTGAAACTAATCCTACATTTTTGTAAAATAATTTAAGAGGGGTGTATTCACAATATAAATTTAAGAGATTTGAGTTTTATTGAGTTTTTAAATGATTTTGATGATTTTAGAGAAGTTCATATGATTTTTGTAAAATCCTTTCAAATCTCACATAAAACTATGAGATTTGGATTTTTGTATTTTTAAATCTCACCTCTCAAATCCTTAAAAATCAAATCCACAAAAGTTTTCAATAATAGTGGATTTTAAGATGGATTTTGAAATCTTTAGTTCAATACCAGTGGATTTTATGAGAATTTTTTAAATTCATGTTTGAATAACACTTGATTTATAAGTTTTAAACAAATCTCTTAGAATTATACTTTGAATACACCTCCCTAAATTTCTTAACAAACAAAAAAAAGTACTAATTTTGTGTAATTTATATGCTTTTTTTTTTATATAGACATTTCCATCCAGATATCAAGATAAGAAATTTTATCCAAAATAGATAGGGTTAAGTCAAATTTAATATTTTCAATATACTGCATAAACTTTGTTAGCCATTAAGTCAACATTAATCTTTTCAATATACTCCATAAACTTTGTTTAGCACTTTTTATATTGTATCTTTTGGTAATTGCTCCATAAATTATATATGATAATTTATTTAGGAAATAGACGAATATTTATAATTTCAGATTTGAAATATGCTTTAAAACACAACTGCAGTTTATCTATAAAAATATTAATTTAAAATTACTAATTTATATTTTAATATAATTGCGGACACGAAGACTTAATACTAGATAGAACTAATTATATTTGATCAAAGAATTTATGAAAATACTTTTTGTGTGTCACATATTCTGTTCTAGTATATATACAAATGTTTACAGTTTTATTCCAAAATAACTTTGGAACTTTGATTGACAGTGGAATGCATTTTCAATAGTCAAGGAAAAAAATAAATGAAGACCAATGATTTATAAGACCGTGAACATATGAGTTTATGATTTGTACTGGTGATGTTGTTGCTACATGATTGTTGATTAAAAAAAAAGAAGATAAAGTATAATACTTTAGTGACTTACAAAAGAAAAAACACGAGGAACACATTTGGAAGAGACATGAGAAGACAGTACAATGGATCTACGACATTCAGTAAATTGATTAGATCATTCATCCATGGCCATAAAAATATTAATTTTGGTAAAATTTCAAGTAGGTTTTGGATTTAATATATTTAATCATAAATAACGATTTTAAACTATTGGTTGAATAATGTTTGAAATGAGTAATCACATTTTTCATATTTAACATAACATAACATAGTGTTATGATAATCGTATGCGTAAAATAGATCATATAGAGTTTACATTATTTAGTCTCTAGCCCTTAAAAGAACCTTGTCAACAACCATCTGAAAATTCAATTCCGACGAACCAAGCATATGCTTCGTCGCTTCCTCAGCCAAGCGTCGCCACTCTTCTGCCTTCTCTCTCATTTTCTTTCCTTTGTCTCCATCCATTAGCTCTCTAACCAACTCCTCAACCTCCTCCCTCCTCACATCTCCACTGATCTCCATCCCCACCTCCCACTCATCACAACAATATTTACAATTCGTTTGCTGCTCCGCGAAGAACGGCCAACACACCATTGGAACTCCACTGGAGAGACTCTCCAAAGTCGAATTCCATCCACTATGTGTTAAGAATCCTCCAACTGCCGGATGAGAAAGGACTTTCTCTTGAGGACACCAACTCGCTAGCATCCTTCTATCAGCCGTCTCTATTAGAAACTCTGGTGGAACCACAGCTACATCACCATCTACTAAATCCGGCCTGATCACCCAGAGAAAATCTTTCTTTGTTGCTGCCAAGCCCCAAGCAAACTCCATGAGATGTTTGGCACTCATCACTGTTATGCTTCCAAAATTAACATAAACAACACTGTTTGGAGATTTAGTGTCGAGCCAATCCAAACACTCCCTCTCCTCTTTCCACAAATTTGTTGCCATTTGTCCGATCTCACTATCCTTGTCCATCTTCTGATTCACCAGTAGCTGGAGCGGTCCAATAGAGTGTACTTGAGGTATAATAGATTTAATAGATTGGATGGTGTCATGCTCGAGGTCATCGAATGTATTGAGAATGATAGCTGAAGCACGTTTGACTCGGTCAGCCTCATGGACAAAGAAGTTGAGCATTATGTCGTCAGGATTAGTCGTTCGGATGAAGCTTGGGATGTCTTTTAATCTTAGGTTCTTCATTGATGGTATCCAATCTATTTTTGTCTCTAAGTGCTCCTTACTCTCATCTGCCAATCCACGTCCACCACCATTATATAATTTATATTAGCGATATAATCTAATATCTCGACATTTACGAATTAAAATTTAAATTTGATGCATTTTAGTTTTCATCTAATGTTATAGTTTAATTTCAGGGTAAAAAATAGTTAATGTTCGTCAACATAACAACGACATAGAAAGGTGGCATATATATAGTTACCTCTACTCTACTCTCTGTTCCTAAAAAATAATTTTTTTGAAGAAAATTTTTGTTTCAAAAAGATAATTGTTTTAAGTTATCAATTCATTATTAATTAGACGTTACAAATTTTAAAGTAAAATAATTACATATTATTAGTTTAAAATTTCAGAAAATTATGAATCACAAAAATAATGCTCTTATTATCTATTTTTCTATGTTTTCTGAATATGTGTGAAAACCCTATAAAATTTATCTGTTAGGAATAGTAGTTATCAAGTATGCTGTCATGTATAGTTTAAAGTATTAATGAAAATAATAAAATACTTTTCATCAAGATGTAGGCTTGTATGTACCTTTTTGTGGTGATAACCCCTTCTCGACGAAGCAATAGAAGTGTAAATAAGCCAAGAAGCCACAAGCGCTGGTAGTCCAAAAAACAACATCCGGGACTCCAAGCTCCTCAGCAGCATCAAGAGTAAAGCTCATAATACCATCAGATACAATACAGCTCACCGGAGGAACATCATCTGCCGTGTTGATCCGCGTGAGAAGCTCCTTGAATGGAGCTAGACAGTTCTTCTTTGTGGACGCACAAAGAGGAGGGACGTCCTGTGTGGCGTCCTTGTTGGTCTCGGGTAGACCATCAGGAATAGACTCGTACCGGAAAGAAGGAAGCACGTTGAGGGCGTTAGATCCACGGGAACGGAGGAGACGTTTGTGGTTATAGATGGTGTTGGCAAAGGTAACGTGGAAGCCTTTGGCGTGTAAGAGTTTAGCCACTTGGAGCATCGGGTTTATGTGGCCTTGAGCCGGGAAAGGCACGCATACTACGTGTGGTTTTTGTCCGCTAGAAACGGTTTGAGATGCCATTTTCTTTTTCTTCTGTGTCTAATTTTTTTTTTTTAAGTAGATATGTATGTGAGTCGATCAGAATGACCATGGGAACAATTTGGATCGCTAGGCTTTTAAGGGACTCTTCAATGATTGTGAGGATATATGATTCTCACACATGATATGTTTTTTTTTTTTTTTTTTTTTTTTTTTTTTTCACACATGAGATTGTTGGCAAATCCGTCAAGTGACAATGATATCCAAAAACCCACGGTCCTCGGGCAATCAGCGATATTAGTCAAATTGAAACGCCAAGACTTGTGGCCCTATATGGGCAATAATTCGTGAAAGCATTACCTCTTAGCGTGAGAAATCGTTTTCACATATATCTTAATGATTTTTTAAACATCTTTAGAGGCTCCGAAAAGCTTTAAAGATTTTTTTTATTATTCAAATAGTTTTTTAAAATTTTATATATATACACGGATATAATATTTTGGTAAAAAATTTCGAATTACTTACTTTCCTAAAATAAAATAAAAAGTATTGCAATAAGAATAACTGACAAAAAAAAAAAAAAAAACATATCATAAGATCCTAAATGCACGAAAGGTTGATCGCTCATAAATCATAATATTAAGAAACCATGCATTTGCTATATGTTGAGGTCTTTATATATCTTTATATGTAATTTGGGATTGATACGGGTGCTTAGCCTGCTTTCATATGAGGATCGGTTCTGAAAGCATATTCTATATAACTACTTTCATTGAGTCAAAATTTGAATTTGTAACTCTATTAGGTTTAAAGACATGCATTAATAATGCGTTAATCTCTTTGTCTCATGACTCTCATCTCATTTCTTATGTGCGATACGTAATTCGCCGTCCGCAACACCAAAGATAAAAGCCATATTAGTGGAAGTCAATAATTCGTGAAAGCAACGTTTCTGACGGTGGTACAGAATTTAACTATACAGCGATCCATCCGAAAAAAATATGTTCTGAGATATATAAAAATGCCAGGAAAGTCATTTCTTTTTGCAAATATTTAGATTTCGACACTGCCGTATAAACAAACGAAACACTCTATGCAGAGCCTAAAACTTTTCTATAAAGAGAAAACAAACAAATAGTGCATTATTATGTAAATCACGTACGTAATCATTTTTTTCGTAAGATAAAACCTTATTATACGTAAATTTATTTGTATTAATAGTCTCTATTGGCTTATGTTGCCTAAGAGAACCTTGTTAACAACTTTCTGAAGATTTACAAATGACGAACCACGCATATGGTCCGTCGCTTCCTCTGCCAAACGCCGCCACTCTTTCGCCTTCTCTCTCATTTTCTTTCCTTTATCTCCATCCATTAGTTCTCTTACCAACTCCTCAACCTCTTCTCTCCTCACATCTCCACTGATCTCCATCCCCACCTCCCATTCATCACAACAATATTTACAATTTGTTTGCTGCTCTGCAAAGAACGGCCAACTCACCATTGGAACTCCACTAGAAAGGCTCTCCATAGTTGAGTTCCACCCACTATGTGTTAAGAATCCTCCGACTGCTGGATGAGAAAGAACTTTCTCTTGAGGACACCAACTCACTAGCATCCTTCGATCAGCCGTCTCTATAAGAAACTCTGGTGGAACCATAGCTACATCACCGGCTACTAAATCCGGCCTGATCACCCAGAGAAAATCTTTCTTTGTTGCTGCCAAGCCCCAAGCAAACTCCATGAGATGTTTCTTGCTCATCACTGTTATGCTACCGAAATTAACATAAACGACGCTGCTTGGAGACCTAGTATCGAGCCAATTCAAACAGTCCATCTCTTCTCTCCACAGATTCGTTCCCAACCGTCCAATTTCACTTTTCTCGTCGATCTCCCGCTTCACTTGTAGATGGAGCGGTCCAATAGTGTATACTAAAGGTATGATAGATTGAATAGATTGGATGGTGTCATGCTCAAGGCTATCAAATGTGTTGAGAATGATAGCGGAAGCGCGTTTGGCTCGGTCGGCCTCATGGACAAAAAAGTTTAGCATTATGTCTTCAGGATTCGTTGCACGGATGAAGCTTGGTATGTCTTTGAGTCTTAGGTTTCTCATCGATGGTATCCAGTCTATTTTTGTGTCTAAGTAACTCTCATCTGCTAAAATAGACTGTATTATACTATGCAAAACTGTGGTGCATTCAATTAACATTAATACTATACACTATAGTTTAAATTCAGAGTAAAAACGAGTTATTGTTGATCACCGCAACAATGATAGAAAAAGTGGGCTATACAATAATATTTATTACGTATTTATGGTATATCTACTTGTACGTACCTTTTAGTGGTGATAACCCCTTCTCGATGAAGCGATAGAAGTGTAGATAAGCCAAGAAGCCACAAGCACTGGTTGTCCAGAAAAGAACCTCCGGGATTCCAAACTCCTCGGCTGCATCAAGTGTAAAGCTCATCACACCGTCCGATACAATACAGCTCACGGGAGGAATATCATCTTTGCTGTTAATACGACGGAGAAGCTCTTTAAACGGAGCCAGACAGTTTTTCATGGTGGACTCACAAAGGGGAGGGACGCGCTGCATGACGTCCTTGATAGGTTGCTCCGGTAGACCGTCAGGGATGGACTCGAACTGGAAAGAAGGAAGCCCATCAAGAGCGTTGGGACCACGTGACCGGATGAGACGGTTGTGGTTGTAGACAGTGTTGACAAAGGTAACATGAAAGCCTCTGGCATAAAGGAGTTTAGCCACTTTCAGCATCGGATTGATGTGGCCTTGAGCTGGGAAAGGTACGCAAACTACGTGTGGTTTTTGTCCGCTAGAAACGGCATGAGATGCCATTTCTTTTCTTGTGTGCCAAAAAAAAACAGAGAAGAAAAAAATGAAAGATATATGGATATGTATGGAACACCTTGGATAGGCTTTAAAGGACTCCACAATGAGATGGCGAGAGCATGATTCTCGCACGTAGCGGTTATCGACATAAACCTAACACGTGCGAAGATATCCCCTACCCGTCGGCACGAGTGATAACAGAAGATAAATAATGGTTATCTACCTGTTTGTGAAAATTAAATGACAGAGACTAGTGGCCCGTAGTCAATAATTCGTGAAAACAATGCTTCTTACTCTTTAGAGTGATACACAGTTTTAAGTACAATATCTCTAAACCTTAAGCTTCCTTCTTCCAAACTTTTACAATATTTTACCAAAAATAACAACTTTTGAATTAATATTAAGACTTAGATTGAACTTTCTTCTGAAAAGTGAAAACCAACAAAATAGTTTACCACAATGCTTCTTAGAAAACCTTTACCAATATTTGTTATTTCTCTCAATCCCTTTTAGGATAGTATTACACACGATGAAACAAGAAAAGCAATTTTTACTTATTAATAACCTTACATAGTTTTATGATATACTTATGTTTTCTTTCCTAATAGAACCTTGCTAACAATTGTCTCAAAGTTTATCACCGAAGAACCACACGGCTGCTCAGTCGCTTTCTGCGCTAAACGCCGCCACTCTTCCGCCTTTTCTCTCATCTTCTTTCCCTTCTCTCCATCCATCAGCTCTCTAACCACTGCCTCGACCTCTTCCCTCTTTACATCTCCGCCAATCTCAATCCCAACCTCCCATTCGTCACAAGAAAACTTACAATTTGTTTGTTGCTCTGCAAAAAATGGCCAACATACCATCGGAACTCCGCAAGAAAGACTTTCTAACGTCGAGTTCCAACCGCAATGCGTCAAGAACCCTCCGATAGCCGGATGAGAAAGAACTTTCTCTTGAGGACACCAACTCGCCAGCATCCTTCGATCCGCTGTCTCCGTTAAAAACTCTGTCGGGATCACTGCCTCCTCTCCGGCTACTAAATCCGGCCGCATCACCCATAGAAACTCCTTCCCCGTTGCCGCCAAACCCCATGCAAACTCCAAGATCTGTGTCACGGTCATTATCGTTATGCTCCCAAAGTTAACATAAACAACGCTGTTTCGAGACTTAGTATCAAGCCAATTCAAACACTCAGTCTCCTCTTTCCATAGATTTAATCCCATCCTTCCAATCTCACTGTCTTCATCAATCTCCCTGTTTACTAAGAGATGAAGCGGTCCGATTGGATAAACCGGTGGTAAAATGGATTGCATAGACCTGATTATGTCATGCTCCAGGTCATCGAATGTGTTGAGAATGACAGCAGAGGCACGCTTGGTTCGACAGGTCTCACGGACAATGAAGTTGACCATTATGTCGTTGGGATTAGTTGTACGGATGAAACTAGGAATGTCTTTTAATTTTAGATTCTTCATTGAAGGTATCCAATCTATGACTGTGTCCAAGTGTTCCTTCGTCAAGCAACTCTCATCTACAAAATCCATCACACTTTTTATTATTATTTAATCTCACAATATTTAGTTATAATACAAACAACATATAAAAACAAACAAAGTGATCTAGAGAGTGAGGTTGGCCAAATTAGGATAAGGGTTATAGTTTCATCCATATCTTTTAGGTCAACGTAACTTTCTAGGCCTAATAGCAAACAAAGTGGCATTGAGTGACGTTGGCAGCCTAATTGCCCAACGACCTCTTAAATGATAAACCCATCGAGCTAGTAGTATCGTAAGGGTTAATTCTTGCGTTAGACTAAATATTATAACGTTAATAAAATCAATAATTAAATGCAAGAAAATGTACCCTGTACAGGACATAAACCCTTCTCGATGAAGAGATAATAGTGAAGATAAGCCATGAAGCCACAACCACTAGGGGTCCAAAACAGAACCTCCGGGACACCTAACTCCTCCGCAACGTCAAGAGTAAAGCTCATCGCACCATCTGCTACGATACAGCTCACCGGAGGAACATCCTCTCTGGTGTTAATCCGCCCGATAAGCTCCTTGAACGGAGCGAGACAGTTCTTCTCGGTGGACTCGGAAAGGGTAGGGATGTCCTGCGTGGCATCTACGTCAGTCTCAGGTAGACCGTCAGGTATGGCCTCGAACCGGAAGGAAGGAACTCTACCGAGTGCGTCAGTCCCACGGGACCGGATTAGGCGTTTGTGGTTGTAAACGGTGTTGACGAAGGTGACGTGGAAGCCTCTATTGTGGAGGAGTTTAGCCACTTTCAGCATCGGATTGATGTGGCCTTGAGCCGGGTAAGGCACGCAAACTACGTGTGGTTTTTGTTGGTTACAAACAACATGAGATCCCATTTTGTTTCTCTCTTTTGCTAAAAGACAAGATGTGATCTAACTGGGGTACTGTATGCTAAAGCTTCGCTGTCCGCAAATTTATAGGGAAAACCGTGAGTCCGTGTATTTATCGCACGTGGCTATTGTCGAAGTAAATGCGTATTATATATTTATGAGTCGGTTTATACATAATTAACAAGTTTTGAATTCAAGACACTATCGTTCAATAAAAACTATTTATTATTTATTAATTTGCTAAGGGTTTTCGTAATAGGAATTGCAATTATGATTCATGCTTTGTAACCAAACTTTAGGTTTTCAATTATGAATTTATATATTTGTGATGACAAGGCATGTGACAAGGCATGTGATGAGGCAAGGCGTCCCAATGCTCGTTATTTATCAGTCCAATGTACTCAACATCTTCAATTTTATAAGATGTTTTAAACTAAAACACACATAATTTTGTATATAAACAGTCCAAAATATCAAAATTTGAATGTTAAAAGAAAAACTCAAATAAAGTGAAACATAGTGAAATTCTATAGCATCTTATAAAAAGAATCACTTATACGGTAATTATTATAAATGATACATTTCTGTGATCATCTTATGTTTTACAGTTTTAGTTAATCCTGTGATTTTTGTCCCAAAAGAAACTTGCTTACAACTGTCTGAAAATTCACAAAGGAGGAACCAAGTTTAAGCTCCGTTGCTTCCTCTACCAAGCGCCGCCACTCTCCTGCCTTCTCTCTCATCTTCTTTCCCTTATCTCCATCCATAAGCTCTCTAACCACCGCCTCAACCTCACCTCTCTTCACATCCCCACCTGTCTCGATCCCAACCTCCCACTCGTCACAACAAAACTTACAATTTGTTTGCTGGTCGGCGAAAAATGGCCAACACACCATAGGAACTCCACCCGAAAGACTTTCCAATATTGAGTTCCACCCGCAATGCGTCAAGAACCCTCCAACCGCTGGGTGGGAGAGGACCTTCTCTTGAGGACACCAACTCGCTAACATTCTCCGGTCTGCGGTCTCGGTTAAAAACTCCGATGGAACCACGGCTTCCTCTCCGCCTACTAAATCCGGCCGGATCACCCATAAAAACTCTTTCCCACTTCCAGCCAAACCCCAAGCAAACTCTATAAGCTGCTCCCGGCTCAAAACAGTTATGCTCCCAAAGTTAATATAAATGACACTGTTCTGAGTCTTAGTATCAAGCCAATCCAAACATTTCATCTCCTCTTTCCATAAATTTGAATTCATCATTCCAACCTCACTACCTTCTTCAATCTCCCGGTTTGCTAAGAGATGAAGCGGTCCAACTGAATAAACCGGAGGTAAAAGGGGTTGCATAGCCTGGATAACGCCATGCTCAAGGTCATCAAATGTGTTTAAAATGATAGCAGAAGCACGTCTGGCTCGCTCGGTCTCGTGGAGGGCGAATTTAAGCACAGCATCATCAGGATTTGTGGTACGTATGAAGCTAGGAATATCCTTCAGCTTTAGATTCTTCATTGACGGTATAAAATCTATAACCGTGTCTAAGTGCTCCTTCGTCAAGTAGCTCTCATCTGCCAAATCAATCACCATTATTAATTAATACTAGAGATTAGTCTCCCGATACTAATTAAGAAAAATTGAAACACCCTGTTACACAAAATTTAATGCACATATTATATAGGCCATAGCCGTGTACGTTTATATGACTCAATATATTTAGGACACGGCATTCATAGTGTAACTTCGGAGCTAGAAGGAGTTATAAATATGAGTCACATATGAGCACCGAAAGACAGAGTGGCATGGTCCCTGGGCAGTGATATTATTGGGCTAACTAACTAAATTGATTTGAAGGAGTTATTAATTTTTTTTTCTTTGTCAGTTTCATGATTGGATGTTACTCATTTATTTCTGTTATCAATGATTTTCTCTCTTTACTCAAATTTATTGATTGTTATCAATGATTTTCTCTCTTTACTCAAATGAACATTATTGGTTATCTCTTTGTTGCGTGGTAAAATTTCCATGTTTATGCATATGTTTTAAAGATCATATAAAATATTGGATGGAATCTTGATTACTCAAAAAAAATTGGATGGTCAAATTAATTTTATTTTTTCAAAAACATTCATAATTATATATATTTATTAAAATATGGATCGAAATTCCCTATGGCCTTTCATCTTACTTCTATTTGGAAAAACTCAAGATAGCTACAACTGTATAAAATTTAGGATATTATAACATGACCATCTTGACCGGTCTTGTTCGTACGCATGGATCAATTGGGATCTTATAGTCTATGTCTCTTTTGTTAATCTGATTGCAAAAATGGATAATATATATACAATCTACAAACGATCTTAAACCTTTGTCAAACAAAAAAAATAACGATCACGTCGATTAAATTACTCAACGTGCCCGTGGTGTCGTAAAGGTTCTTAAGTTAAATTTAATTTTATAACGTTCAACAAAATCAATAATCAATGTAAGAACACGTACCTTTCATCGGAGATATACCCTTCTCAATGAAGAGGTAAAAGTGTAGATAGGCCAAGAACGCACAACCACTGGTTGTCCAAAAAAGAACCTCCGGGACTCCAAGCTCCTCGGCAACATCAAGCGTAAAGCTCATACAACCGTCGGATACAATACAGCTCACGGGAGGAACATTATCTCCCGCATTGATCCGTTGGATAAGCTCCTGGAACGGAGCGAGACAGTTCTTCATGGTAGACTCGCAAAGAGCTGTTATGTCCTGCGTAGTGTCCATATCGGTCTCCGGTAAACCATCGGGAATGGACTCGAACCGGAAGGAAGGAAGCCCGTCAAGGGCATTGGACCCACGAGAACGGAGGAAACGTTTGTGGTTGTAGATGGTGTTGACGAAAGTGACGTGGAAGCCTCTAGCATGGAGGAGTTTAGCCACTTTCATCATAGGGTTGATGTGGCCTTGAGCTGGATAGGGGACGCAAACAACGTGTGGTTTTTGTGTGTTACCAACGACATGAGATCCCATTTTATTTTTCTCTTTTGTTAGTCGTCACCTCTTTTTTTTTTTTGTGTGATAAACAATTGTGAGTTTTGTTTTGCCTTTGACATAACCCATTTTATAGAGAAAACTAGCAGTTGATCCGCGCTGCGCGCGGGAGGTTTATAATTCTTTTTGTTAATTTTTTTTTATATTGTGATGTTTTATTTATTTTTAACTGATTTTCAAAACATATTATAGTTATTTTCTTTTGAATTATTATCTTTCAATATTTAAATTTGGATTAAAAGCATTTTCTTTTTGATCATGTTATAAACTAATATTTCACTTTCAATTTTATTTTTCCCCTTTAAAATTTTATATATACAATTACATAATTTTTTTTATTGTACCATAAATTTAAATTTACTTACATTCTTAAACTCAGTAACACATTTAAAATTTTAAACTATGATCAATTTAAAATGAAAGTTGAATTATATTATTACCACTAACTAATAAAAGATGAAGTATTTCTTATTTAACATTTCATTTATTTACATAATTTATTTTTATTTATTTAAATTTTCTATTAATTAAATAAGTAGCATAAATATGCACTAAATGAATGTTTTAAATTTATTTGAATGTAAAAAAAATTGTGGCTTAGGTGGCACCATGAAAAGAGAGAAAAAGCTAACTTTATATATATAGAAAATGATGAAAAAGAGAGGCCAAATAATAATTTCGGGCCCCTGGCGGTTGGGCACGCAATTGCACAAACTACGTCATGTGCGAATAGTATCCAAATCTGTCATTGGTCCCTTCGAGGCGGGAATTTGTCGATTTATAGGTAAAAATTTCATATTTCATAATAATCCTATCAAAGACAATGTTCATATCTACTAGCTGAGCGTACTCTGCATAAGTTAGAAAAGCCATACTTGTTACGTATGGGCCTAATCATATAGGGACTAGTGCAACAAAGAAGGTTTCCGTGGCACCAGATCACGTTCCAAGGATGGTCTCCCAAGGCACATCACATGTGCCTATCTTTTTTGAGATTTTGCCAAATAACTAATTATTAGGATATACTTATCTCTATGCTTAGTGTACAGTTTTCAATGTTTTGTCTTAAATGAAAGACATAAGCGTACTTAGAAAGTAGTAATACTAATCCATAAGACCATAACTAATAAGGAGGTGATTTATGTCAAACAAAGCAATAACTTGACAATTGAGTGCGAGTGGACCGCTTGCCTAAATTCTTCTAGATTTCTCTTACGTACATCTTTTAGCCCTTTAGTTTTTTTTTTCTGTGAAATTTAATAGTTTTGGAACTATTAAGGTTATGTCCTTGTACGGGTGCGCAACTTGAGAAATTGTGTTCCGTTGTCCTTCAAATATTTGTCTTTTATTTTTGACATTGTTTGTTTTTCTTTATTTTCAGATTTTTCCTATCGTTTTTTTTTTCTCCATTTACCAGAAAATTTTATCACAGAATATATAAACCATAAAAGGGAAAAACCTACGCGGCCACGCCACCGTGACAAAGAAGAAACAAGAAAAGCACGTTCTGTGACAAACCTAATTTGGAATACAATCTGTAGCCAAGTTGATGCGTGAGTTTGACCTCAACATTTATATACAAATGTACAATCTCTAACCAAGTTTCAATAGTGATGACAAAAAAAAAAAAAAAAAAACCAAGTTCCAATAGCCGTTTTGTAAACTTGAATAAATATCTGCGGATGTAACAATATTCGAAATTGGAATATAATTTTTTATATAATTATATTGGTCGATCGATAAATAACCCACCATATAGTTTAAAACACATATAACATTATCTTTGTCACAAAACTAATGTGAACTACTTTGAACCGGCCTATTGTAGATGGTTAGTAAGCGTAAGTTAAAACCGCTCTACCACTTCAGTATACATATATTTTTGTGAACCTTTATACAAAGTTTATATAACAAAATACGAAAGTACGTAGACGACTCAACCACGCTGCATCGTGAGTGTTTATGAGACCCCAACGGCCTAATGGAGTTTCCTAGCCCAACAAATCAGTATGAGATTACTTTTAAATTGGTAGACATATTCTTTTAGCCCAATAGGCCTCGCTTGTTTCTCAAATACGTTAATTCTATTTGTTTTCTAATTAAGCTTTGATTCTGATTTATCTTTTTTTGATGAATAATTGTTACGACGACTGTAGGAAAAAGAGAATACGTAATTGTTATGATCTCTCGCGTGTAGTAATTCTTGCGAGTTGCGAGTGAAGTATGTGCTTCCTATCTCTAGAAAAAAGGAACTTGAGACAAAAGTTGGTCATTTAGTGGAGATTCTATCTTTGGATCGATGTTCTCTAGCATCTTGCTAGATTGTATATGCCCATATCTAGGTACACTGATGATTTCGTTGATGACAAGTAGTATTAGTATATATTTGTAAAAAGCAACATGACCACCAAAGTCAACACACCTAACAAATTGTCTCTCTCACCCTCTCCTTTCCACGAACGTAAGAGCAAGACTATCGTGGGGTCGACTTCACCTGATCATTATCACACCTCTCGGCTCCACCTTTGTGATCTATACTTAGGAGTACAAAAGAATATGCTCTTCATTTCATTCCATTATTAAGTCTGCGTAAACACAAACAACTCTTCAATTTCTGACCAGGAAAACCCAATAAACACGTTCTTCTATACCGTATAACATATATCAAGAACTGGTCCATTTACTGTCTGTTCCTTGGACTAATACGACAAGGCAGGGTCATATGTTTTGAATATACAGAATTTTTTTTCAGTCTTAGTCTAAAAATATAGAACGAATCGTTAGTAAACTATAGGATTAGGATTAGAGAATGAAACAACTTATAAATCAATACTAACGAAAAGAAAAAGTATGGTAAAAGTTAATACTATGTCCTAATCAAGAAGACATGAAACAATAAACAATTACAAGTAACAACAATAAATAAGATTATGTCAAAAAGTGGGAGTTGGCGAAATAGAATGGTGGGCTTCCGCCATTTACGACGGGTGTTAGGTGAGAAATGAGCTTCACTCAGCCTCGTTTAATCTCTTATCTATTTTTTAACTTCTCTTTAATCAAATCTACTGATAAGTGTTTTGATTTTTTTTAATAGCTTTTTCAAACATGTACAAATACATCCCATTTTTTTCTTTTAGTATGACAAAACATTCGACCAACTTTTATGTATAAACTAAATCTTGATTCTTGACCATGACCATCGTGATAATAAGTACAAGACGACGACCAACACCGTGTTTAAATTTATAAAGACTCTACGTACGCGGTTCAAGAGAAATATTTGTGAAATTTCTTAGATCAATTTGGCAAAACATTCGATTTAATTTACGAAACAATGTTGTAATGAAGTAATGTTTTGTCTTTCATTTTTATTTTTATGTATTAATCCGCTTCTATGGTTTTGAATTTTTGATCAATAATTCCAATTCAACAAAATACTTAAAAAACAAAATTTGGTAACCATGTTTGATGGAATCAATTAAGAATTTTTTTCAGTTACAATTTTTTTTTGTATACGGATTGAGAGAAAATAATTAATTATTTTTGCAATAAATTTGATGGTCATTAAATTTTTGTTAAAAAGTGATGCAAAAATATTATAGTAGATAAATTTGGTAACCATGCTTGATATAATCCATTAAAATACTTTACCTTAATTCTCAATCTTCAGTCTTTTTTTTGTTTTTTTTAGTTTTCAGTTACATTTTCTGTGTAAAAAAAATTCTTATAAGATTTTATAGTACAAATGAGTCTCCTAATTCCAATAAAATAAGTGAACAAAGCTTTAAAAATATATAGATTGTAGACCTACGACATTTTTGATTAAAAAAGTAATTAAAAGTTTCTCACCGAACATTAGCGGCAAACACATGCCAATTCAAAACGAAACTAAACCGAATACGTTTCCGGTTACGGACACGTTAGCCGGTTATCATCGAAGCAAAATTGACAAATATACCCTTCTAACAATCCCAACATCTGAATTACCAAAAACACCCTCACAAGTAATATACCTACCACAACTACAACACATTAGGCTTTCTCTCTTCACCAAACACCACCACCACCAAAGACATCTCCAACCTTCGTTTATAAAACCCTTAAATTCTCCTCTTAACTCTTCTCAGGTTTCGTGTAACATTTCACACACCACATTTGTCGAAATCTCTACACCAAACCCAGAAAACATTTAAAAAAAGAAAAAAAAACTTATTTTTGTTTCCTATACCAAAATGGCGCTTATGAATGGGAGCATGAATCTATCATCGGTCAAATCATCAGTAATCAAACCAAACTTCTCCTCCGCCGTCCCAAGACCCACTTCCTTCCGGATCTCCGCCGTACAAACCGACCCAAAAACGCCAGCAGCTTCATCGGCGGCGGCGGCGACGACGACTCCGGCAGCGTTGACGAAGACCGTTGGGGTTAATGTGGGTAAAGGGAAATGGGCACCAGAGAGTTGGAGGGCGAAGAAGGCTTTACAACAACCGGAGTATCCAGATTTAGCTGAGCTAGAAGCGGTGCTGCAGACGATCGAAGCCTTTCCTCCGATCGTGTTCGCCGGAGAAGCTAGATTGCTTGAGGAGCGTTTAGGACAAGCTGCGATGGGTGAAGCGTTTCTGTTGCAAGGAGGAGATTGTGCAGAGAGTTTCAAAGAGTTTAATGCCAATAACATTCGTGATACTTTCAGGATTCTTCTTCAGATGGGTGCTGTGTTGATGTTTGGAGGCCAAGTCCCTGTTGTTAAGGTATATAAAGATTGAGACTTTTCATTTGGTTTTGGTAAGGACAAGTTTGGATTTTTGTGTATTGAGATTTGAGTTTTTTCTTAGGTTGGGAGAATGGCGGGTCAATTTGCGAAGCCGAGATCGGATTCGTTTGAGGAGAAAGATGGAGTGAAGCTGCCGAGTTACAGAGGAGATAACATCAATGGAGATACCTTTGACTCGAAGTCTAGGATTCCTGATCCACAGAGGATGATTAGAGCTTATTGTCAATCTGCAGCTACTTTGAATCTTTTGAGAGCTTTTGCCACTGGTGGTTATGCTGCTATGCAGAGAGTTACTCAATGGAATCTTGATTTCACTGAACGTAGTGAGCAAGGAGACAGGTAACAGAACAATAAAGCTTTTGTTTTTATGGATCTCTTCTTAACTGCCATAAAGTTAGATGCTTGATTGTTTCTGTCTAGTGGATATGCAAGTAGTCATGGGTAAGATACGATTGTTTGGTTGTTTATGCGTTTGCTTTTCCATCCTAGATTAGGACTTGCATAGTACTGACTACATCCTATTTATTGCTTGTGTTGGCTTATATTGGATTCAGTGCTCTCCCTTTTTGAATACCTAACCTTATTTAGTATCAACTAGTTAGGTAGACTTTATGGAGTGGATGCAGAAAAAGTTTAAGAAGTTTTTCCCTTTTAAGTAGCTGAGAAGCCTAATCATTGTTCCAACCTTATTGAGTAAATGTAGACAATTTCGTTATCTTTGTCTACATTTCGGGCATGTGTGATGATATTTGTTATATTGGATTGGCAGGTACCGTGAACTAGCTAACCGTGTTGATGAAGCGCTTGGTTTCATGCACGCTGCTGGACTAACCCTCGATCATCCCATAATGCAAACAACCGACTTCTGGACTTCCCATGAGTGTTTGCTCTTGCCTTATGAACAATCACTAACAAGGCTTGACTCGACCTCTGGTCTCTACTACGATTGTTCTGCTCATATGATTTGGGTCGGTGAGCGAACCAGACAGCTCGATGGTGCCCACGTCGAGTTCTTAAGAGGTGTTGCTAATCCTCTTGGAATCAAGGTTTGTTTTTAAACTCTTCTCTCATCAGGTTTTAGTTTAACCCTAGTGAGACTGATTGAGATCTTTGTGATGGTATAGGTGAGTGATAAGATGGATCCAAAGGAGCTAGTGAAGCTGATTGAGATCTTAAATGCTGACAACAAGCCTGGCAGGATTACCATCATCACAAGAATGGGAGCAGAGAATATGAGAGTGAAGCTTCCTCATTTAATCAGAGCAGTGCGACGTGCTGGACAGATTGTGACTTGGGTCAGTGATCCAATGCACGGAAACACCATTAAGGCTCCTTGTGGTCTCAAGACTCGTCCCTTTGACGCCATCTTGGTACGTTCTGTAAAACTCTCCCTATTGATTACAACTTGTTATACTATTAAGGTTCTTTTGATCATTGCAAGTGATAGAAATAGAAATAATTTTTTTTTTTTCGTATCTAGTAAAATATATGAGTGTATGATGATTATGGACCATAGTAGTAGGTGAGATAGCGAAAGGTGACAAAAAATCAGACTATGGTTGGGCCAAAGTTGACAGTTGACACAACTGCTTTTTTTTTTTTTTGGTGGTCCTGCTAAGTATAAGAAAAAGAAAAATACTGAACTTTTGGTAGAGTTATATAAAACTTAAAAATATTATATAGCTCAACTATAATTGTTTGATTTTGATATTTTGTTACTCGGATTAGTATATACCAAAGCAAATGAAATATTCTTGTATTTTGTGCAAATCATCTAATATCTTTTTCATTCATTTGATAAATATATAGGCTGAAGTGAGGGCGTTCTTTGACGTGCACGAGCAAGAAGGGAGCCACCCGGGAGGAATTCACCTAGAGATGACAGGTCAGAACGTGACCGAGTGCATCGGTGGTTCACGCACAGTCACCTTTGACGACTTGGGCTCACGTTACCACACTCACTGTGACCCTCGCCTTAATGCTTCACAGTCTCTCGAGCTCTCCTTCATCATCGCTGAACGTCTTAGAAAGAGACGCATCAAGTCTCAACAGGCCTTTTCCGTCTAATCAATTAAACATGTGCTTATAATAATAATATCTATCTACATATAAAAGTGTGTGTGTGATGAACTCAATACGATCTCATTTTATCTTTTCATTCAAATCATGAATCAATAGAACGCTTACGGTTTTTTGTTTTAATGTTGCTAGTGAGTATTACTTCCATTTTGGATTTAATAAAATCGTGGACGGTTGGATTTTTATTTATGTTGTGAACAGTCTTGTGTATGTTGAACTTGAACTAAATGTTTGTGTTTTAAATCTTAACCAAAGAAAACAAAACTGGAACAAGTTTAAGCTTATGTTTTTAGAGAGATGCACGTCAAAGTCAAGATATGATCTGGAACAGTCGAGGGAGTCATTTCGAGGCAAAGTGGAGGCCAAGTCACCTAAAGTCCAACCATAGAAAATCATTTTATTTGGAAAATGTTTTTAAAAGATTAAAAAAAAAGTCTCGCATTCGGTGGGGACTCCAAATAATTTGGTTTACCTTACTAGATTATTCAAAGTACGACATATATAAGAAGCAAAGATTACAAAGAAGTTGTCACATAGAAAAAAACGAAAGATCACAAAAAGAAACAAGACACAAAAGCAGCAAAAGGTAAAAAAACAAAAAAGGATTAAAGAAAAACACCGACGATGAAAAGGAAAAAAGAAACACTATTAAGGTATGGAAGCAGGCTAAGGCGGAAAGGTTGGAGACGACATGGTGGTTGGGAAAGGTATATTGTTCGGTGAATAGGGTCACTCCAGATTCCCTTCTGGAACCAATAATGGGGAACCGTTCTCCAGTTCAGAATCGTTCTGAGGATCAAACCAATCAAGATTTTCAAACGGCGAGATCGCTGAAATCGATGGTGGAACGTTCTCTTGTTGTTGATCGTTCGGATAATTGGGCCACTCTCGACTCCATAATGATGGAGTCGGCAAAACTGGTGGTGGAATGTTGGAAAAGCTGTGCCACTCTTGTCTCCAGAACGAGGAAGTTATTAGAACCGATGATAGAACGTTCTCTTGTCGTATAAAGTTGAAAGTATTGGGAACGCCTACCCTCCACAATGGTAGAGTCTCTGGAACTGGTTGAATTGGAAGTGACATGCTCGGAGAGAATAGACCGTTGGGAGAACTTCGCATGTCTAATGATCTGAACGGATTCGTTGGAATGTTCTCCCATAGTTGTGTTGAATACATAAACCATTCTAAGGATCTGACCGACGCAATTGTTGGAAATGGCGGTGGTGGTGGAATGTTCTCCGTTCCTTGATCGTTCTGAGAAGCTGGCCAAACCGGAACTGGCGGTGGTGGAATGCTCACATGTTGTTGGTATTCTTCACCATTTGTGAGCAGAAGAGGCAACGGAGATCGCAACCCAGACAACTGATCCTGGCTCGTACCATCTTCCATCGTAGTGTTATCAATGTCCTGCAAAACAGCATCCACCCAACCTTGCCCGAAATCTTGTTGTCTAAGAGAAAGCGGTGACGAGAACGCTGGTCGGGACGGTAGAGACAACTGAGATTCTGGATACGGGGTTCGAGTGTAGAGTGATGCATCTGTTGAGGTGATCATGGCAGTGCACGTATTCGGAACCGCAAGGTGAACAAGATCAGGTTGAGTAGTAATATGAATGACACTTGGCCTGCGGTTGTCAACAAGAAGCAGTGGCGGAGGACGAAACATATCGAGACGACGGATAGGGGAACAGCCGGTGAGGCGAAGAACCGTGCTCATAAAAAAATCTTTATGAATTTTCATGATCAGCGCCCCAACATTCTGAGGTTTCCGTATTTTGTACACACGTTTCGATTTTGAACACTCATTGGTAGGTTTCTCTTTGGAAGGCTCACTGGTAGGTTTCCTTCTTGAACGCTTACTGGTAGGCTTCCTTCTTGAACGCTCATGGGCAACAATGATGGCTTGGCTCTGGTCAAGATCCATTGGGAAACTTGGAGGTAGATTGGTAATTATGGCTTCTTCTTTTTACTTTTTTTTTTCTTCTTAATTTTCTTATCTCTCAATTCACATATTTACTCCTTATATATATCCAATGTTCTTCATATCTATTCAGGTGCCCATTAATTAGATTCCCATAAAGTTTGCGTTGAATTAAGATTTGTTTTATATATTTTAAGCAATCTTTTAAATTTGAATGAAGAATAATCTCATTCAAATTACTCTCCATTCAAATATGTATTATGAGATTTCTATAAACAAGGAACTATTAATAATATTTCCGAAATATGGGGATGTGCCTTTAGTCAAGTAATTAACTATTAATTTATGCGATTTTGGAATTTGATTTTAGTAGTCCGCGTGATCAAAATTAAGTTATGGATAGGTTTTTATCAATCATCAGATGTAATAGGTGTGGCTAATGTTATTTGACTATACAAAGATTCATCCATTATACCTCTCATTCATAAACCTTATGTTTTGTGTAACTTCATGGAGCTTGTTCCACCCATATTGCTTTCTCGTTGCACACTTTGAACAGCTCCTTTTTTGCTACATAATATAAGAGCATGTTTATTGGTGGGCTCTTGACTAAAATTTTGTGAAACTTTAAGAGTCCACCAATGGTCAGACCCTTATTTCTTTTTTTCCTCTCGATCTTTTTTTAAAACTCAACTTTGGGCTGTTTTATTGATACCCAAAATTTTTAAATTATTTACTCATAAACTTGCTCATAAATTTTCCAATGTCTCTTAATTTTACCTCTCGGAGGAACATAAAAATTTCCACTCGGTCTTCCTATGTGAAATGAGTTAATTATAATTAGACTAGAAGTTAAACTAATTAGAATGTAGGACTGTAGGAATGATGATGACAAAACAGTACGTAGTTTTGAGTACATTTCCAACAAGGGCGTATTTTGCAATGAACAAAACTTTCGAATCAGATATCTTATAAGTAACGAACGAATGTCATACTTACAAATCTTATAAGTAACGAACGAGATGTACCTCTGTATGATTAAACGCATGCACAATATAGAGTGAGCACGTCAAATTAACTCTATCGTATGTGCCGCGTACTCCCGTGTCGCTCTATAGTAATGTGTCGTTGGACGAATTAAATATTCACTATAAAGTAATACATATCTTACGTTGGAACATATTTAAAAGATAAGATACGAACAAGAGAGTCAAGTTCTCTCCCTCTCTCTCGTCCACATACCTATTATTGTGCATACCTCGATCTCATCGTCACCATGGACAAGACATCCTTCCCTAGCAGCGAAGCAAAACCAATTAGATGCAAAGCAGCAATATGTAGAAATGCAGGAGAAGCATTGGTGATAGAAGACATCTACGTGGATCCACCTCAAGCTTACGAAGTTAGGATTAAGATTTTATGCACTTCTCTATGTCACACTGATCTTAGTTTCTGGAAACTGGACTTTGTAAGTTTACACCTATATCAAAAAGTCAACAGACATTTTATTATTCAAATCTTGATTTCACTACTTTTCCAGGGACCGCTTTCAAGATTTCCTAGGATTCTAGGTCACGAAGCAGTCGGGTGAATTAATCTTCATATACTTCTTTAATTTGAATTTTACAATCTTGATCTTCAAGAACCTGCCTAATTACTTTGTTATCCAGTGTGGTCGAAAGCATTGGAGAAAACGTGGATGGGTTCAAACAAGGCGACGTCGTTTTGCCAGTGTTTCAACCATACTGTGAAGAATGCAAAGACTGCAAGTCTTCAAAAACTAACTGGTGTGAAAGGTATGCCGACGATTTCGTATCAAACACAAGACGATATGGGATGAGTTCAAGATTCAAAGACTCTTCGGGAGAAGTTATTCACCATTTCTTCTTTGTCTCAAGTTTTTCTGAATACACCGTCGTGGATATCGTACATCTTGTCAAAATATCTCCTGAAATCCCTGTTGATAAAGCGGCTTTGCTCAGCTGCGGTGTCTCCACAGGTATCTCAGTTCATCCTTCTTCTCTTCTTTTTTCATAGGGTTGGTATAGATATTTTAGCTATATCCGGATTGAAAACATAAATAGAAGAAGAATTTAGGGATGAAATTGTTATTTATTAGAAGTACGAAATTGGATTATTAGAAGTACGAAATTGGACATGCATGCATGAGCTGATACGGTCATGTCACGTGGAGCAGGAATTGGAGGAGCTTGGAAGGTGGCTAACGTGGAAGAAGGCTCCACTGTTGCTGTATTTGGTCTCGGTGCTGTTGGACTTGCAGTAATCATTTCATTTCTTCAATTATAATACTACCTTTTTCTTTGTGTCGTCTTCAATTATATACTTACTTTTTCTTCTATAAAGTTGAAAGCAAAAGTATTTAAACAGTTAGTTCTTATATATAGTTTTGTTTGGTCAACTTTATATTAGTTATTTCTTAACCTTGATCAAATAATTTAAACGATTTGGTTAAAAGGTTGCAGAAGGAGCCAGACTACGTGGGGCTGCGAAGATCATCGGAATTGATACTAATCCTGATAAATTCGACTTAGGTAAAGTTGTGTTTTATTTCAATCTGTTATACATTTGTCAGTAACATGGCCAAACATCGTTTCAACTTGTTTATGTCTATGTCATTTATGATAATAATAATATAAAAAATGAAAAATAAATCATATTGTTGATTTAAAAACGTAAGTTATTACTTAATCATATATAATCCTTTTTTTTACATTGAGCAGGTAAGAAATTTGGTCTTACGGATTTCGTCAATCCTACCTTATGCGGAGAAAAGAAGATTAGTGAGGTATACGGGAAAACGATCTATTTCCCCTTGAGAACTAACGTATCAATCCAGATAGAGCCCAAACTTTGACCTCGCTGTAGATATCCCTGAACACAAAATTCGAATCCTATTTCTCCCCGAAATAAAAGTTCTAAACCTATTTCCCCCCAAAATCAAAGTTCAAGATCTACTTCTCCCCAATTCTGGGTCTTCACTGGTTTACTATTTATTTAACCATTTAATGAATAGCCTAAACCCGATTAAGCTTTGAAAATCTCAAAATTTATGTCAGAAATCATCACAATCGTTTAATCCAAAGTTGAGGATTGAGAAATTTGGGGATTTGGAGATGGATTCTCATGGGAATTTCGAGACTTTTGAAACTTAATCGAGTTAAAACAAGTTTGGTTTGGTTAAGTAATCAATAAACCAATAGAAACCAAGAGCTGGGGATAATTAGATCTTGAACTTTGGATTCGGGGGGAATTAGATTTGGAACTTTTATTTCGGGGGGAAATAGAATTGGAACTTTTGTTTCGGGGATATTTACATTGGGGTCAAAGTTCGGGCTCTATCTGGATTGATACGTTAGTTCTCAGGGGGAAATAGATCGTTTTCCCGAGGTATACAGTATACTTATCTAATATCTTGCACCGTTTCATATTTAAATTTTACGTCGGAGGTATAAATTAACGTCGGAGTAATTAATTAACTCATTCACACACGTTAAATAGCATAACTAAGTTGAGAAATACCCTCCAATAGTACTAAACTAAGTTTTTGTTGTTATATAATTATGAAAAGAGTTGTTATATATAATTATGAAAAAGGTGATTAAAGAGATGACAGGAGGAGGAGTTGACTATAGTTTCGAATGCGTTGGCTTAGCATCTTTACTTAACGAGGCTTTCATCAGCACCCGCACGGTACGTACCAGTCGCTTAAACCAGATCATACCAATGGTTAAACCAAATCAGTTTTTACAATTTACAATATTTAAAACAACTATCAAATAATTAGTATATATGAACAAAACAGGGATCAGGAAAAACGATAATGTTGGGGTTGGAGAAGCATGCAGCGCCAATAAGTTTAGGTAGTTTTGATCTTCTTAGAGGGAGAAACATTTGCGGAAGCTTCTTTGGTGGTTTCAAATCAAAACTTGATATTCCTATTCTCGTGGATCATTACCTTAAAATGGTAATTATAAATTTTAAAGATTACATTAACATCTTTTATGAGATTAAATAATTCTTTTTACAAATTGTATAGGAGCTCAATCTGGATGATTTTATCACGCACGAACTGAATTTTCAAGAAATCAACAAGGCTTTCGATTTATTAAAGGAAGGGAAGTCTCTCCGTTGCATTATATGGATGGATAAGTAAAAATTACTTACTTGCAAGTTATATATGTTAGTATGTTACTGTTTAAAAACTTTTTTGTTTTGTTGATTTTGTATAGATCATCGTCCTTTTGTCGTCCAATAAAAGATGTTTTGTTCTTGTTACCTTTGCAGTTTTTGTTCTACCAACAAGAGCCACAAACTTATCTTTCTTGCATTATCTTTGTCTATCGAAACCCTTTTTGTGTTTTCTGATGGTGAAAGCATGTACCATAGTGACTTTACGTACGAATGTTTTAACATATATCTTAAATTATAATAATTAAATTTAATTAAATATTTGTTCTAAAATTTTAGGTTTGTGTTTAATTTAAGATACATTTATGGATGTCTAAAAAATCATTTATGCATAAAACATCATAATTAATTGTTTTAAACACCATTGAACATGCTCTGACAAATATTAGTTAGAGTGTTACAAATATTATATCAAACATTTAATTTCAGTTGTTGTAACAAAACCGATATTGTTATTATTTTAAGCAAAACAGAGGGAAAGGATATCAAGTTACGTACCTTTGTGCTAACTACCAAGCTCCAAAATATGCTTTCATATTTTTTTCTTTTCTTTTTTGCTTTCATTGTTTCAATCAATCTTAAACCAACTTTTTTGTTTTACTCACAATTCATTTTAGATTACTTGACAAAATAAAGGTGCGTCGTCCCCACGGTGTTCTCATTATAGAGAAAGGATCACTATTTTGGAAAGAATGGTACACACAGAGACGTGCTTAATTATTCAACTAAAGTGATATATTAGAAAAACAAACTATTGATAAAAAATTTAGGGAATCTTTTGCAGAGATAAAATGAGATAATATAAGAAGAGTGACCGGAAAATGTATATATATAAGAAGAAACAAGTGACCATCTCTCTCTCTCAGATCACTCCATCATAATCCGTCATTAACCATGGAAAAGACTTCATTCTCCAGCACACAAGGAAAGCCGATTCGATGCAAAGCCGCAATTTTACGAAAAGCAAGGGAACCATTGGTGATAGAAGAGATCCAAGTTGATCCACCAAGAGCTTATGAAATTAGGATCAAGATTTTGTGCACTTCTCTATGTCACACCGATCTTACTTTCTCGAAACTAGACAGTGTAAGTTTTTTTTCTACCTTACATGGAAAAAGTCAACGACTAAGCTGTTCTTCTCTAATCCATTTGAGCTTTATCCAGGGACCTCTTGCTAGGTTTCCTAGGATTCTAGGACACGAAGCAGTCGGGTGAACATTCATATTTACACTTCTCTCATTTCAGTTTTTAACAAATCTTGATATTCAAGAAATCTGCCTAATTACTTTGTTATATATCTAGTGTGGTCGAGAGTACTGGAGAAAACGTGGACGGATTCGAACAAGGCGACGTCGTTTTGCCAGTGTTTCACCCTCAATGTGAAGAATGCAAAGACTGCAAATCTCCAAAGGGCAACTGGTGCACCAGATATACCAACGATTTCTTATCAAACACTAGACGATACGGAATGAGTTCTAGATTCAAAGACTCTTCCGGAGAAGACATTTACCATTTTTTGTTTGTCTCGAGTTTTACTGAATACACCGTCGTAGATATCGCACATCTCGTCAAGATCTCCCCGGAGATTCCCGTTCACAAAGCAGCCTTGCTAGGCTGCTGCGTCTCCACAGGTCAATTACCTTCATTTTCATATTCGCATAGGGTTGATTTTGATAGTTTTAGTTTTATCCGAGGCTAAAACATTAACTTAACTAGAAAATAAGGGGTGGAATATAATAGTTATTACACTCTTTGAATTTTTTTTTATAATATGCATGGACTGTAGGAGTTGGAGCTGTGTGGAAGGTGGCTGATGTGGAGAAAGGTTCCACTGTCGCTATCTTTGGCCTTGGTGCTGTTGGACTTGCGGTACCATTTACAATATATCTAATGATCTCGTGTAAAGTAGTTATTGCAAATCAAAGTCATATCACATATGATTTATTTATTAAAAAAAAAAAATTTGGTAAACAGGTTGCAGAAGGAGCCAGGCTGCGTGGGGCTGCACGGATCATTGGTGTGGATCTCAATCCAGAAAAGTTTGAAATAGGTTAGGTTACACTTTGTTAAACAAATGTATATATAGTACAAGTACTTCGCAATACACTATTATTAGTGTTTTTTTTTGGTGAACATACACTATTATTAGTTAGTTTGGTCTTTTTATATTTCAATATCATTTTATATTTGGATATTAAGACACCTTTAATTACTGATGTTGGAGTAGGTAAACAATTCGGGATCACGGATTTCGTCAACCCTACTTTGTGTGGAGAGAAGAAAACTAGCCAAGTGTGTTGATCACTTACACTAGTTTTTTACAAAGTTTTCTTAACTTATATATAATTCGTAACATGCAAACAAACTAATCTATATAGTATAATTATGGAAAAAGGTGATTAACGATATGACAGAAGGAGGAGTTGACTATAGTTTTGAATGCATTGGTTTATCTTCATCGATGGAGGAGGCTTTCAATAGCACTCGCCCGGTACAGTTTCTAATTGGTTAACGTTACAATTTTTTTTTGAATATCAATTGGTTATTAACGTAACTAGCATCATTATAATTACATGCATAAACCAAATTAAATCAAGTTTCGTATTAATTTTTCTTTGAAGGGATCGGGTAAAACGGTAGTATTGGGGATGGAAAAAGATGCTATGCCAATAAGCTTGGGTAGTTATGATCTTCTTAGAGGCAGAACTGTATGTGGAACATTATTTGGTGGTTTGAAACCCAAACTTGATATTCCCATTCTCGTGGATCGTTATTTAAAAAAGGTATACAAGAAAAGTAATCCAGTTGCACTTATTTCTAGCACTCTATATTGATATTTATGCATGTGATGTGAGTTTATATGATTGCAGGAGCTAAACTTGGACGGTCTGATTACACACGAATTGAAGTTTGAGGAAATTAACAAAGCTTTCGAATTATTGGCTGAAGGGAGCTCTATCCGTTGCATTCTATGGATGGATAAATAATTACAATTTCTTACATTTACCCAAACCATCGATGGTAACAAAGAAGAATAAAAAGAAAAAAAGAAAAAAAGAAAAAGCAATTTGAGGATGATGTAATTTTCTTACATTTACCCAAACCATCGATGGTAACAAAGAATAATTAAAAAAAAATATAGCAATTTGAGAATGATGTAATTCCTTTGTTGAGATATTGAATTTGCTCATATTGTTTCATTTATGGTTGAAGATAAACACATTTTTGTGCTATCTTCTATAGTTATATATTTTTTTTGTTTCTTAACACCAATCAATATACAGTATTATCATATCATAAGAGTAATACAAAATACAAGATACATAAATCACTTAAATATAACCACAAAACCAAATAAAGGAAATCGAACACGATTTTGATGAAGAAATAAAAGTGACCTGCATTCGAAAACGAAAGCCTTAAATTAAGATTGAATTAGACCATTTATCCAAAGTTTTATTTTTCTTGTTTGCCACTTACGGTAAGGGCAACATTATAGGGGTATCTTAGCTCCTAAGATACCCCTATATTTTCAAAGAAAAATCTTATGGAAGATCTTTTCTTTGAAAATATGAGGATATCCCTATAATGTTGGTCTAAGTGTAATAATAAGCTCCAAAATGAACTCCAGACAAATAAAACTAAAAAGAGTCTAATGGGCCTAGAGTGGACTCTGTAAAACAGGCCCAGATCATGTTAAAACGAAACACCGTCGTTTTGTCGGTAAAGGACATAACCCAGATAGAGAGATCCTGGAGAGAGCTAGCTTAAACCTAACAATCTCTGAGAGTATTGTATTATCATCAAAAGATTCTTGTCTCTCCGATCCTCATCGTTCTCCAGTAGTCTCACCTGAAGAATCTCCAAGTTTCTTTTGACCACACATCTTCAATGGCGGATGCTCAAACTCCATCTCTCTCCGAGGTTATTCTTCCGTCTGACCTCATTTCTCATTTGTTCTCTGTGCTGTAATCTCGCAGATCCTCAGTATTCATCTGATCTTTGTTGTTCGATCTAGTGAAAGAGTGAGCTGTCTCTGTATGATACTTTCGGGTTTGAGTTTGATTTTGTGATCGTTTGCTTATGTTTTTTTGCCACTTTGTTAGATCTGATTTCAATTCGATTTTTGATTTTATTATCTCAGAACGAGCTAAATTAGTGTTCTTTCTCTCTTCAATACATTCAATTTCTCGATCGGGTTCACAAAGTCTATTGTTTTGAACAGGTCAACATACCAGTTTTTAGATGAGCTTTGAAAAAATCCATTTTTTTAGATTGTAAATGGCATTAACAGCGTATAGAATGATGGTGTTGAATGATTTGCTTCGATTTGTAACAAATAGGATCGATTATGTTGGTATCATTTGGTCTGATACTTGGGAACACTTTTGTTTTGTTTTGTGCTGGTGATTTTATTTGGCAGCAATATCATTTGGAGAAAGATGTAAAGCAAGATACTACTGCCAAGCCTGTGGAAGTGAAAGAGGTAGTACCAGAAGTTACTAAACAAGTTGAAGAGGTTACCACGGAACAAACTAAGGAAGAATCTCCTGTTGAGAAAGCGGTTTCTGCGGTTGAAGAGAAGGTTGAATCTGCTCTTGCTTCAACCGAAGAGGCTTCTGAGGCTCCTGCTGCTGCGGAAGACAATGCTGAAGAGACCCCTGCTGCTACCGAGGAAAATAATGACGAAAACTCTAGTGAAGCAGTTGCTGAGGAAACTCCTGATGAGATCAAGGTATATTACTAGTAGTAGCCATCCACCAAAAACAAAAGATGCTTGCTTTGATGTGCTTGCTCTTCGTTCTCTCTTGATAAGTAACTGATTAAGTTGTCTCATTTCTACAGCTTGAGACAGCTCCTGCTGATTTCCGTTTCCCGACAACAAACCAAACTAGGCATTGTTTCACTCGTTACATTGAATATCACAGGTGAAAACCCAGTGTTCTTCTATGGTTACTCCTTTTTTTCCCTTCAGTTTTTTATCCAACTCCCCATGTCTAAGTCTTTTGATTGTTTACTAATCTCCAGATGTGTAGCTGCTAAGGGTGATGAAGCTCCAGAATGTGATAAGTTTGCTAAGTTTTACCGATCTCTTTGCCCCAGTGAATGGGTATACTTTCCATTATCCTTCTTCACTCTTTCAGTAGTTCCAGTGACTATTAGACAATGCTGATTAGTTACAAAACAACCTTTATTTAGACGGCTTCGCTGTTATGAGATGATAAATTTTCATGGAACTTACCCTCTGAGTGCTTTTTGGATGTTTTTCACCATTCTGCTTCTTAACAGTGCAAAATATATATTTTGTTTGTTTACAGGTTGATAGGTGGAACGAGCAAAGAGAGAATGGAACATTCCCCGGCCCTCTTTAAGACAGTCTCCTAAAGAAGAATCATATGCCTGTCATTCCTCTTTGCTGTTACCTTCATGATGTCTCGAGTTACATTGCAGAGTTTAATAAGATTTTACAAACCAGCACTTCTGGTTCCCATCAATCATAAAATGTGAGAATTTAACAAAACTTGATAATCTCAAATTTTCTCTTATATAAGTTTTGAGGATCATCTGATTTTGATATGTTTTCTTCCTGATTATACTTTCCCATGGCCAGTTTCAGTTCTTCAAACCGGAGACATTTTGTCTTTTGATTCTCCAAGGTTGCATATATAATATTTTATCATTCTCATTCCAATCAAAATAAAACTTTGGAAGACATATTGATTGTTCACTAATCACCAAACTGTTTGATAACATGATATAGTTCATCAGCCAGACGTAGCTTTCCCTATAATGCTATAACGGTATTACCTATAATACGCCTATGAGTATCAATGAAACTCCATCTTCAATGCTAAAGAGCATGAAAAATACTAGCGTCATGTCCATTATCTCATTCAACTGCGGTCTTTCTGGCAGATACAGTCCGGTAATGGGTTTTCATAGAAGGATTCCTCAGAACGATGTCTCTCCAAACCCTTTGTTCCCGAAGCTGGCCCTTTTCTCCTCCTCGGTGACCCTTGTCTGTATTCAATTAACCACAACAATTAGAGACTCACTATTATATGAACGATATCACTATTAAGGTTTGGTTTTGGCTTACTTGGTTTTGTGAATATCTACAATTCTTTCATACACTTTCTGGTTATCTTTTTCAGCTCCCTTTCCAATCCTGTCTATCAACCTCACAATGGCTTTCCTGACTCACAAATGTCCACAAAATGTAAGCAAGCAAGATTCCATGACTTGAAACCAAAAAAATAAATACAAAAAACACTATCTGATTTTCACCTGTCCGGAGAGATAGTTTTCCGGTGTCCAAGATACCGGCGATGCCCTTCAACAGCTCTCGCCATGTTTCCACTATATGACGGAATAAAAACATCGCTTTCGACGGAAACAATGTAGTCAAGTGCAGCCATTTGAGTTGAGTGGTTCATAAAAGGCTTAAGCTCTTCTCTTGTTGCCAATTTTTCCTTTCATTACCAAAATAAAAGAGTCTCAATCTTTTTATTCAGTCTCATGATTAGTTACTAATCCATAATTAAAACCTAAAGGCTTGAAACTTTGCAAACTACCTTACTCATTAACATTGAGAAACGAGATCGTAGATCGGCTAACCGAGACTCACCACCATATATCTCACCAGCAGCTATATATATTGGTGTGTTTGATGAATATCCAAGAGCTGTTAGAAAAATTCTAACTTCTTTTGGAGTCAATGGGCAATACCCTTTGAGCCTTTGTACTCTTCCATCAATGTCTTTCACTTTCCAATACGCTGTATTCTTCCTAAACACGCAATCTTATTATACAAATATAGCAACCTGCAAGCAAATCACAGAAAGAAAAGTACGGTTTGTTTTGGTTACCTTATCTTCCTAAGCTCAGCAGCTTCAGGAGCGGATAAACCGTGGTTGCAGCCGCTGAAAGCTAGCATATCTTTCTCGAATCTCAAATGCAACGCGATGTATAGACCATAAGACCTCATCCTATCAACCAAAAGCTGCAAGATTAATCATACAACAAAACAATCAAAACTTTAGTAAGTCAGATGTTAGAGAGGAAGATATGTCATATGACATGGTTATAGGTAGATCAATAGTTTTACTTGTCCCATTGATTTGATTTTAGGAGAGAAGCGTAGAGCCTCGTAGCAAGCACGGCAACGCAGCTTCTGGATATCCGGAGGTAGATTGTTGTTTGCTAGACGTGAATCGGATTTAGCGGCTCGAATCACCTTGTATTCATCCCACATACTAGCTATCTCTTTCTGGTAGTAACTCAATCCTGAATAGCTTTTGAAATGCTTAACCACCTTTGTGAGTCCATCAATACCTTTTGGAAGCTTCTTGATGACTTTTACATCTTTAGACAACGCATTGATGAAGTGATCTTCATCAAACACATCCGAGAATTTGCTGTTTCGACCGGATTAGTCCAAAAAAACAGAACAAATACAGGTGAAAACAGGATCTTGAAAATGTCAAAGACAAGAAAAACAAAACAGAGTATGGTTACATGGAGCTAACCTAGTATCCTGCCAGAAAGATCGTTTATCGAGCTCTGGGACTACAAGTGTTGCATTTATAATACGAGCAATAGCTACCATATCACATATCTGTAAATTATAGAATAGAAGAAGGATAATTCAACCATAAGTATTTCATTCTTGTAAGTGAAAAGGAACATCAAGACCACGGCTATATACTTACCCCAGCGCGCATTTGGTTAAGCCCGCCATTCGTGTGAACAAGAAGATAGCCTCTAGTTTCCAATGGAGCTGAAGAAGCAGAGAATCACGAGTTAACAACAAAAGACTTTAATGTTGGCTACAAAAAGAAACCAAACCAGACAGCTTCATTGTCTCACATGTGTAACTAGGAGTGGGGTTGACACAAGGGACGAAATTGCGGTTGTGTGGAGGTTTCCAAAGCTTTTCGAAATCCGGGATCCCGCTTGTAATGTTCAACTGTCAAATCTAAAGGAGTGAAAAACACGAAAGAAGCATGATCCTTCTATTCAAAAGATTCAAAATTCTTCAATCTAAGTCACAATTGTCTAGTGTTCCGAAGTTAGCACGTCACTGCAACCACTAAACTAATTCTACACTCTGGAAACGTACTCCATGCATAAAACAATTGTATATATAGACAATGTCCTCTCTGGTTCCACTCTTTTTCAAGAAACAATCACATTATCATTACTAAACACCCACTGATGATTTACTTACAAGCAACTAATCTTAGGCATTCTTTACATCAAGAATCAAAATGTGAAAATAAAATTAAACCTTGGAATTAGAAGAAGGAGGAACTAGCTCGGTGTTGTATTCCGATGTTAAACTCTGATACTGAACCTCACTGTTCTATATTTTGAAAACAGAATCAGCCATGAGTTATAGAAGAAATAAAATATTCATACTGATAAAAATCGGAAACATAGTGATAGCCAAAGTTCAAATCTTTACTCCAAACAAGAAAAACCTTAAAAATTGAACCTTTGGTTTGGTGATAAGAGGAGCTTCAGTGGATTTCACACGAGACAAGTTCCTCTTCAAGCTCTGTTCTGTGATAGATTTGTTGTAATCGATGTCATCTCCTCGCTGTTAAACAGAGAATCAAATCAAGAAACCATACAAACTCAGTAGTTAAGAACACTAATACATCCCAAAATAAGACCGATCAAGATAAAAGTAGAGAGGTTTAGGTTACGGACGCGAGTGTTGCGCTGATAATTAAGATGAAGCCTAGGGAGTCTATTGAGAGGAGCAACGTAAAAATGTACGATGAGAAAGCCAAGTAATGTCATTGCACATATGGCGCATATTAGCACCCTCCGTATCACAACCGCCACCACAACCGTCTTCCTCCGCCGTCGCATTTCTCTGAGAACGATCCAAACGACAACATTCAAGAAAAGAAAAACCTGTCGTGAAACAAAGATTCAGAAAAAACGGATCTTGATCTTTCTTTGTTTTTGTTCTGTTTGGTTTTGTGTAAGTAAATGACCTTTCTATTTGTGGAAGTATGGAGAGAGAGTGTAATAGCCGAAAAAGGAAAGTATAGAGGTCAATGAATCAACCCATGCCACGATGAGGTCTAATGCACAAAACTCGACGATCTTTTTTATTAAATGAATTTTTGGTTTGGTTCTTTCGTGTTCTATTTTAAGGAGTTTGAGAAGCCTAAAAGGTAAGAGGAAGGGTCACGTGACGTTTGACCTGATCTTAGAGATGGAATCGTTGTTATGCGCGTGAAGTCGATATCTAATTTAATTTTGTCAATGGACAAAGTCGTAACCTATAAATCTCAATTTATTGCGATCAACAAGATTTGATCATCTTCATCGTGGATCCATCTCAGTAACACCGTATGTAACACTAAAGCATAGCATTGGATCCTCTCTATAAGATATACAATTGGTTTGGTCATAAATCATAATAGATTATATATTTTCCAAAGTTGTATTTTTTAATGAGAAAAATAACATGTATTCTAAAGTTTTAAATAGTGACGATAGTAATTACAACGGATTAATTTGTTTGTATATATATACTCAATAATTTCATTGTGACTGGATTTAAGTTTTTTGGAATTATAAATAGATTATATAATACAAAGAGAAAATTCCATAAAGATATACCAACTATATTTATCTACAAGTCTATAACAACTAGTTAGTGTATTTTTATGAATTTTTCCTGATACAAATATTTTTTTATATAATAAAGTGATGACTCATATACCACTTTTTAACTTTCTATGTTTTAAAGACATGATTTTACTATTCTTCTTTCACTATCAAACATTAATCAAAATTTTACGTTTATTTATTTATTTTTTAAAAGTGATTCCGCAATGAGAAGGACAAGTGGGCTAGTGGTTCTCACCTCTGTTGCCTTCTCACCAGATCCGGGTTCGAGTCCGGTCCCTCTCAAAGAAAGACGTATAATTTATAATGATGACAAAAAAAAAAGTGATTCCGCAATTTACTATCTATATTTGAAACGGGGTAATGTTTATGTCAGCAAATTGAATGAAATTTATTAGCTACATTAATCCATGAAATTCGAATGATTGTTCATTCTTTGAAGGTAAGCTATAAATCAGCTGAAAATTGAATTAGATATAAATGGCAAGCATTATAGGAGTAAAGATGAGAATGATGAGTTGAAACTGCTATAAAATAATAATTTTGTTGCACTCATTCTTCTTGATATTGAATATTTGAATGGACAATTTCGTTGAACTCTATTAGTCTGTTAACAAATTCATTATGGGATTTGAAGATATTTTGGGGTCACATAAAGACCACATTCATACTCCCACGATGGGAGATCTACCCATATATTCCGGAAAGTTCCCAATATCTATGGGTTCATGTTTTCTTTCTCTTTAATTAACTTACAAAACTTTTGCTTCAAAAATTAACTGGATGTCGCTAGGATTCAATGTAAACAGTGTTTGTCTTTCATTTTGTAATACGAAATCAGAAAGTTGCATAGCCCTAATATTGTTTATTAATTCTTCCATGTCATTCGAATCCCATGTAACTTAAAAAAAAAATATGGTCTTCGTTTGCTGTGCCAGACGTATATATGAAATTATATCGGTATTTGACTATTTTCTATTTTGAATGTAATGCTATATCGGTATATTATATACGTTAAAAAATAATGATATAATAATGTATATATATATATATATTATCATCAATTAATCGAAGGTAAAACATGCGTTACTTAAGAAATAATCAATAAGGTCCATTTTGTGTTGACATGGTACGGACTACGGAGAGAAGAATCAGATCAAACGTCTCGTGGGAGAGAACAAAGAAAGAGAGAATGTACTTTCGTGGAAAGTGGCTGAGTAGAGATCATTCATCAGATCACTGCTCAGACATGAACTGGCCACTACAGTTGTACGTCTGTGTACAACCCACTAACTCGCTCTTTTAACATGTAGCCAAATCAAATCTCTTGTTGCATTATTAGTTAAAAACATTAAAACAGTAGATTACAGAGCCATGGTCAACGTAGCAAAGCAGATTTTAAGGTAGATTAGTGACTAATTGTGATCAAGCGTTCCAAGTTCCAAGTAAATACTTTATTTAGGTTTCTTGGGTACTACAAAATATGAAAAGTTACTGTACGGTTCCGCTTGGGAGGATTAATAATGGAATTAGTGCCGTTTTAAAGTAATTTAAATTGCATTTTAAGCAAATATTATGGTAAGCTACTTATTAATTTAGACCAGCTGTAATACCAAATCTGAATGAATGAAGCACGACACGTCTTTGTCCTCTAACCGTACATTAATTGTATCTGCCAGATGTGTAATGTCATGTGCTAACCAATCACACCCTTTGTCTGTCTGCATCCTTTGTTTTTTTTTTTTAGTTCTCACATTTTACTCATATCGAATTATGAAAAAACCTCAGTAAATAAATCAAATTTTCTCCGGTAAAATTCAAGAGATATAATAAATACACTCGGTTTCCAACTTCCAACTTTAGTATATTCTTTAGAATATTTTTTATAAAAAAGTATTTCTAGTATTCAAGAAATCAAATACACATTAAAACAAATCATGTAAATAAACTTGTTTAGATCATCTTGTAATTATATTTGAGGTGATTAATTTTTACTCTGTATTCTTTTTTTTCTTTTTTTGTCAAGATCTTTTCACTCTGTATTTTTAGGGGTAAAGAGACAGAGAAGAACAAATGAATATATCAGAACCAAAAATGTGATAATTAATTACATAAACAATCTAGAGAGGAAGCTTTGTTTCTTGACATGCTTCTTTTTCTTCTTACTATTAACAACGATCTCACTATATCTATGTTGAAGAGGAGACAAGCAAGAAGAGACAGAAGAGTAATGAGAAGAGATAGCCGTGGAAGAGTAATCTGATTCTGATTCTGATTCTGAAGAAGAGGAGGAGCAAGATGACACCGTCTTAGCCAAAGACGATGAGCTCATGCTTGAACTATTTTCATGGAAATCGCTAGACAACTTGGAGAGACTCTCGTTGAGACAAAGGGAACATATTCCAGGAGATTGTCTGTGCTTCGGATGTTTTTTGCATGAGTAAACGTAGTCAGAAGATGAATTTGTTCTCTTCACCGTATGGTTCTTTGGTTTTGATGATGAATCTGTTGCTGTTCGCATTGATCTTCTGTTTCTGCTACTGATGAGGAAAACGTTTGCCATTGTTGAAGTAGTTGTGGATGACCTGATTGGTTTCTTCTTTTTCTTTCTTCTCGCCGTTTTGGTGTGTGTTTGTGTTCATTTATAGGTGCTTGCTTAGCTGGTTATGATCTTTATTTGATGTTTCCGAGATATTTCTTTACTTAACTTTTTCCTAAAAGGCCAAAAAAAAAAGAAACCAGTCACGCCGGTTCATATTAATGATATTTTATTTCATTTAAGTATTCATTCGAAGTAGTAATGAAAAAACAAATGACAATTAAATGAAAATGTTAGGTCATTTTTCCATATTTTCGACAAAAGTGGTTATCAAAATACTAATATCGACAAAAAGAACATGATATTATATGTTCTCAGATCAATAATACGTTGTTACTTAGACCCACATTGTATTTGTTATTAATTAACTTGATAACGTTGTTTGCAAAAAAAATAAAAAAAATAATAAATAACTTGATAACGTTAAAATAAACAATTCCCTTAAATCGAGTCCCAAATGAATTTTCGGTATTCAAAGAGTTGAGTTTTTCTATATTCTGAAACGTATACGTTAGCCAATATAAACTCATGGTAGAAATCCTCAAATCAAATTTGAACTCTGATCAAAACCACTCGAAATCTCCGTCACTTGAAGTCCTGGACACCATGTCTTGGTTAAAAACAAACAATATTATTCTGTGGTTACGTCGGTTCGAGGAGAGATCTGGAGTGGTTACAATGTATTATTTATATGGACGGCTTAGATGTACGAGAGATCTTGTGGGATCCTTACATATTAGGTAAGAGACGGTACATGATGCTTTACGAGTAATCGTAATCAGTCTCATCTCATACCGACACATGGCAATCGCTTCCTTTTGTTTGGTAGTATAGTTTTTGTTTGATTACGAGTAATCGTACTCTCATACCGACACATGGCAATCGCGTTTCCTTTTGTTCGGTAGTATAGTTTTTGTTTGTTTGAAAGATGATATAACTAACATACACACACACACACACATATACAACAAAAATTTCAACTAAGGCAAAGCCAATGCATAAAAAACTAGGGCCCAAGTCGCTAATAAAGCCCCTAATGGGTAGGACACGGCCCAAGCTGCACAAGGAATGGCCTGTGTGGTCGTGGGGTTGTAACCACCACCTCCGGTGAAAGAAGTTGGTGTGGGGGTTGGTGTGGTAGTGCCACCACCTACACCGTTTGACGAGGTCGATGCCACGGTGACTGCGAGTTTCATACCGCCAGTGCAATGGCCGGGGATTCCACATATGAAGTAGCGAGGTCCAGTGGTGGTGAGAGCTATGGTTGTGGTTCCACTGCTGTCAGATGTAATGGAGTTCCCTAAAGTACAACTCTTGTAGTCATTCTCACTCACTTCATCAACCGTGTGACCAGCACCGTAGTTGAACACTGAATAACACAATTGTGTAACAATATTAATGTTATCGGTTTGATTTGATTTTTTCGGTTTACATTATTATTCTATGCAAAAAATAATGTCATCATAATCATTTTGTCATGTCATTAGTTACTGGATTAGGTTTTATTTTGGCCATTCATTTAATCCCAACTAAATAAATATATATGTGTGCAAAGAAGAAGTAGTTATGAGTCATATTATATGTCTCGATAGAGTTAAGAGATGAATCACCGATGGTATCGCCAACGGCGAAGCTCTTTCCGGTGGTGAGCGGTGTATAGTCAGTGCCAAGGGACCAATTCACCGTAAGAGTGGCGGATGAGGCAGGGGCCACCATATAGAAGAACATGCCTAGGAGGGCAATGCAACCAAGAAGTGTGCTCATATTGTTTTCTGCTAAAAACAAGAGAATACTATTTTATGAAGATTTCTTGTGACTTATGCATTTTTAGATAGGGTGTGTGTATTGTTGGAGTTCATTTAGTCGACTTATAAAGGAATTAAACCCATGATTAAGGTTTGGACTTCCGGATATGCTTGGAAAAAAACTTTTTTCTATGTGAATATGACTTATATAGTTATATATAATATATTACTTCGTATAACTTTTTCGATCATAATTTACACACACTTAAACCAACGGCCAAATCACTAAACTATATATGATCAGGTTATTTGATATTCAGCTAGTATTTGATAACTTTTAACTTTGCACCAGTGACGGATCCACGTTGATCAAGGGTGGAGTGCACCATATGAAAATATAAATTTTTTAATTTTGTATACTAATTAGTATGATTAAAGTGGCTTAATGGTAACAACGCACCAGCTTAGTAATGAGGTCAAGAGATTCGATCTTGTTATCAGTTATCTTCACAGCTCCACAGACCACAATGATCAAATATATAGACTTAACCAAAAAAGCAGATGGAAATTCAGTTCCAAACAATCACACACAGGCGAATTAGCTATATTTTATATATATATATATATCATTATTTGCTAGACTATGGTTTTTTGGTGACATATATCTCTTTTTGTCAACAAAATTTTATTTAGTTAAACTAACAAATGCATGATTCATTACTAAGGAATGATTTGAAAAAAAAATTAATGAAGAGACATGTTTCTGCAGCTTTACTCAACTTATAATCTAAGCTAATCAAAAGGTGTTATATGTGGTAACTAGTCTTGAGAAGCATATGATCGAGACAACACAACTAATGATGTACATGTTTTTTTTATCAGGGATGGACTATATTCATAAATATGTTGTATCACCTCTGATACATATTTCAATTTAAAAAAAAAAACCTATCGTATATACTAGCAAAATAACCATGTATACAAACTTGTAACAAGTAAATTATATATACACTGCAAAGAGTGATCTAAGGCATCTGAAAATGTAATTCGGTTCAACCTAATTTAAGAACTATTTTCTGAAACCAAAGAAAAGTTAAAACTTGAGACGAACTGAAACATGGAATGCCTAATGCGTGGTTCCAAATTATTCTGTACAGCGAAGCTACATAATGGCCCATCTAACCAAATAACTCACTTCCTAAAAGGGCCAAGATACCAAATAACCAAATCATGAATCCAAGTCACCCAACCGTTGAATAGATATATCAAAAAAACATGTAGATTTTCGAATTAACTTCTTTATTTTATTTTTTTGTGATCCAATTTGATTTTTTGTTTTCTTCCTAAGTTTTTATTGATTTAATATTATTTATAATGCAATCTGCTAGAGTTTTTAAATGTAGTTAATTTTCAAATTTAAGTTATTCGACATCTGAAAATTTGTCTATATCATGATTTTATGGATTTTGTTTTTCATACCCATTTTGAGTTTTAAGAGAGATAGTGGATGAATGCAGCTAAGAATACAATAAACAAAGAAATCGAAAAATACCTTTAACAAAAAGATGAAGAGAAAGCTGCAAGATAGTGTGAATCTAAGCTCAAAACATAAAAAGCTGCCGAAGAGAACAGTCGGCTATATTTTGAGGTGTTTTCTTATTCAGATATAGTGAAAAGCTTTTCACACATAAAGATGTTTGAATCATATATATCTATAGGCTAGGTCAAAAACAAAATTCATCATAGCCTTTACTTTTTCTTTTCTTTTTTTTTTCCTTTTTATCTATTGAGTCTCCAAAAATTTCTTTGATGAGTCTTCATGATAAGACAATGATCATCATCTCTCTTCTACCATGAATCCCACGTACCGCTGATTTGGCGTTCCAATTTAACTACACAAAAAATTACGTAAGAAAGTTTGTTCTTTTTTTTTTTTATCCCTTTGCTTTTACATCATATATATACATATACTATGTACTCTATTACGAATTTGTGAAGTCATGTACTCTATTACGAACTAGTTTTCAATTTTGATTAATAATAATTACTTTGGTTTGGAACGATCAAATTAGTTTTCCGTTCTGTTTTGTTTAATTAAAACGTAGCTTTTTGGTATTTTCTTCGAAATTTGTTGATATCATATTATTAGCTTAGATATGTTTATGTTGGATAATTACATTTTAGATATTGAGGATTATCATCCACTTTAGATATAAGGTTTTGAACTTTGAAGTTAAACTGTACAAAACTATGTATATCAAAGATATTTACTTTGAGCTTTGGAGGGTTTCAGTGGGTTTCTATGTTGTCCATCATATGGTTCATATATCGAGGTGAATTTGGTTTTTTTATTTTTCTACGAATAGTTAGTTATACATGTGTGTTATGGTCGGCTAAATGTTTTTTTCTGTAAAGATGCAAAGTGCAACCTACATATATCAAAACAAATAACTTTAAAATGTTTGGGTTTCTAGATAAATAGAATTTGTTTGTATTCAAAATCCGAATGTACATGCTAAAATTATTAGTGATCAAAGGGTTCAAAGTTGAACCCACAAACTTTAAAAGTTCTAGAAAAAAAGACGAATTCCTTTTGGAAATAGATCCATAACTTAATCATTGCACTTTTGATTTTTTACTTTATTTTATATATATATATCAATATACAGAACACAAATGACACAACCCTAAAGAACATTGCGAAGTACATTTAGCGTAGAATACATCTATTAGGCCTAACGGCTATTAGCGCTCAGTGTCACCTACTTACCGACTTAAACCTTTTTTCTTCTTTCACCCTTATGATTTTATGACAATTGATTCATTACAGGAGACAAAAATGCAACTTATATTAAGAGAAACAGTGAAAAAACAAAAAAAAATACACGAATTAGAAATTTTGTTTTAGTTATTTATAAAGAGAAAGGAAACATTAAAAAAAAAACTAATGAATATTAATCTATTATTTGCTAAAAACTATGACTCTTCTTGAATCCTCATTATGGTTTGATTTAAAGCTGTTGCGATGTCGTCCACGGTATTCAGTTGGCTTCCTTCTTCAACCTGAACCAACCATTATAAAACAAAGCTAAACATATTTATAAAGATTCTTCAAAAAGGTTGAAACTGACAAAAAAAATAAAATAAGGACGTATGTAAATTTCGTTATAAAATATCAATTCGCTTAAAAATGGACTTATGAATATCTCCTGAAACTGAAACAAGTGGTGGTGGCCTCACTTCCTTGTCCGTACATATTTCATCTACAACTCTATGACCACTAAACATATATCCACAGTAGTATACAACACCAACACTAACACCACGTATACTATATAGGAGAGATACACACATATTGGTGTTTTGTTTTTTTTAGGTTGGTCCCCTGATTCTTACAGGTACCCAATTAATAAGATACGCAATTTTTATGTCTTGAAAGAAAAATAAATAAAATGATGATTATGAGTTTGACCCACAACTATTGAGGCCCCATGCCCCAAAGTGTACCCAAAGGAAGTAAGCAAAAACAAAGAGAATGATTTTAATTTTTACTCGCACAACCTTTTTAAAGCCCAGACACAACTATAACTAGTACTAATCCAATTTCTTTCCCCCCCCCAACAATATGAGACAAAAAATAAATCAACAAAGTGAAACCATATGCACCACACAGTCATTAATCACTTTAATCTCATGATTATACCCCAAAAGCAAAACAAAGTAATGATGAGAGAAGTTGAAAATGTATCGTACCTTGACGCTGATGGAGTAGAGAATGGAGTTGTGGTGAGTGGTAACATTGAGATGAAGAAGAGTGAGCTTTAAGCTTTGTAAAGAAGCTACGAGTTTGATAAGCTGCCTTGGTTTCTTCTTCGCCATTATCTTGATGTTCGCGTGGGTTTCCGCCACCGTCACCTCTATATCCGCCGATGAAGATGAGCTTTCTGCCGGAACTTCTGATGACTTTGTAGAAAACTGAGGGAAGCTGAAGAAATCTGAGAAGGGACTCACCAACGAGCTAGTGCTAGTCGTGGCTCCTTCTACATCATGGGTCGTGGACGTGGTCGTGGTTCTCTTAGTCCCCATAGATTGTAAGATATGCTCTAGCTCTTTCACGTAGTTTATAGCTCCTCCTACTATCGACGCTTGATCTCCCTTTACCACCAAAACACGTTCAAATCAGATAAATATGTGTGTAGTTCATAAAAAGATTGAGAAATCTTTAAATGTAATGTGTGTACGTATAAACACGTGTCACCTTAGTTGTATACAAATTTATTAAGAAATTGTATTAAAATATCCCAAAAAATTCTAAATCATATCGATTCTAGTTTCTGGTGTCACATTATTCATATAAAAATATAAATAAAATATGTAACAGAAACTATTAGTATGAATATATAAACCCATAATACGTTTACGGTGGATTTTCTTGTTAATAAATTGTATTAAAAACATCAATATACTCTCATAGTTTAAAGAAGCCTCAAACACGCTAAACTGTGTACCTAAGCCAATGAAGCAAAACAAAGACACAATTGAAGTCAATGAGGACTGAATGAGTAAATTACCCTTTGAGCGTAGGACGAGGGCATGAGAGAACGGAGCACGGCGAGGTACTCGTTCATCTGTTTCCGACGATTTCTCTCGACGGCTATATGAGTCATTCTTTGGTTCTCGATCTCTTCCTTGTTCTTGCTGTTTCTCGTCCTCCTCCTCTTCCTCCGCTGCTGTAGAGGGGGATGATTCTCCACATCATTGGCGGGGAGACCAAGCTCTTCTTCCAATGAAGGGATTAATAAAGGATACTGATGATAGTCTCGCCATTGACGATCTTCCTCTTTACCTTGTTGTTCCAGTACATGAAAACTCTGTTCTTGCCCTGACTTGTCAATGTTATGCTTCGTATCTTGAGCTACTTCTTCTTCTTGAGGGTACAAGCAGTCGTGGAACATCATAAAATCTTTGCAGTTGGAGAGGTATCCGAATGGATCTTGCGGGTATACGATAGCCTCTAAGGGCATTTTTGTTTTTGTTTCTAGCCGGAGAGTGATGAAAAAGATATATTCAAGAAAAGGGATTTGAAAAATCTGAGAGAGAGGAAGAGAGAAGGAGAGAAAACAAAAATTAAGACAGGAAGTGTTTGTCGCTCTCCTTTTTGTCTCGAGAGGGAAATAAAGGCAAAAAGGGTTAAGCCCACTAAAGGAAACTAACCTTGGTTTTAATTATTTGAAGATTCTCTTTTTAAATCGTTATACAAAAATATTAAACTCTCAAAAACTCACCGGCATGATGAAGGAAGAAGAATAGGAAAGTGAATCTTTAACAAAAACAAAAACAAAATATGAAGATCAAACAAAGTAATGGTGTGTTTATTTATTGGGGGACTCTTGAGAGAAGCTTTGTGAGGCTATAAGGCTAATTATTATATTTTTCTTAGAAAACTCAGAACAGTTGACCCAAAATTAAAGCTCCCAAAGCGTACAATTGTAACAATCCTAATATGGAAATAACATGATCATAATAAGTTAGACGTTTGAAAAATATCGTTCATGAATTGTTTCCATAGAAAAGTTAATCTGAAAAAAGCTGATATAGTGGGAAGTGATCATATGTATTGACGTGCATGCGAGTGAAAAAAAAAAAGTACATACATAACCAGTTAAAATCTCAAAAATTATGTACAGAGATGGTGACGCCTAAACTAATTAAGATTCTAAATATGGCAGAACATCAATAAAAAGCATAGTCCGTTAGTGTAATATGTCATTTTTCGGATCAACGTTTTCTCCAAAAAAAATTAAGACGTGCAATTCTATACTAGTTTTTTGCACTCTTTGGTTATAGTAGCTAGCTATATGATAACATAAAACGAAAAGATTTGGACAAAATAATATCTAAGGCATTCTATGCTATAAAAATAAAATTATTTGAATTTTTATATTATGTTACGGCTTCGAAGTTCGCATATTACACTTTGTAGTTTATACCAATTTTCGGTTTAGAATTCTACATTTCTACTGTACCAGAGACTATCTTAAAATATATATGCATTTGCATGGAATCAGATCCATTAATCAGCTTTGAGTTTATGGTTACTAATTACTGTTTAGAGATACATAGAGAGATACCGATACATGTATACATAGAGAGGGCAAGTTCGCACGTGGAATAGTAGTAGACCGGTCCACAAGACCAAAGAATCTGTTTGCAGGCTTGGGTTGTCTAGTTACACTCATGTTCTGTGTTAAAAAAAAAGTTACACTCATGTTCGATTTAACTCAAAACAAAATAATGTATTTCATATAAAATATATGGCGTATTACGGTATTAGTATCCTGTTAAACTTAAAGATCTACAAAAAAAAGTATATCAGAAAACCAAAAGAAGATTTATTTTGGCCGGTGGGTATCACTTTATGTCAGGTTTAACGAATTTGTTTCGTTATGTTATAAGAAATATTTAAATGGAGATATCACCACTTGACATGTAAGAAAATGATGGCACTAGTTATGTAATTTAAAAGTTTTTTCTAATTTCCATATCAAAAACAAAATTTTATGTATTTAAATTAGATGGCATCTTTTTGATTATTCTGTTCTAATCACTCTGGGAATTTATAATAGTTATAGTCCAATTATAATATAAAAAGAAAACTTAAAGAATTAGATAGATGTGACTAGGCTGCGTTTTGTAATCAAATTTGGTCGGACACTTGGGATCTTAAAATCTGAACCAATTTGCCGAAAATATAAGGGAAATCAAATGTGAACATAAAACTTGAGGACAAAATTATTCATGAATGATACAAGAATCTTGTTGGATGCACTTGAAATAAATTAAATATATAAGCTATAGTAATCTTGTCTCTCCTTTGAATCCGTGTACCTAATGTTATATACATATCAAAACAAGTTCAATTATTTAACTAAATACAGTGTTTTTTGGTTAATTACTATCTAAAACTTTGTTCCGATGTTCATCCTTTGTGATTACTACTTTTTAATCATCTTTGATCATCATTTAACATGTCAATATTTCACACGAATGCATTTATTCAGATCGTGTTGATTTTGATGTAGACGTTTAAAAACATTTTGTTCTTTTTTGTTTTCTGAAAAAATGAGAGGAGAAGCCATGAGCATACGTCCAGAAGAGTCCATGTATCCTCACAAGCTTCTCATTTCTTGTCTCTCAAGTACTTTCCCAAGAACACAGCTTTCAGTTTTCCAATGGGCTTGTTTTCTCATGCATCATTTCCCCAATCACTGTTAGCTTTTTTCTTCTTTTTTGTTTTCATATACTTTCATCAAAACCAATTAAACTGGATTAAATTACATATACCAAACTTATAAATTAATTTACATACTGTATCAATTCTAACGTGCTAAAATTACTATCTGTAATATACATATTAAACCATTATTACCTGGTTTGATTATTTAATCAAAATGTCGCTGTTGCTATGCCTTAATATATATACATGTCTCCTTTATATCATTATAAATTTATGGTAGGAATCCACTTATTTCTTAGATGTTATTGGCTTTTTCTTGATTGTTCAATGTATTTCCGGGATCTTTGGTTTAGTAATATTTTCTCGTCTACGTAAGACTTAAAATAGTATAGGTTTCTTTATATACAAGAAATTTTATATAACTCTACTAGTGAGTGCAACTGTCATTAAGTAATGTATTTTGCAATTCATTATCTTTCATTTCACATTCATTATAGTCTAATTAATTCTCTAATGATATACAACAATTAATTTTGACAGTTGACAAAAAACAATTAGTTTTTGACCCAAGGACAACTACGTGTCCTTTAACAATTAAAAAATACAGACTTTTTTATATTTTAGTTTTGAAATTCCAACAAAAATTCGTAAAACTGTTCTATACTATTTTATTAGAACTTTATTATAAGCAAATAATGTTGCAATTTATCACTAAACATGCATATTACAAATTAAATTTCTCTAGCCACAGCCAGAAGTCTACTATGGTTTTATATATTAGCCGATCGAAATGTAAACTTTATACAAACAAACAAAAAATAGAAAAATCATAGATTTTGTATAGAAAAAAAAAGACAGGGGTAACTGAGAGAATACAGTAATATAACTTTCGCGCAACAGGTTGCAGGTTTTTCGTTGTCGTAATGTATTCAAACATACACTCTTCTATAGTTCTCATTTCATGTCTATTGTATTTACATTAACATATTAAAAAATGTAACAATACGTGTTTAGTACATGATTCGTGAATCTTGATGCTCTGGCCACAACTTCGTCGGATTGTGACAACTCTTTTTGGTCTTAGTAAAGGATTCATAATTTTAATTAATTATTACTGTTGTTGTCAGTATAGACACTCTCATATTTCTCTTCTCTATTATTGGTTCATGGTTTGTATATTTTAAAAGAGAAATTTGCAAGATCTTTTCACTGGTTCTCGGTCACATACTCTATATATTAACTTTTATAATACAAACAAGCTTAACTATGTATAGGTTTCAAGCAAAACTGTGTATGAACATCTATGTACATTTACATTTTTACTGAAATAGGAGACCAAAGCAAATCTTTATTGCCTTTAGTTATTTAATGAAAACACTAACACATTTTCAACGTTTCAATTCAAAAATTACTGTTTTGGTACAAAGAGGGAACACACACAACAAACAGCTCCAACTCCAACTCTTGCTCTCAACAACTCTAAACTTCGGAACTACTAAGAAAAGTTGAATCTTAATATCAAGTACTTTGTCCCAAAAAAAAATATATATATATATATCAAGTACAAGTGTAGAACAATTAAAAAAAAATTGTTCATTACTTTATAAATTCCTGCTTGAATTCTTGAATTTCTAATTTTGCAGTAAATATAATTAGCTAGTAATGACGAAATTAGCCTTTTGAAAGTAATAGAATAAAATAAAAAGGGTGTAGTTTACAACTAAGGATATCCTAATAAACACCAGCTTTGTCGTTCTAGGTTTTAAAAATAAAAATTCCTTAAGTGGTAAAGGGACATTAGCATGTGGTTTAACCGTAAATCCCGCTGCCTGAAATTCTAAAATGAGATATGTATATCGTGTACTATGTCCGGATCAATTCCTTATGAGATTCTCATGTTATTAAAAACTAATTAGTTTTAGGCTTTTAGCCCATCTAATAATTATTAAAAACAGATTACGATGGGTATTAGATCGTCGGTCACATCTTGTTCTGCCTTTTTCACTATATACATCTCTCTTTACGATATATAATGTTGAATTTCCAATAGACGTCACAATTACAGTATAACAAAAACTGAAACTAAATACTAACCCCCTAAAATTTATATAATGATGGCACTTGTACTACAAACGAATGAATATGAACCATTTAACTGTTTAAACCCCACAGACACACACATAAAAGAGAAAGAAAAAAAAAACAGTTAGATTCAATTCATTTGATAATACCATCTAGTATAATGACAATTTTAAGATGATAAAAATCTTGAAAACTGACAAAAACTAAGCTGCGGTTCATAATGATAAAAGACAAAACTAATGCAATAATTAGGATAATAATGACATTCGTGCCGACCCCCAAAAACATCTAACGCGTTTGCAAAAGAGTCTGATATAGGCTTGTTTGTGTATACGCAATTAAAATCAATTTTTTTTTTTTTTGGTTATTTCCAGTTCCTATCCAAAACATGACATTAAAAATCGTATTATATTTCTAATCCGATCGAGAATATAATCATATTTTAAAACATTTTTTACTAATTAATTAACAACCAAAGTTTTTTTTTTTTGGATGTAATTGAGTTTCCCGAGAAAACCGGGGATGTTGGTACCTAAAATTCTGTGAAATGTTTGAAAGTTTGCAGTTGGAGCGACTCGGGGACTTCAAAGATTCGCTTCCAACACATTTTTATACGTTACTTCTCATTTTTTATGATTACCTTTTCTTATTTTTTCACTCTTCGTCTCTGCCTTGTCACACTCCCTACTACAATCTGACCTAATTACTTTTATCATACTTGTATAATTGTGATTATACGTATATAGTATCAGTGTAATACGAGTCTCAACTTTCTAACAAGATTTTGACTAGTACTAATTGTAAGGTATGCTACAACAAGTTTTAAAATTCTAATTAAATATGATCAGCAGAATATGCAAATATATATGATATCAAAGCGCAGACTTATATTGTTTATATATAACTATATATGGTATATTAATCACATAATTCAAAAGCCGATTACAAAATACGCACATTCAAAGTTTCAACAAACACATTATTCAAATAGGTTGTTCAGCCAAATCGCAATCAAGGTTTTGAGCACATTATTCAACTTTTCATACTTAAGTATGATGTCAGAAATATAAACATTGTCATAGAGATTGGTGATGTGATATGATTGAACTGGTCTATGTCTATCCCGGTTTATAAATATATACACAATGGAAAAATATTTAGTCGACAAGTGATGAAGTTAAATTTACATAAAAATAGCTTAGCTGTCTTATTGAAAAACAAATGCGTAGGATCGATCTTACGTGCCTCTTATATACAAAAACAAAGTACGAGATTGGGTCAAGTAGTGAATGATTGAGTTATATGTATTCTATTCAAATAGCTAGGCTTTCAACACTATACACACTCTATATATATATACACGTTGTTTTTAAAATAGCAATGGTACATCATTTTATTAGAAAACACAAAACAAAGGAAATGGTACATCTGTAACTATGCAAATAGATTTGTAGGGTTCCATTTCCATAGCTGAACAGCATCCAATAACTCTATATTACAGTTCAATTATTTTTTTGTGCATAGAAGAAAAACACACTTCAATTATTTGTCTTAATAAATATCGTGTGTGTATGTACCATATATTGACTTATTGTAAATATAAAATATGTGAATTTTGTATTTGTAAGTTTTTTTTTTTGGGATATGTACTTTAAACTTGATAAAATGGTTCTTACCATGTGTTTTTACTAGTTTAAACTTTTGCTAATATGGATTTCGATGGATTCAGAATCATATATTTTAAAATTACAATTTCTTAATTTAAAATTGGTGTCCACTTGTAAATATGATTATATGTGGCTAGAAATTTGAACCGTTGTCGGAATTATCTTTCTCAAGAACTTCAAATTTGCTTTCACATATTTTTCTTTTGACTTAAAAATTCATTCGCCGGTTAATTCACATGATTGATTACTAAGGGAGTGTAACGAAGGCCTGCATAAAATTATTGGGCTTATTTGTACAAAAACAAACTCTTAACTATTTGGCCTTTTTATATCCAAAGACGTCAAATCGGATTATAGTTTAGTTTCACACACTAGTTATTTTTTCGACTTAGATCAGTTTTTGTATCACAAGTGACAACGCAACAGACAGATCAAACTAAATATAGAACAAGTGAAACAACCATTCCTCCAACTAAATACGTTAACTGTAGACACTGAAATGGTCTAAATATATATGGCCAGTATAACTTAGCTACCTGTTGGTAGCAAAAATTGTTTCTTTAAACAATCAGCTAATGAGATTGGAATACATGAGTCCTTTGATGTGGAAGCTACTAAATTTTGAATCCACTTCTAACCTATTAAAAAATATTTTGTGAATATTTGACTATTTTTACATGATTGTGTGCTTTTATGTATACGTACGAAAACTATATTAAATTCTGAATCCACTTCTAACCTATTAATTTTTTTCCGTATATGATTGGCTTATGTAGCATACTAACATAATTGCTTATGCATAAGCTATTAATTTACATTCCTGTCTAACATTATTGATTTCCGTAGATGATTGGTTTTTTCGCATGATGACGTTTTTGTTTGTACGGAATCTATTAAATTTTGAGTCCGTTTCTAACCAATTGAAATATTTCTTTGTAGGTAATTAGCTTTTTTGGTATGTTTATGCTCTTATGCAGAGACTATAAAAATATTGAATTCGTATATAATTTGTAATATTTGTTTCTCGTAAATGAGTGGTTTTTTTTGGTATGATGACCTTTTTGTATTATTAAACAAAAACATTCTTAACTACAAATTGTCGGAATGGTGTACGATATTCTTTCGTTTTCTTTAAATTTAAATAGACATTATGAAATTTTAGCATGAGGATGTTTTCAAAAACACTATACCAATATTTATTATTAAGATTATTTTTTATCTATAGCGAAAATTCATTTCCTTTTTAATACATTATTACTATAATATATAAGTGATACCGTAAGATGACATACCAAAAATTGTACACGAACAATATATTGGTCTTGAAAATAGGAAACTTCTTAATGGCTAAGTTTTATACTTATTATATACTGACAAAAAACGAGAATAATCCAGATAACTTTCTAAGGATTTGCATGCAAACAAACTCTACGAGATATGCTTAAATTTAGTTCAAACGTCGAAACAAATTTACAAACATCATAATTTTTCCCCTTTTGTGTTAACTATTTCTTGGTCCTATATGTATCTGAACAAAACAAAACGTGGTGTGCCAGACTTATTATTATCTGTTTTCCCACTATATTAAGTTTTTTTTTTTTGGCATTCCACAACATTTATGAATACTTTGTAATAATTTTTGTGGTTTCGTTTTTTTGAATAAGATCGAAATTTTATTTTTAGGTCTTATTTTATAGTTAAAAATCGTCCTGATGAAAGGGAAAGTTGAATCACTTCACATTATCCAAAACAAATTTTCAATTTTATATGTAGCCGTCATTTAAATTAAGTCTTCGCATCTAATGTTATAAAAAATCTCCACTAATTAATCCGCACCAAAGTGATCAGATATATGAATAATTATATAAACCGATTCCACAAGAAAAAAGAAATACTAAAATCAAATAATTTGTTTAGTTGGACAACGACGTGATCACAACATGGGATGAGCATGATGCAAGTCTTATCACCAACTGAGATTAATTGATTTAATCAAATTTACGACATTATCATTGTGTAATTGCGTTGACCTACTATGGTAAGACCACATCAAGCTCTCTTTTTTTTAAATACTGATAATAATAGTCCCTGTCGTCGAAGTTGACTCTTTAAAGATAAGTATGATCTCGTATTAATTTTTAACATTTTTACGATAATATAAATTTGGAGCTTTGGTTCTACGAATCTTTAATTTGAGTACAAAAAGTGCCAATATATATTAAAACATCGAGGATCTAACTGTAAAGACTCTCGATCCGACTTGGAATATTAAATTTGCGAATGATATATTTAACCACTTCTATCCAAAACCGGTTGAATTTTCCAATTTGTATCATTATAAATCGAGTTACACATCATAAGAACATAATTTTAAACCATCATAACAATCACTTTTGGATTACATCTTCGTAACAGACTTGCTTGGTTCGCATATAATATAAAGTTTTCAATAGTAGTGCCTTTTGTACGATCTGAAAAGTCAACCATCATGTAGTCATTAGGCAAAGCAAACCGTCCCTTCTCCTAAATTAATGTATCACACGTTCTTATAATATCATCTCCTATGATCTTACCATCACCTTTTTTTTGTTTTCTTCCGAATGCGAAAAAAAGACAAAAAGAACAACATGACGAGGCTTTTGTTTTTATAAAGCTCTGTTCATCGGCAAAGCTTTGGTCCTCATGAAACCGGGAGGTACATACAATTACTCACCTCGACACCGTCAGATTGTTGAACCATTTGCAACCATCGATGGTGGTCATGTCACGTTTAAGCTTCTACACTTGCTTCATGCTAGTACTGTTACACATCGGTGCCGTTCAAAGCAACGAGTTTGATAACGATGAAGAAAGGACAAAGTTCAGTCCAACCATGGGTATAGTCATGATCGTACTCGTTAGTGTTTTCTTCGCACTCGGATGTATCTCCGTCTACATGAGGAGGTGTCTCGAAAGAGCTTTAGGGATGGACGGTGGTGATCCAGGAAACTGGCTTAACGTGAGGCAGACGACGGCGCGTGGTCTCGACGCGTCTGTCATAGAAACATTTCCGACGTTTCGTTACTCCACCGTGAAGACGTTGAGGATCGGCAAAGAAGCGTTGGAGTGTCCCGTTTGCCTCAACGAGTTCGAGGACGACGAAACGTTGCGTATGATTCCTCAGTGTTGCCACGTCTTTCATCCTGGTTGCATTGATGCTTGGCTCCGTTCTCAAACCACGTGTCCTCTCTGCCGCTCCAATCTCGTTCCTGTACCGGGTGAGTCTGTATCTTTCGAGATACCCGGTTTTGCAAGAGAAACCGGTCAGAGCTCTCCCAAAACGCCGATTGATGATAGCCGGAGAAGGGTTTTGGGTTCTCCGGACGAGCGGTTGATTGACTCAGTGGCTTGGACAGGTAACCAAAGCATGCCACGTAAGTCCATGTCTACTGGTTGGAAATTAGCTGGATTGTTTAGCCCGTCCATTTCTCCCGGGCGACCAGAGGAGAATCTAGACCGGTTCACGCTAAGGTTACCACAAGAGATACACGATCAACTCGTGAACTCCAGCCTAGGAAACCATGAGTCAAAAGACCACGTGGCCTTACCTCCAGCAAGGAGCTCGGTTAGAGGTTACAGAACCGGAAGCCTAGGGACTGAAAGAAACTATTTCTACTTTGAACGGTTTGATCAAGACGGACGGTTCGACCGAAGACCGTTCTCTATTACTCCTCCTTACCACACCAGTTCGATCCGGTCCCCGGATGGGATTATGGACGGTGGTGGTAATTATCTGGAGCGTGCTGGCGCACCCAACAGTTTGCTTCTAGCAATAAGGTCACCGTTGGATCGGTTATTTACCGGGAAGAACAATGTTGGTGAACGTTCCTACCTTCGGTCCGGTGATGCAAGCCCTGTCTAGACGAATTGATACTATGGGGTTTACTCGGAAATATGGAGAAAAATAAAATCTGTACATATTTTCTTTTAGTTTTCTTCTGGTGTTGGAGAAATTCAATTGCTTCACTCAATACATCTATTACTGAAATGAAAGAAACGTCTTTGTTTAATCATCCAAATCAAGTTTCCTAAGTCTAACAGTCAAAACCATGTATTAAAGAAGGCAAGGGCCAAACAAGGACCAAGTCACTTAGTTCTTCAGCTGTGATGATTCATGATATAAAAAGTTCAAAGAGATTCACGAACCACCATGACGGAAATAGAGAACAGATCGGTAAAGAGCAGCGACATGGAGGAAACAAATCAGGGCTATCAGTAAATCATCTAGTAAACCAATAACCCCCAAGACTCCTGACAAGAAATCGATACAAAGTATTGGTAAGTAAAGTTATTTGACAGAAGAGAAGAGTGCATTGTATAAATATAGATAGTCAAGGGATGAAATGAGGAATCACCTTCTGGAATGATATCAATTGGGCTGATTATGTAAATCGCACTGAGTATCAACTACATCAAATCAAATTAGGCGAACTTGCTTTAGTCAAAGCATTCTTTAGCTCAGATGTGAAAATCTTGTAGCAGAAAAATTACTTATAAGAGATAAACTTATTCAGGGTCCAAGAGTAATGAATGTCTTCAACTAACCGCAATATATATGCGAGCTCTGATGACAAATGGAAGCGTTCTTCGTGGATCCATAATTTCTCGCAACAACCTTCGAAGTAAGAAGGGAAGATCTTGCATCCTCTACAATATTAATAGAAGTTTTATGTGAGAAAAGGCTCTAGTAAGCTCCAGACAGACTTACAGATCAACAAAAAAAAAACTCCAGACTTACTTTTCATCAAACTTATGATCTACAAGAAATGTTATGTAATACAAAGCAATAACAAGATGAAGAATCTCAAAACCATCCACTCAAACTTTACTAGCATAGATGAAAAGAGAGATAAAAGCAGTAAGCTACCAAAAGTTAAGGACGAGAATAAGCTCAACATAAAACAAGAACCCCACTATAGAGTCAAGCCTTCACTTGCAAAATTTCCTCTACTGGTCAAAATTACAAAGCAGCTCTATACGAACACATATCCCTCAACAACGAATCTACTTGTCCCCAAACTTATCTCTGGTCAGTTATAATCTGCTTTTGATCCCAGAGACTGGAAAAAAAGACGCAAGGCAAACCTGAACTAGACCACTTGATTGTCCACCAAAGACTCGGTTGTAAGTCTCGACATCGTGAAGAACCTCGGAAACTGAAGCATCATCCCGAACTCTCACTGTTTCCTCTGAAGGAACTAACAAACTAATAGGACGACGACACAAGGGACATTTGCATGGCCGTAATGTAGATCCATGCCTCCAAACAAGCATAATGCAATTTCCTACAATGATTGAATAGAGTTAATATCTCATAAGCTGCAGTGAAATCATATAACCAACAATTAAAGAAGACTGGATTATTTGAACATGCAAAATCTTAATAAGTCAGAACATCGCAAAAAAAAAAATCTGTAAACCTAAGCAAAGCCGGAAGAATGAGACCTGGAGCTTTCTCTCAACTAAAAACCAATTCTTAACATGATCAAGTCGTTAAAAAGAGTACACAGAGAGTGAAATTATCAGGTAAACAACTTTGAATTTACAAGTTCAAAGCAAACGACCGACCAGCTTCAGGGAAAAAGCGAAATTGAGATCGTCACAACTCTGATCTCACTCACAAGAGAGACTAACGCAGATTCAGCAGGAGATGAATTGAGACGCTACACTTGAATTATGGGATTAACTACAACCGATTCCGAAAACGATTCGAGAGAACTGAGAAGGAGAAACGAAAGCAAAAGAAATAAGAAGATCGTACCGCAGAACCAATGGGAGCAATTAGCTTGACAAGGAGCGATGAAGTGGCCATGGCATATCGAACAAACTTCGTTCTCCGGAGGCGCATTCATATCTCCTCTTCTATTACTCTCTCGTCGCCGCGTCGTTGTTCTTCGTCGGCTCTATATTTCTATAATTTTTACTTTTTCCGTAGTAGTTAAGTATTTCGAAAATAAAAATCGGAGACACGTGGCTATAGATAAGCTTATCCCCGGGATGGAGGGATTCTATCTGAGCCGTTCAAACCCTTCTCGTATTGCAAGTGTAGTTACAAACTTTTTTTTTTGGTAATAGTGTAATCACAAGAACTTGGATTGATTGTTAAAAACTCTATCTATCTGTCGTTTATAAAACGTATCTTTGATTCTTAAATCCCTTAATTAATCGTTGAATATCAATTTGTATGTAACGAATCCACAAAATTATCAACTGATATGTGTCTCAATCTATTGCAAGAAGACTGAACCAATGAACAGCTGAGGCAACAAATCAAACCGGAGGAATTATTATTGCTCTGCGTTTCTTTCTTTAGAGAAGTAACATAATTTTTTTTTTCCAAGACGAAAGAAAATGAGTGGGTCAATAACATCAGTGTACAAAACTCACTGAGAAGTAAAAGCTTTTTAACAATGGCATATATCTCAAAAGCCTTGTCCTGCAAACAACCATTTCGTAATGTAACAACTCTTGTATCAAACCCTATCAATGTTTGGGTTTTTACCTTCAAGCTTCCTTCATTGCCTTTACTCTTCTGCTGCCTAATCAATCAACAAGATAAAACAAACACTCAACTAATTGATTCTACATTGTAAGGATTTAGAAGACTATAAAATGACTACCAAATTGTATGCTTTTACTTGATGACATACTTATTCCAAAATGGGTACACATTGACAAAAGATTCAATACCGTTTCCACCTTTCACAAAACCTAGTATCTATGATAGGGATGAAGTAAGGTTATCTTCTCCTAATCATTAATTTCCAAAATGTAGTCTAGTCGCGGCATTTTGTTTAGGCTTGTAAGATCAACAGTGGAATGTGAAACCATTTAAGCTAAAGACTAAAGCTGCACTTTGTCTCACCATATGATTCTCAAAACATATATCTTCAAGCTAATATGAAATCATCCTACTTCACCATCATTTCTAACTTTCCCAATGTTTGTCTCAAATGTGAAGAACAAAATCATCAAACGAAACTAACTACTTGGATTCCTATTATAACGATTCAAACTAACCTGAGATACAGGAGTCTCTGTAGAAGTCTTGGGAGCTAATAAAGTGGCTGATGTTGAAGACGATGCATCAAAAACACGAGAACAATCTGTGTATGCAGAGCCAATACCAATTCCGGCACCAAACGCAATCGAAGCCCACCTTGTAACCGGACTCCCTAAGAGTACAACACAAACAAATTCAATCATCAAAACAGAGTCCTAAATGAATCATAGACCAAAATCAAAAACTATCTGAATCGGAAACAACAGAACCCTATTGATCGTGAAAATTCGATTTTATCTACCACAGAACCTAATCAGTCACCCAAACTAAGTAACCAAAAAATTCTGTGAAAGTAATCGAATCATATGAATGAGAGCGGAGGAAAAAAATGAAAAACACCGAACTGAAGAAGAGAAGACCGGCGAAAGCGCCGCCGAGGGAAGAGTAGACGAAGCGACGAGCAGTGAGATCGAGACATGCGTCCCATTTGGCGTTGACATCGGTGTTGTTACTCTTCGTTTCCATTTCTCCGACTCGGTTCTTCTACTTTCCCGATTTGATTCTCCGGAATTTTCCTTCGTTCTTCTTCCACAATTCGTTTCTTTCGATCTGAAAGGGTTTGTTTGTGGGTGCAAGCGAAGAATCCTGGACCGATTAATGGGCCAATGTATGTACTATATTGGGCCTAGATACTTATGCCTTTTTACGCAAGTGATATCCAAAATGTATTTTAGAATGAAAAAAGAAAAAATAATTCGGATACTGAATAAATTAAAAAAAAAAAAAAAAATTAGACTAATTCTTCTAGTTTGAGTATATTGGTAAGATAAATTCAAAGCTATCTCGAATAAATAATTCACATGTTATTAGCTTGAGAGTTGGAGAAAGAAAAAAAGAATCAATGTATGGCATTTTTATCTCATGGTTATAGTAATGGTCGTTTTGTTGTCGTTGTGTTGGTCCATTTGGTGCATGTCCCCTACCTATGCACTAGCTATTATGATGGTCACACTCTCAGTTCTTAATGTTTCCTATACACCCGAATTGTATACATGTGATAATTACAAGTCCTTCTGTAACTTTAGGCAGGCTTTTGTTTCTTTGGATACTGTGTGTTTGTTGGGTCAGCTTTCGACATAAAGATCTTAATATTTTTCAAACGGTTTCGTTTAATTATTTGGCCTTTTGTGGCCAAGTGTGAGACTAACCACAGTAGTCATGTCTTTCTTATCGGAAGCTGAATACCTAAAACATACAGTTGTTAATAATTACCTAAAGGAATCAACGTTTTCATTTCCACTAGATATATCATATCTTATGTCATACCAAGTTACTAACATAGATTGATTATGGAGCCCGTGACTCCAAAAGAAATAGAAAAAAAGCTAGCCACCTTTAACCTTAAATCTTGTGCGGACACTGTTGAGATTTATTTTATATATTTGAGAGGAACAATAAAATCATTGGAGATCCGAGCGGTGGGTCAAAATGGTGGTCATGTTGCAGAAACTTTTTTCCTTTTGATGTCGTCAATGACGCAGACTCGATTTTGATAACTTCAAAACCAATACATCTACGATATAACAAAGAACACTGGTCCGGCATAAAAAAAGAGTTTGAAGTGGTGGAATAAAAAGTGTGAGATTTTTGTACTTGATTTTGTGTAAAATATCATGTTAAAATGTTATAACCGCTACTAATTAACTGGCTAAAAGAGCAAGGAACGGTCCGAAAGGAACATGGGATGGATACGGAAGAACAAGACTTGACATAAACAGAAAAACAAAAAAAGATACTAATCTAACGTGGACGAAGATAGGGTTTGAGAATTATCTGATCGGGAGCACTTAATTTGCGTAATCATCTAATTTGGAATCGATTCTTGAACTAGAAAAATAAAGACAAATAGAAATTCAAATTTACACAAATAGTCAAGTAACGTAGCAAATATTTTTTTTGGTAATCACATTTTCGCACACAAACACTTGTATATATAAGAATCATCAACGACATAAAAAAAAACCCATCACCAAAACAAATCAAAACCATAGACAAAACACAAATCCCCTTTTGAGGTTTCAAAAAATACATAAATAAATAAACGTACTAAATTAAATTAATTAAAATTCCCAACCATTTTGTATTTGTTCATTCAAGGATCGGTGGGAGACATAATCTTATGCTTGGGTTTTGGACCTGTAGAGCACTTTCTTCTTCTTAGAGGTCTGGTTGTCAATCGTGATCACGACCTTTCCGGGTTCACTTGCCTTGAAAGAATCAGTAATCACAGGTTCATCAGTTAAACCGATCTTCCTGTTCTTTGTGACGATCACGGTGTAGCTTGCCTCGTTGCTTGGCTCAAATTGAGCTCCATAGCTCACGTCCGCACCCAAAACCCTAAGCTCCCATGACAGTGTGGAACCCTACGTAACAAAACAATCCACATAATTAAGCATCATTTTATTTCTCTCTAGCAAGATTATACCAATGTAATCAAACAGAAATTAATATATTTCAATTGTTTCAAACGTTAGTTTAAGCGTTTATGATACATGCAAAAATATCCCACTTTTTTGACATTCGATGTAAAATTGAATTATAACACACATGCAAAAAAAGAGAAAAAAATAAATGTATACCTCGGTAGCAGGCAAATCAATGGTATATTTAGATGTGGGTTTAACGACGGCCTCGGTGACTCCATCTTCGACGGTGAATGGGCTATCTTTGCTCAGTCCACCATACATGACGGGAACTACTTCAGGAGCGACGTATCTGTTTTCATCCAAAAACAGAGGATATAAGATTCTGTATGCATGAATAGAAACAATGAAACGTAATATTACGCATCATATAGTACACAGTTTCGATAAACCATAATTACTTGAAAATGGTCTCCGCGGATTTGGATGGACCAGAGAGGACCATCTTGCTCCTTGTCCTTGGCGATGTGATGATAGTTCCGAATGTTTTGTAGTAAGGAATATACCACCATGGGACATTAATGAACAGCTAAAAGATAAACCACACAATTAGTATAAAACGATTGAAGTTTAAATGCTTATAATTTGCAATCTTAATTATTCTTTGTACCTCTCTGGCAACAAACTCTGGATAGTTGTCTTCGAATTGCTTAACGGCACGTCTAATGAACTGCCATAATGTTCTCTTACCGAGTCCAGGAGCGTTTCTGAAGTCACTGACGAACACAAACGATGACTTAGCCTCAGGGCTGAAGTCAAGAGACCTCACACACTTCTCTTGGAACTGAATTCTCCATTTGAGGAACTTGCTAAGCTTCTCTTTGTCTGAGAAAATCTCCTTGTTCTGAAACTCCCCGTACGAGCTGTAGATCACGACATGTCCTTGTTTGTCAACACCGTGAGTGAACACCAACTTCTCGAACTCGCTTCCTTCGAGGTCTTCTGAGACAAGGTCGTCGATGTTGTTCTCTTTGCGCCACTGGACGGTGTTCTTCAGCATGGTGAAGGCTTCTTTGACCTTGAAGTCACGTGCTCGGAGGAACTTGAGGAGGATCACGTCGGATCTCTCGTCCTCAAGAAGTGGAATTCCCCAGATTGAGACTTGCTCCGGCTCTACGTAGGCAGCTGTCTCTGGAAGAGTGATTGAAACGATCGACTCTTCGGTTGCTTCCACGGTTTTGGTTCCTTCTTCTTGATCAGCGGCGAAAGCCTTCTCGATCGTTACAACTGCTGGTTTCTCTTCTTCCTTCTTTTTCTCGGTAGAGGTGACGGAGACAAATATATCTTTAATAAATTTTGAGACGGCCCTGACCGGAGCAGAGGTGGTTGCTTTCTCTTCTTTCTTGGTTTCCTCGACGACCGGAGTAGCAGGTTTGGTCTCTACTGGAGCGACTTTCTCTTCCTCCGTGGTCTCTGTAGTGACCGGAGCAGCCGGTGTGGTTTCAACCGGGATGACCTTCTCTACCTCCTTGGTCTCTGTGGTGACCGGAGCAGCCGGTGTGGTGTCTACTGGGATGACTTTCTCTTCCTCCTTGGTCTCTGTGGTGACTGGGGCATCAGGTTTGGTCTCAACCGGAGTAGGAACGGCTGATATCTCTTCCTTCTTTGTCTCTGCAACAACCGGAGCAGGAGCGACAGATTTCTCTTCCTTCTTGGTCTCTGCGGCGACCGGAGCAGGAGCAACGGATGTCTCCTCTTTCTTCGTTTCTGCGACGATCGGAGCTGTCTCTTCCTTCTTGGTCTCTACCGGAGCAGCAGATTTGTCCTCTGTTTTGGTTTCAGCCTCAACAGATTTTTCCTCTGTTTTCACTTCTTCATTCTTTTCCTCTGTTTCCTCTGTTTTCTTCTCCTCAGCTTGAGGCGGCGCGGTGAATTCATGCTTGTTCAAAGCCTCCCTAACCAACTCCTTCAACTCAGCCAAAGCATTCTTCTCAGATTCAGCCAATTCAGAAGCCAAATAGCCTTCCTCCTTAAACGACTCGGATTGCAAGATCTCTTTCCCCGTCGCAACTTCCTCCTCCTTCACGGCCACATCTTCCGACACAGCCAGCTTCACCTCGTCCTCAGAAGGCGCAGCCACAGCTTTCTCAGCAGTAACGGGTACCTCAACCTCCTTAACAGGCGCAGGAGTATCATCCTTAACCGGAATCGAAGCAGCAGGTTTCTGTATCTCTTCTTGAGCCATGATGACTTGATTCAAAACAAGAATTAGAAAGAGAGAGAGAGAGATGGAATTGAGAGAGAGGTAGAAGAGAGGGAGAGGTCTTATAAAAAAAGAGAGAGAGGAAGCTGAAGAAGAAGAGATGGTTATGTTATGTGTTGTTGTTGTTGTGGTGGTGTGAGAAGAGCAAAAGAGAACAGTCTGGTCGGAGCTGTTCGACAGCTAATTTCGAAGATACTTTTCTTAGTAGGGTCCCAATCTCTTCTTTCTCCCAAACGGCCGTCTTTTTTTTTGCTTCTCTATTCCCCATTTTTAAACATTTAACTAAATAAATTAACAACTTTTGTTTTTGTTTTTTGTTTGAAATATTTTAGTTGATCATATTCCATTTTAGGATTTTAGATTCGTTACACAATATTTTCTTGTTTATAGAAGAATATATCGGTTTGATTTATTCGCATTCATGATTTATTTTTCTACCTCTTGAATGTGTTCTACCATTTTCTTACAAAACTTGAATCGCACGACTTCAAAAGACAAAAACCTTGCTAGGCTGCATATTAATATCATCATGAGAGTTTTATTTATGTTTTAATTTCGTATTACATGAAGACAAGTTCGAGATCAAAGGAAAACAAAGTACCATCTATATTTGTTTGGTTGAGGGGAAAAAGTGGAATATTTTTGAGATGGGAATATATATGTGTTTGAAAAGCTACTCTTGCTTTTCAATAAATTATCTTAAGTGGGGTTTGTTTTATTTCTTCTTCAAATCATGACACCATGTTGTCCTATATAATATAACCTAGGTTTACGTTTGGATTAAACAAAACTAGAGTTTTGAATTGTTCCAACAATATAGTTTTTCTTTGCTTTCTTTTTTTTCCAATAAAAATGTATAAATTGTATCACTAGAATATTCTTACTCAACTATGTTGTCATTTGACATGTATGTTTTAGAGATTTTTATAATAAAAAAACAAAACAAAATGTCGTTTTCCCAATAACTCTTAGGATAATACATGACATTTTTAACTCGTTGTCGTGTGAATATGTTAACCAGCCTAAGAATAAAAATCAAGAACGCGAAACTTAGTTTGTAAGAGTTTAAATTGAAATATATATCCATGCATGCATATATATATATATATTCATCCATGCAAGAATTTTTATTTTACTCTTTATAACTAGTGAAATGGATCCACCTATTCAGGGGTGACCAGACCTGATTTCCAACCTTTTACTCGTTTATTCAAATTGTTCATGTATATCAGTTGCTAGTAAAAGTAGTAGAATGTTGTTCACAAGTTGGGCAACTTGTATACAGTCCTAAATCAAATCATGAAAATGAAATCATTATATTTGATCAAAATCCAATTACACAGGTCACAGGATTACATGGCAACGACTAATTAGGACATCCTCTTAATTATAATGAGATGATGACAAGTACGAGTATATATATGGAGCATATCATCCCATGATTATAGTCTTTCTTTTTTCTTGCTAATTAATTAATATTCATTTTATGATTATAAAGTTAAAAACCATATGAAATGAGAGGATGACACATATATAAACATATATACAGACTGCTTCGCACGTAAAGAAAGTATCTAATGATTTCGTATTAATATTGTATAACTTTGGACCCATATTTGGTGCGTTGTAATCTCAAAAAAGATAAAAATGTTATTTAAAACTTTATAGATTTAATATTGATTAAAAATTTGATATTAACAGGGAACTTCCTTAAGATTGGAGCTGTCACAAAGAACTATTTAGGATTATAGTCTAAAACTATTTAAAACTATTTAGAATTTTAATAAGCAACCTGATTCATGTAGGTGCCTACACCACACACCTCATCGTTACAACTCCTCATATGGGCCATTATATAATTATCAAAACATTTCATAAGTTATTAACTAAATGAATATGATCTTAAAAATGAATATTATGTTGCAAGTCAACTTATAATCCACCAACTAAAATTGTGTAACTATGTTCAACTCCTCTTCATTCCTTTGTCTATCTTTTGTTTTGTTTCGATATGCATGTACCAACTCATTGTGCATGCATAAATCGATTCTTCGTGAACTAGTGGAAACAGATTTGGACGAATATGTTTTTGTTCTTTTAAACACTCTCTCATCTCTTTTGAAGCTAAAAAAAAGTATTTGAATGCACTGCTTGAAAATGTATATGAATGGATACAGAACAGAAGGAACGATTAAATTAAGAAAGTTAGGTAGTGTAACCTCATGGGATCCAAGAAATTATCATCTGTTAATTTATATTCTTTCAGGTAGCTTTGAAATTGTCAAAAGCAAAAGGAAGGCCGAGCTGTGTTTGGTTGGTTGGTTGGTTTGTCATTGCTGGTGGTGCCGTCTTATTATATATCTTTCTTCCACTAACAAAAAATATTGGATTTATCGATTTTAATACTATGTCTTTTTATAATTTGATTTGATTTCTTTTGATTCTCCTATAAAGAATTGTTAGTTATATAATTAATATGTCTTCTATAAATTTTCTTAACAAATGATTGATGGCCAGGTACGATTTAAGCAATGATTATCAACCATTGCGTTGATTTTTTAATTTTTTAATTTTGTATAACAAGTCTCTATGTTTGCTTTTAATTGCTTGCTCGTTTCTCCTTTCTTTCTTTAATCTCCAAACTCTCTTATCATGGTTAACCTCTTGTAAATCCAAAGAAAGATGAGACCTCTCATTAATATATTAAACATCTTTGTAGCAAATAACACAAATTGTTCTGGACATATATCAATCAAAATGGTAAAAAAAAAGCAAAGATATTTTTTTTTAAAAAAATGTTTAATACACAGCAACCTATATATATCGATGAGGTTTTAAAATTAAATTGATGAATGATCATTTGACCCAAAAAAAATCGATAAATTATTCACACTGATGCGAGTAGCACACTTCCTTACACCAACCATATTTTTTGCGTTAAAGATAAGAAAATAAATAAAAAAACAAAAAAAAATGGTTGATTGATACAAAGATATTTTAAGAACTTCTTCGTCAACTGGAGAATCCGATTAACCAAAAATGCCGATCTCCGGCGCTGATGATGAAGCTGGAACTCCATTTCTCAATGTTACCGTCAACGGATCCGTTGACTACAGAAGTAAACCCGCCGTCAGATCTGCCTCCGGTGGCTGGAGATCCGCCGGATTTATCATCGGTAATTTCCGTTATTTTTCCCGCCAATTACTGACTCTAAGAGTGTTGTCCTTTAGACTTCGCCGGAACTTCTGATTTATGGTTTTGTTTTTATCTCCGATGGTAGGTGTGGAGGTTGCTGAGCGTTTCGCTTACTACGGGATATCGTCGAATTTGATAACGTATCTGACTGGGCCACTTGGGCAATCGACGGCGGCTGCTGCGGCTAACGTGAATGCTTGGTCTGGAACGGCGTCACTGCTTCCTCTCCTTGGTGCTTTTGTCGCTGACTCGTTTCTAGGCCGTTTCCGTACAATCCTCGCCGCCTCTGCTCTCTATATACTGGTACGAAGCTCTCTCTCTCTTAGTATCTTGACTCTTCTTCACCAATTCGATTCTGGTTAAGAGTTTCTCTTCTTCTCTGACCTCTGTATAGTTCAGAATTAGAAATGAATTGCTATGCATGAGTCAATACATCAATATATCCTTTTCGATCTTGATTCTTAAAGAAAAGATTCAGAATGTGGAATGCATTGGTAAAGAATTTATAAGTTGTAAGTTTGTAACGCGTTGGCTTCTTATAATGAATTCTAGAGACGATTCTGAAGTTGTATAGTGATTTGATTGATCAACAGGGGCTTGGTTTACTGACTTTATCTGCAATGATACCTTCAGACTGCAATGTTTCTAATCTACTCGCTTCTTGCTCTCGTCGATTTCAAGTGATCACATTCTTTAGTGCCCTGTATCTAGTGGCGCTAGCCCAAGGCGGTCACAAGCCATGTGTTCAGGCTTTTGGAGCGGATCAGTTTGATGAAAAGGATCCTGAAGAGTGCAAAGAAAAGGCTTCTTTCTTTAATTGGTGGTATTTTGGCATGTGCTTTGGGACGTTAGTAACACTATGGGTCTTGAATTACGTTCAGGACAATCTCAGTTGGGCCTTAGGCTTTGGTATTCCATGCATTGCTATGGTAGTTGCTTTGATTATTTTATTGCTCGGAACCAGCACTTATCGGTTCAGCATTCGAAGGGAAGATCAAAGCCCTTTTGCACGGATTTGGAATGTTTATGTAGCCGCTGTGAAGAACTGGGGTGTATCAGCTTCAGCTGTAGCTGATGCAGAGGAGAGAATTGGTCTTGTGTCTGACAAAAGCTCACAACAATTTAGGTAAGACAGCTTTCTGTATCCTTTGATTTCATTGTTATGCATAGTTGTTTACAAAACAAAAAGGACTTATGGTAAACATCTTCGTGCTTGTCACAACTGCAGTTTTCTCAACAAAGCTCTGGTCGCAAATAATGGTTCTTGTAGTATAGATGAACTTGAAGAAGCAAAATCAGTGCTTAGGTTAGCTCCGATATGGTTTACTTGCTTGGTTTATGCTGTTGTGTTTGCGCAGTCTCCAACTTTTTTCACCAAACAAGGAGCCACAATGGAGAGATCAATCACACCGAGTTACAAGATTTCTCCAGCTACCCTCCAGTCCTTCATCAGCCTCTCAATAGTCATCTTCATCCCCATCTACGATCGCGTACTCATCCCAGTTGCAAGATCAATTACGCATAAACCAGGTGGAATCACTATGCTTCAGAGAATAGGCACTGGCTTATTCCTCTCTTTCCTTGCTATGGTAATAGCCGCTCTAGTGGAGATGAAAAGGCTTAAAACTGCTGCGGATTATGGGCTCATTGACTCCCCAGACGCTACTGTTCCAATGCGAGTGTGGTGGCTAGTTCCTCAGTATGTTCTCTTTGGTATCTCAGATGTTTTTGCTATTGTGGGTCTTCAAGAGTTCTTCTACGACCAAGTCCCTACCGAGCTGAGGAGTGTGGGTTTGGCTCTATACTTGAGCATATTTGGTATTGGTAGCTTTCTCAGCAGTTTCTTGATATCAATTATTGAGAAAGTGACGAGCCAATCTGGTCAAGTGAGTTGGTTTGCAAACAACCTGAACCAGGCTCATCTGGATTACTTTTACTGGCTACTCGCTTGTCTCAGCTTCATTGGCTTAGCCTCCTACATGTATTTTGCAAAGTCCTACGTATCTAAGAGACTCAACACCCTTTAAAATGAAGTGTATTGGTACTCTTTCCTTCTCTCTCTCTCTGTAATTTTTAAATATACTTTCTGCATACCAATAAATACTTATCATATCACTAGCTGATGAGCAGATTAGTCAATATAGGTTGCTTAGGGATCCTTATGATTCAATAGATATTGATTTACTCGTATAGCTTGTATTACGCGTATGCAAATGTATAGTTTTATTTGATAATGTATGGTACAGTCTTATCTTTTATCATAAGTATAACTTATCCAGCTGTGCTCCTAGCCTACTTTCAAAGTTTTCAGCTTAATAAATTAAAACTGCGTATATCGTGTAGAATAAAGAAATAGTTATAATTCTAAACACGTTATGAACAACCAATTATATAATATGAAAGTGTAGATAACATCTTGCATTTTATACTCTTAGACTTGATCTACCCGGCGGTAGACATACAGCCTGGAGAAGAACAAAAATGCAAAGAATCCAATGGCCGTGAAAGCGGCGAGCAACCAATAAAAGTAATCGACATGGGCTCGGTTCAGGTTAGTGTTGAACCAGCTATTGCCGCCATCTTTTCCGGTAGCCCAATCAATCACAGTGATGAGAAAACCACTCAAGAAGCTTGCAAGACCCATCGCACTCAAAGAAAGGGCGAGACCAATACTCCTTAACTCTGTTGGGACTTGGTCGTAGAAGAATTCTTGAGTACCCACTAGTGAGAATACATCAATCATCCCGAGTAGTAAATACTGAGGAACGAACCACCATATTGACATTGGAATGGTTGCGTCTGGTCTATCTAGAAGCCCATGTTCTTTAGCTATCTCAAGCCGTTTCATTTCTACCAACGCTGCTACCACCATATTTAAGCTAGAGAGCACCATTCCGGCCCCTATTCTCTGTAGCATTGTGATCCCAAAAGGCTTTTTTGTGATCAGTCTAGCTAACGGAAGGAAAACACGCTCATAAGTCGGAACTGAGATGAAAATCGATAATCCGATAAGCGCCTGAAAAGAAGCAGGAGGGATTTCCAAACCCGGCAATATTTTTCTGTCCACGGTAACACCTTGCTTTGTGAAGAAAGTAGCATATTGGGCGTAAGGGATCGTGCTCACCACCGATGTAATCCATATCGGAATAAGCCTTACCAAAGCCATCGCATCTTCCACGTCCCTAGCATCACAAGGCTCGACACCTCCTTCTGATAGCGACGCTTTTGCTAAGAACCTTAATCAAAATAAAATAATTTTACACTCAATTAAAACGACTAAACCAAAACTCAAAGTTTTGGGATTTATGCCACTTACTCTAGTCGTCCATTACATTGCTCTGAAGAACCATCTTCCAATAGACCTGAATGTGCTGATTTCAGTCTCCGGTTCTTGAATGCCACCACGAAAACTCTACCGATTCTCGCAAAAGTGTTCTTCTTCTCCTCGCGGTCTCCCCTCGGGTATCTATAAGTCTTTCTCCCGATCAAGAAGAGAGCAAGAGCCATAACCATGAACAAACAAGGGATCCCAAACCCAAGCGCCCAATTAATATTGTCTTGAACGTAAACCACCACAATAATCGACAAAGTTATTCCTGCGGATAAACTCAAGAACCACCAATTGAAAAACGATCCTCTACTTATTCTCTCCTTTCGATCTCGCACATCAAACTGGTCCGCACCAAAAGCCTGAACACACGGCTTATGTCCTCCTTGTCCGATCGCCACCAAATACAGAGAACAAAAGAAAAGTATATTCACCCAAAAAGATGGTTTAGCAGAAACATCGTTAAGTTGCTCTGATAATCCCATCATGATTAATACAGCCGATAAGGTCAATAATCCTAGTCCCTGTAATAACAACCCTCTCAAACCTCAGTAAAACTTTCCTAAAGTTTGCTTATAAGAAAAAAGAAGTGTTCAGGGGAGAACGTTACGAGTATGTAGATGAGGGAAGCGACAACAATGGTACGGTAACGACCGAGATAAGCGTCTGCGATGAAAGCTCCTAAAACAGGAAGCATCGAGGCGGTTCCTGACCATGTGTTCACGTTCACGGCGGCGATCGCCGTAGATTGTCCGAGAGGTCCGGTGAGGTAGGTTATTAAGTTGGAACCAATCCCAAAGTAAGCAAATCTCTCTCCAACTTCCACACCTGAACGATTTACAAACCAAAAAGAATACGTAGGATTTATTAAGAGCTTGAATTACAAAAAAAAAAAAAAAAAGAACACAAAAATGTTTTTCACCTATAATGTACCAAGCAGATCTCCATCCGCCGGTGGAAGACTTGCCGGCGGGAAGTCCACGGTGGTCAACAGAGTCGCTTACAGAATCTTCAATAAGTGCAGCTTCTTCCTCTCGTATCCCCATTTCTCGTCGTGCCTTAGATAAATCTTCCTCTGTATTTTAAACTTATAAAAGCTATGCATAGATAATATAACCACACCATAATTTTATTATGAGCTTCTTTTTTCTTTTTACGTTTATTTATAATATGGCCTTTTTAATGAACGAGTGTTTCAAGCACTTCATTAACTAATAACCTATGTTTAATTATGATTTCACATGCGGTTTTGCGACATTATCACCTGTTTCGTCATTTGTTTTATATCAGTAGAAAAAGTCAACTGTTAGTGGTTATTGGATAATGACTTTAAATGGAAATCAAGATCCATACACAAAGCTAAATTTTATTTTACTACTTTTCTTCTCTTTTGGTTTTTTGATTAATCCCATTTAAAATTAAGCACTCCGTCAATGGTTTAGACTTGGGTTTTTTTTTGGGGTTAAATTAATGGTCACTATAGGTAAATGGAACTTTTGTTATAAATCAAGAAAGTATTATGAATCGAGTAAGTAAAATAGTGGAAACGTTAGATCGTTTAAGTATCTGTATATAAAAAAAAAAAAGTTATCATCACATATTCACATGTATAAACATTGGTTCCCTAAACATTGTCATGAAAAGAAAAAAAAAAGTTGAAATTTATCATTTGATATTAAGGTGTTGCGAAGAGTCCAACTTAAATATATTTTTTCCTTGTTCAAAGGTGTTTTATTATGAAATGATTGTAAGCCGTTCAGTGAGCAATCAATGTTTCAATAAATTTGTCTCCTTGTTCAGCTGTGTCACGTTCTTTCTAGCCTTTTAAGATAAACAATTAACCACGTGCACGACAACATATCTACTGTTTATGTCCCGACCAGTATTCGATGTGCGACGAAAATCCTGATTGGTTAAAAGTTGCGTCGGGTTTGGCTCTTTTCGTTTAAAAGCTTTTTTTTTTTGGTACGTAGATCAATGAAAAAAGAAACAACAGATTCTATAACATCAGTGTTTGTTAGTTTAATCTCCTCTGATTTTTTAGTGTCTCAAGAACAAAGTTGAATGTGATTTTTTCTCGTATTAAAGAAAAGCAAACTGTTACTAGTTACTACAAAAGCTTCAGAGAATATGCAAAAGTTTTGTTGTGATACTTTTGAATTTAAGAAGTTTACTTGCATTATGAATTAGGATGTCGGAAGCTTACAATGCATTAATTTGTTGTGATAATATTGAATTTAAGAAGCTTACATGCTTCATAATTTTGAGTTTTGACGGTCTGTCTTTTTTGGGATCTTATATAGATTATTTGTATGATCTAGCTTTAGATGTAGTAGATGACTTTATTTTCACTAGCTTTCAAACACATAATGTATAGTTGTATGCTATGCTTTCAAATTCATGTTTTTGTTCCTTCCGCCAAGATCCAAATTTGGCCCATTTACATGTTTCTTCAAGTGGAGTAGTAAACTAGTAGTAGCGTTTCAAACTTGTCTTGTTTTTTTTCTTAATCTTTCAATTTGGAAATCCTCGGATCCTTACGGTCCTTGCAATATATTTATGTGTAGGTTACCTCTCCTTTATTTAACTTCGAATTTAGTATTAAAATATGGACACGTTAACATACAAGTCAAAACCACAAAATATGATATAAGATGTCAACAAAACTTGTCTTTTGAATTTCTAGACTTGGCCTAACCGACGATACACATACATCTTGGAGATGAACAAGAACGCTAAGAAAGCAATGGCGTTGAAAGCCGCAAGCAACCAGTAAAAGTAATCTACATGGGCTTGGTTCAGGTTAGTGTTGAACCAGCCGTCTTTTCCGGTAGCGTAATCAATCACAGTGATGAGAAAACCACTCAAAAAACTCGAAAGACCCATCGCACTCAAAGAAAGCGAGAGGCCAATGCTCCTTAGCTCCGTAGGGACTTGGTCGTAGAAAAATTCTTGTGTTCCCACCAGAGAGAACACATCAATCATCCCGAGTAGCAAATACTGAGGTACGAACCACCATATGGACATTGGAACAGTCACGTCCGGCTTGTCCACGAGCCCGTGTTCCCTAGCGATATTCAGCCGTTTCGCTTCTACCAATGCGGCTAGCATCATATTCAAGATTGAAAGCACCATTCCAGCTCCTATTCTCTGGAGCTTTGTGATCCCGAAAGGCTTCTTGGTAATCATTCTTGCTACCGGGAGAAATACATGCTCATAGATCGGTACTGAAATGAGAATTGACACACCGATGAATGACAACAAAGAAGCCGCTGGGATTTCTAAGCCCGGTAAGATTCTTCTGTCTACCGTGACGCCTTGCTTCGTGAAGAAAGTAATGTGTTGTGCATACGGAATTGTGCTTATCACCGATGTGATCCATATCGGAACAAGCCTTACCAAAGCCTTCGCATCTTCCACGTCCCTACCACTACATGGCTCTGCGCCTTCTTCTCTTGAGATCATCGCTTTTGATAAGAAACTTGTCACACAAGGGAAACAAATTCACACTCAAGCTAGGTCAAAAACACTAAACCAAAACTCAAAAAGATTCAAAATATTGAAACTTACTCGAGCCGACCTTTACGTGTCTCGGACGGACCATCTTCAAATCGACCTTGACACAAACCCGAATGTTCTAAACTCTGTTTCCTATTCTTGAACGCACCGACAAAAACTCTACCGATTCTTGCAAAAGTGTTATTAGTATTAACCTCCTCACGATGGCCCTTAGGGTATCTATAAATTTTCTTCCCAAGCAAGAAGATAGCAAGAGCCATAACCATGAACAAACAAGGAATCCCAAACCCATACGCCCAATTAACATTTTCTTGAACATAGGCGACCACAATAATCGATAAGCTTATTCCAGCTGATAAACTCAAGAACCACCAGTTAAAAAACGATCCTCTTGCTATTACCTCCTTTGGATCTTCCGCATCAAACTGGTCCGCACCAAAAGCTTGAACACACGGCTTGTGTCCGCCTTGTCCGATCGCCACCAAATACAGAGAACAAAAGAAAAGTATATTCACCCAAAAAGAGGGTTTAGCTGAAGCGCCGTTACGTTGCTCTGATATTCCCATTATGATTAAAGAAGCTGATAATGTCAATAGTCCTAGTCCCTGTAATCATACCACAATCTTTTTAGCTAAATCCCGGTTTATCTCGTACCAAAAATTAAACCCCGGTTTAAATATAGACGAGGGTAAACTAACCAATATGTAGATGAGGGAAGCTACAAGGATAGTACGGTAACGACCAAGATAAGCGTCAGCTACGAAAGCTCCTAAAATAGGAAGCATGGAGGCGGTTCCTGACCATGTGTTCACGTTCACGGCTGCGGTCGCCGTCGATTGTCCGAGCGGTCCGGTTAAGTATGTTATTAAATTGCAGGCAATACCAAAGTAAGCAAACCTCTCTGCCACTTCCACACCTAATAAAATAAAGATCTCAATAAAAAATTAGGATTTAGAAGTTTAATTACCAAAAAAAAGAAAACCTAAATCGATTATTTTCTTGTAGCAAGAGATCTTTTCACCTATAATGAACCAGGCTGATCTCCAGCCACCGGTGGAGGATTTTACGGCGGGTCTTCCACGGTGGTCGACGGAATCACTCACGTGATCTATTAGAAGCGCAACTTCTTCTTCAGGTATCTTCATTTCTCGTCAACTCATGAGATTAGGAATCTATATATAAGTCCAACCAAACTAATGAACTTTTGTATAGTCTTTCTTTATGTTTATGTATATCTCTATGTTTAATTACACGTGAAATGAGTACGCCGTATCTTATAGGATATAGTATTATTTTTCTCAAGTGTTGCACGAGCTATTTTTGACCTGTTATGTTTTTGTATCAGCAAATATATATGTATAATGAAACTTATATAAAACGATACAATTTATTTGAAACTGTAAAATTCTTCGACAGTCAAATATCCAAAGCATAAATAAAAAATTTAAAATAGTATTCGGGTGGTGTTCCTATCATAATTGAGTAATTCTTATCGTTCGGACTAGCCATCAATTTTATTTCCTTTTTTAAGGTGCAAGTTGAAAGGTAATGGATGCATATTAGTCTGCAGAAAATTACATTCTCTCACATTCAGACCAAAACTAGAAGTGATACGAATTGATATATTTGATTCTTCTTTTGTCTGTGTGCCTCTGTGGTCCTAATTGTTGTTCTTTTGGCTAAGTTGTCTTTTAAGGTTGTTGTGATAGAGCAGTCAAATAGTCAAAATAATATTTGTTCGATTGATTGATTCTGATTTTGTTTTCAAGGTAGAAAAACCTTATCAGCTTTGCTTTGGAAAACGAGCAAAAGAATAGAACCTTATCAGCTCTATCGTTGCGCCGAGCAGTAGGAGACATAAAATACTTATCAGCTTTGATATTTTTGTTGACTGTTACTTTGTCTTTCATGTGTAAGATTAAACCAAAAAAATTCAGACTATTTAAGACTAATATATTGTGGTGATTCTCGATTTTTAGAAAATTCGCATGCATATAGTTTTACGTTGGCAAGAAAACTAGGCATTATATACTCTTGAAGTGCTGATTGATTCGTACTTTGTGATTACGTTTGTATTGTTGCTCGTAGGTTTGTTTGTTGCTGATGAACGTGTACGTGTTGTCTACTTTCTCAGCTACTCCCAAGTCTCAAACAAATTAGACTTTTTTGGGCCCGATTTATTTCAAACTTTAAAGGGGCCGTAGTATGGGTCTATAACTTGTATGAACCCTTTACCTATGATTTTCTTGGGCTCATGAAAATATAGAAGAAAACATTGAATCAATACGATTATACGAATAGCTTATGTTTTTGCCTTTTTGGAAGATACTAGACTTGTATTTCAAATTGCTTAGAACAAATTATAGGGATAAAGATACAAGCAATCTTGCACAAGTAAGAATTTAATACTAGTTTATATAAGAGTATTTCATATGGTGGTTTTATGTCAGCCTAAAATACATAAAAGGTGCCTTTTGCAAGTACAAAATGTATCAAATGTAAGATGTTATAGACTAAATTTCATCCTTCTCGAAAATGTAAAGTAAAATCTGTAATCATATCACTAGACTACAACATGTATGGTAAAAATGTATAGTAAAATGAACTTGTCATAGATTTAAAAAGCGTTACAGGACATAACTTTTTCCAGTTTGTTAAATAAATATATTATGGACCATTCATTTCATTTCACCATATATATATATCTTTTCATCTTACAAAATCTAAAATGTAAATTAATTCATACCAATAGATTACAACACGCGTCGTAAAAAAAGAAAAAAAAAAACTCAACGTGTCATGCATGAAAAGAGCGTTACGAAAAAGTAATTTGTATTTAACTACATAAATAAATTTTTTACCATTCATTTCATTTCACCACATCTCTACATATTTTCTCTACTCAAATTGAGATCTATTTCTTTGGAAATCATCGGAGATAGAAGACAGCAATGGCAACAGAAAGAACTTTGTAAGTATTATTGTCACTTGTTCAACAGAGGATGTAGGCGATTTAGGCTAACAATGGCAATATTTCTTCTTTTTAAAACTAACACTAATTAAATGGTGATCTAATGTTTGTTTTATGTTCTCTCATTGTTCACGATCAGTAAAAGGAAAAAATTTACCAAATCGGTCAGATTAGCTTGCAGATTTTTTAGGACTCGTTCGCTGAGACGGTACGTTCATTAATCTAACTATGCATGTTACATATCTCCATAGTTTAAAAGTTATTTGTTATCAATTTTATTTTTTCTTTCTTTATGTGTTGGGCTCGAAGTCTATATAATAAAATATGTATGAAACTATAAATTTTATTACAAAATGACTTGTGATAAGGTGTTCAATTAAGACTAGTTTTTTAATTACGAAATGAACTAAATATCTTCTTTGTTTGTCATAGAGATGAAAAAAAACTTGTTTACAGAATTAGACATGAATCTCACTGTAATTTTATTAATAGGAACAGCTAACAGAGTTTTCATGTTTTAGTATAAGTTTATTTGAGTATAATATAATAGTATATTTTTATATGTTTGTTCATAAGATAAGTTTTTAGTCTTCTCCTATCCAAATTTTAGTATTTTACAATAGATTAAATAAGAACTCTCCAACTTTGTTTTAGCCAACCCATAATTTTAGGGCTTTAAATATCTGGTAGGATAAATGTTATTTTTATATGATCTTATGAAATGTAATTCAAACATTTTAACATATTTGAGTTTTTGCCTTATATGTTTACCATAGTAGAAAAGTTTGACCTTAATTTCTTTACATTAGACCAATTTGAAGAGGATTTTATGTGTTATAAATACTTATTTACAAATCTGCACACCTTTTAAATCAATAATAAAAAAGCCTAATAATATTCACATTTCTTTGTTTGTCCATACATAGGATTTTGTGATTACCAATTAAAGGTTTACTGACATATGTTATTACTTGCTGGTATGATAATTAAATTATGTTTTGTCCTCAATATAATAGATATAAGTTGTATTACCATTACAACTCATCAAATCAACTTTCTACATTATATTTCAAACTTTTTTACATGTGTATATGAGGACATTAATAAGCAAATATTACCTCCCTTTTCTTAGAAGTTGACTAGACCAATCAACTGAAGACACATAATAAAATGAAAAACTTTCTTTTGATATAAATCTTATTATATAGAAAGCTTTCATATATAGCTACATTTTTCCTTAAACATAATTTGTATTTTTCTTTAACAACATTTCTATAATTTGTTTTTAATGTATTACAACATCTTTTGTGGACCTCATCAAAAAAAAATCAAAGTTAGAAACCTCTATATAACACTTTACCCATGAGTCTCTCAAACCACACAACTCCTCCTCTCCTTCTTTATTTATTTTTTGTTTCACCATGGGTAGGAGAAAAGTTACACATCAATTGATCACGGACAACTCCACTCGCCGTGTTACCTTTCGAAAACGCAAAGATGGTTTATTGAAGAAGATCAAAGAATTGACCATCCTATGTGGTTTACCCGCTTGTGCCATCATTTACAGCGAGTACAAGGATGGCCCGGAGCTCTGGCCAAACGTTAACGAGGTTCGTTCTCTTCTTGATAGGTTAAGTGAACTTCCAGTGGAGAAACAGACCAAATACATGATGGACCAGAAAGATCTCATGAACAAGATGATCCAAGACGCAGAGAAAAAGTTGGAGAAGGAAAAAGCGTATACTCGTGCGATGAAACTTGGGATAATGGCTTCGACCAGTGATATAACTACCGATACTGATTGTTCGGAGGAACTGGCCAAAGCAGCTGAGGTGATTGACAAGAAGCTCAAAGTCATCCAAGAAAGAATCAAGGTTGTGGAAGCAGGAGCCCCTATCATCAAGAGAGACTAGCCTTATCAAAATTTCTAATATTATTATTGTTTTTATAATTGTTTTCATATTAAGATGTTTGGATTAATGGTGTTAACATTAATGTTCTATAATTTATGCTTTGCATTCTTAAGAAGGACTAAGAGAATTATAAATCTCTTTGGCCTTTTTGTGGTGTAATTTTGCCTAGATTTAATAGAATGAACACCATAATTGATATATTTAATTTATGACCAGATTAGTTTTATATTTATAAAGATTTTCTCCCTTATATATTTGTTATTTTAATTTAATTTCTATTTCTTTTGGTCAACAATATGCTTTCTATTTAATAGAATATCATTTTTCTTATATCTTACCAATAAAAGAAAATTCTCTGTTATCTTCTACAATGATTTATAGAAAGTTGATTATATGTATCAAATCTGGTAAATAAATTGATTTAGGAAATATATAATTTATGCAATGAGTACATGGATTGTCAATATTATTTTTTATAAAAAATGTCTTACCGTATTTCTCATTTTTATATGATATATAGTTGTTGAAAAACTAATGAAGAAACTGCAATTGCATGTTTTGTGATATTTTTCCCCCTTATATGTTGTTTTTATTGATCGATCCAAACAAGTTTTACAAGTCTCAAAACTAGGCCCAAACAATTACATCAATTGAAAAGAAGGCCTAAATATTTGTCTTTTTGATTAAAAGAAAACACACATAATTATGATTATATTAAATATTCTCTTCTTTAAACCTGTAGTATCAATTATAAGGAAATGAATTTGTAGGAAAATATATTCATTGAACATTTTTAAGATATTAATCATATATACATGTCATAAAAACTAAAAATTTCGTTTTCATTTAATGTAATGTATTAATTAATCAGATTAGGACTAATAATGGACGAAAATATATGTACATAATCAAAGAAAAACAATCTAAGATACTCTTATCTAAACCATGGAGAGAGGTGTTTTGGAATTTGCGTTGAATAATCATCCAAAAACTACTATCCTCCACACACACGAGATACGTAAAACAAACATTTGAACCAGCCAATATAAAAAAACAACGAATGTATATGTATCCGATGGCTTGATCCGTCAACAAGTAAGGCTTAGTCGATGGCCGAGATACACAAAGTGCCAAGTGAGAGACATGAAAGTTAGTAAATTTAGCAGCGATGAGTACGCATTTAACGTACAGTGCCTCTCACTTAGCTTTCTCAGTCGCTGATTCACCCCACCGGCCTCGTCCATCTTCTCTCTAACCTTCTTACCGATGGTTCGAGCCGCTGTTTCACTGGAATGTGACTCAGACGTGTCAAGTCCTCTTCCTTCTTCTTTTTCAGCTTTTATCCGCTCAAACATTGCCTGTTCCACAACACAGTAATAATCAATATCATGTTGCATAAACCTAATAATTTCATTCACATTATTAAAAAGTCCTTATTTAATATAATATGGGACGGTTTATTGGTTTTTATAAAATGTATAAATGAATTAGCAAAGAGTGAAATAACCTTAGTCACTCGTGGGTCAACAAATGAAGCATTAGCTTCGACCATCAAGATCGAGGACAAGAGGTTAACGGCTTGCCACATATCCACCGCGTCAGTAAAAACCTTCCGGCGCCGGCTGATGACGTGTCCTAATAACCCAATCAGAATCCCTACAGAGACTGCCTTGAAGTAGACCGGATACATCTTGCTCTGCACCACATCGAACTGCTGCCTCCCAAGCACCGAAGCCAATACGTAGCCTGACACGAACGTCACCCACACGCACATCCCGTACGCCGCAGCGATCCCCACCAGACCCATCACGCTCCCAATCTTCGTCAGTCCTAGCGCTGTCCCAACCATAGTACCTATCCCACGGACCGCGATCTTTGCCTTCTCCCAAACGTTTTGGGCCTTATGGGCCTCCTTTGTGGCCCTTTCATTCACCGGTTCCTCCACTTCACGAGCTTTCTCTTCTACGTCACGTGCCGTACGTGCGACGGTCTCTTTCGTTGTTTCATGGTATAGTTCATTACCAGCAGTGAGATCCTTGACTTTCCCCAGCACAGTCGCCATCTTGTGCTTACACTTGCCTAACGCATCGCATACGAGTTCCCCTGGAGACAGGTGGCGTTCGAGCTCCTTCTCTTCTGACAAAGACGACGCCGTTTCTCTCTTCGCATTCCCAAACACTTCTTCTCCTTTGTCTATTCTCTTCTCTTCCTCTTTCCCCGGCGGTTGAATCAAGACTCTAGTGTTGGTTTTGCCGTCTGCGTCATACTCCACAACAACAACGCGGTGACCGTCTTTCACGATGACTTCTTCACTATCCGACTCTGTGCTGTTTCCAAACATCAATAACGAACTCAAAACAAGACACAAGACCAATAGTTTTGTCATTTTTACTTGTTACTTCGTGTCGCTGACTCGTTTGATAGTTAACTTACTAGTCTTGTTATTTTCCTATAGGCTATAATCTCATCAAATCTTTCCGTGTTTTACCATGCTGAGTAACACGTGTCACCACGTGGATAGTTACGTGTCATCCTTAGAGGAAAAGTAAACTTCTCCGACATCGTTAGCACTGTTTCCTACTACACACCGGCCATGACGGTGCGCGCAATGATTAAAACTTGATGATGGGCCTAATTCTTACATGTAGGCCCAATTTATATGGACATAAAAGGGCAGATGCGAATACTTCTGCGAATCATGGAATAATAATATTCATTAAAGAAAAAAAAATAGAAGAAGCCAGAAATAGAAAGGTTTCAAGATTGGATAGTTTTTAGATTGTTGAATATGGATCATTTGAATAGAAGAATCTGAAGGGCTTAAAGACGAGTATAAGTAGAAATAGGAATATTCGCCGAGTGGCCGGCAAAAGTTGACACAGAAAGGGAAAGAAATTGCATGCAAGATAGCTTCAATCTCCCTTTTTTAAAGAGAATATAAATCATCAAAATAGTCTCACTTTTCTATGATTTAAGTTTTTTTCTAAAGTTTTGCTTAGAGTTTTTTGGTTCTTAAAAACTCACGCTATCAATTTCTAGTTTTTTGATGATATATCAAGAACTGTTGAGCAAACTTCTTTTCGTTAAGGTTTTAGATTTTAAAAACAAAAACTGACCCAATTTATAGTTTTAATGTCATTGTTGTGCGTATTAACTTGGTAACAACAACAGAAACAAAAAAAAGTAATTACATCGGTTCAACACTTAAAATCATATAAAAATCATGAAATGTGAATCTCAATGTGATGGTATAATATATGTGTCATATATATGCAGTGTTGAGCTATAACATATCATTGATTTCACTAAATGTTTTTACTTATACATTGTAAAACTGCAGAAATATTATGGATAATTTGCAATTGACTAAAAATTTTAAAGCAGTAAGTAAATAGGGTAAAATAGTTCATAAGAAAATAAGATGAGATATGTATCAAAAAGAACAAAAAAGGAGGAGGTAGGAGGCATGTGGGATTACATGTGGCTTCGAGGCACTTCGACAACAAAACAAAAGGCAAGAAAAAAAATAAAGCAGCCACCAATTGTATCTTCCTTTGCAGATTCCCCACAACAACACTCACGCATATACTGATTATATACATACATACACTAACACTAAATAATACTTACGTTATAACACACACACACACACACACACACTAACTACACATTTATATACCTATGTCTTTTCTTTTTCAGAATATTCGCCTGTTGATCTTATTTTCCCATACGACAAATGTTTATTTTGATATGCAACTTTAGTGGCATTATTGTAGTCAGTATTGGTTATAACTTTAGTTACAATTATTGTTTTGATTAACATCATTGGACGATTATTGAGACCTGACCAGTGCCCACAATTCATACATATCAACCACATTACAGACGATGAACCAAATTGCAACACATATATAGGTTATATATAAAACTTAATGAGGTATTTTTATTTTTTGTTGAAAGCGAAAGAACGATTAAAAGGTAAAACATAAAAAGAAGAAAAGGAAAGACAAATCAAACCCACGATCGTTTATTTTAATTATCGAAACCAATAAAGAACATAAATAAAAGGCGTCGGAGAACCATACAAATCTAAGCAAAGGGACCAGATGAGATTAGGCTACGAACAGCTAAGAGCAACTCATTGTAGAAACTAGAACCCAAACCTATTTGATACGTACTTCTTGGATCACGGTAATATTTTGTAACAAAAAAATAATTCTAAATAGTTTAAAAGACAGTATACTTCTTAGAATATTAATAATTTTAATGGCAGTTTTGGAAGAAAAAAAACGTAACAAAGTAACAATTTAAAGAATTACCCTACTTCTTCTTATCCACCAAAGAAACTTTAAACATTAAAACAAAATAGTGTATTATAATACTAATTTAGGGACTTTGAATCCAAACTCAAAAGGAAAGAATTTGAAATTTTATATATATTCTCCTAATCGATTCCCCTTTTTTTTTGAATAACTAAAATGTTATAAACTTAAACTCGTACATCTTTTCAGATTCGTGACCAAAAGAAGTAAAACTACTCGAACGCATGACCTCTAAAATTTTATCCAGGATCTTTACCACATGGATTTACATTATATGGCCAATCTATTTAGTATATCTCTATCCGCTTAGTTAAATAAAACATGGTGCATTTGACAGTAAGCATAAAAAATGGATGATTTAGTTTATTTTAGGAAGAGTGAAGTAAGGAGAAAGGAGTTGCGCGCACGCAGACGCAGTTACTAAAACCGGAAGTAGTGAATAATATTCTTGCTTTGGATTTACTTCTCTCGGATGCTACCCTAACTACTAACACTGTGAATTTCAGACATCTCCGACCAATCCACGTGTTTGATTTCATGCCAGAACATGTCATTGGTTTTTAGTGAGTTTCTACCAAACTTTCCTAACAAAAATTTAATTCTCTCATTTATTTCATTTCATTTATTTATTTATTTTACCACTTTCATTTTAGTTTGTATTTCTTTTTCCTTGGAGACTCATATTAATCTTATTTACGAAATTTCTGGTCGAAGTTTGGTGCCAATCAATGGAGATATATATACAGTAGAGAGAAACCACTCTACTAAAGGTTTTGGCTTATTACTTCTTTTAGTTTGTTTCTTACCTAGTAGTTTCATCTCTCAAAGTAATACCAACATTATAAAATCTAATGTTGGTTTACTATACTTGACATTTTGGATTTAAAAGGTTTGCAAGAATTGGTGAATTGATTAGTGTCAATCCATATGTCAGAAGTGTTCGGATATACAAAAAATTAGCTGAAAGAACCAACGATCGATGTGTGCCACAAATTACGTGGAAACGTCTTCAAAAACACACTTTTAAAGAGCGGATGATTCGTGGAAATATATAGGAGGAGGACTTTGGTGGCTCAAAAAATTGTCCCCATTATATTATGTTTATGTGAAATGTGAAATTAAATGATATAAAATAATAATTGAACCTTAGCTCCGAAGGAGAACATTGTTGACTTTAAAAGCAAAACTCCAAAAAAGATGAAGTTGGTAGCGATCTTTATTTATAAACGTACAATATCCTTTTTTATTTAATAAAACACAAAATATTTTTAGATAGTGTAACACATAATACTTTGAATCAACAGATTTGAAAATATTATAAACCAATCAAAATTTCAAATATGAAATATTATAAACCATAAAGAGCTAATAAACTTATGGACTTGATTCATAACCTAGGTTTAGCAGATTTCTTTTTGTAGCCGACCACCTTCGATAGTGAATGTTAGTAGTTTTAAGCCGGTTAATTAGAAACTGCATTGTTGTTCTCTTAGTGCCATCGTTGGGAAATATTTAAACCATGAAATATTTTACAAGAAATAGAAGAAAACTGCCGACAAAACATGAGGAGATGAGAACAAGATATGTATTTGACTAGATAGATTATATCTTAAACAACGATGTCTTTTTAAGATTTGTTTAATTATATTTTAAACGTCTCTATCTAAACAAAACAAACGATCAACGCTTGTCCGTAGTCTTCACGGAACGTCCAAATTAATTTAACTAATGATATCAAATGTGATTAGTAGTTTAGTACTTCTGTATAAGCACATAACAATTAAATAAATATGAAATAAATTCTGTATGTTTTTTTATTTTAATTCTAATCTACTTATTAATGCAAAGTGATATTTATAATTGTACACACTTATAAAACCTATATTGTTTATTTAATATGCCAACTTTTTCATACAATTTGGAATGATATAGGAAGTAGTTAAATCTCAAGTAGAAATTCGAATACCATACTATTTATAATATAAAAAATACACATATATATATCAAACATATGAATGATGAAACCTAGTGCGGAATCTTTTAGAAATGTAATAACAACCAAAGGTATGGAGATTTTAGAATCACTTTATAAAATAAATCTGTAATCCACCCATATTGAAAAAAGGTTAGGAAACAATTGGTGATGTTACAATAAAACATGTTCACTTTTAAGGGTAAGGACATGGCACCCCAATGTGGTACTGTAGATTTCATCATGGGGTAACACCGATTTCCTTGAAAACGAGAGATCCAATCAAATAAAAGTCTCTTCTTCTTCTTTTTTTTTTTTCATGGAAGAAAGTAAATAATTCTAGACGCTTTAAAAAGATAATGCAAATTCAACGTTTTCATTATCCTGAATTAAATGATTAAATCATTTGAATGGAAAAAAGAGTATTCTTAAAAGAGCTTAAACCCCCATTTCAACAATTTTTTTTAACTTCACAATTAGTTTACAAAAAACAGAATTGGTCATCTAAGCCTAAAAAGAGTTTATAAAAAAAAACATTGAAATGCTAATAAGATTTGTAAAAAGACATTTGCAAATCCTGTCATGTGGTCAGACATATGAATGATTCCGAATAGATTTTCTGATTTTCATTCACCAAACAAACACAACACAGTCTTTGATTGGTCTTGTTCAGTTAATTTATGAAACCGAACAGTACATTGGTCGAGTGACTCATATAATTTAGATATAAATTTAGTTAATCTATAAACTTCAATTTAATGTGAATGAATGATGTTCTATTAGCAATCAATTTTAAACAGGTAATATATAAACGAAAATGCGATATATAGCTTGAAAACAATAAAGTCCATCCAAAACTAACATTGCAAACAATATTAAGTAATAAACCACTTTTCAAATTAAATATCTTTCAACTATGTATATACTTTACCTTTAAATTGTGTGTCTAACTTCTGTTTTTCTTAGTGACATACAGCCATGAAAATGATTTTTAAGTTTTGTAATTTCCACATTTTGATCATATGATTGCCTATAATTTTTAGATCATATGATGACAGAAAACGAATATATTTTTATTACAATTATCCTTGT